CCATCGTATTACCCAAAAAGCATCATTTGACCCGCTCTCGATATCGCCACTCTGTGGAATTGACTAATGATTGTGATGATTTTCTCTCTCTTCCCAGTAGGTCTGAATATATCTCTTTAGCTGTTTCTCTTAGAAGTCCCTGGATTGGCTGTACGCAATAGTAGGAACATAAACTCTTTAGCTTGTTCTGCAGCAAAAGCCCTGAATTATACTTCTCTCTTTTTTTTGAAAAAAAAATGATATTTATTGAGAATTTTTTTTTAAATTACACAAAAAAAGAAACAAGACAAAAAAAAGAAAAAGAAAAAGTAAAACCATCATTCTCCAATTCTCCACTTTCAATACCTTCTTTCCTTGACCTCCTCCTCCTCCCTTTTCCTGTATCCTGATTTTTAATAATCACAGCAAATCCTTTCCATAATTCATAATATTCTGTCCTCACATTACCTTAATCTATTTTCATCTTATCTTATATATAAAAAAGTTTAGAACTTAAATCTTAATTTTAACCAACTTCTCCTAACCATAACATTCTTACCTAATTCTTTAGACATTTTTATAAGAGCCAAATAATTTCATTTCAACATTTTCCTAACATTCATCAATTTTGTAAAACAGTTCTAATGATAGAAATAGAAACTTAAGCAATCCAATCTTCATCCAGCGTCCCTTCCTCCTGGCCCCGGGTTTTGTCAGTCCTTTTTGTCCTATTAATCTAGCACATTAACCTGGCAATCTTATATCCGAGGCCCTCAAGTCTCTTCCATGTCCCTTCCACAGCTCTTCTTCGTGTTTTCCTTTTATTCATGGGAACTCCAGCTTGGTAATATTTTTGACCCTTTTCAACAAAACAGTCCCTTTTCCATAGTCCAGACTAGACTCGATGTAGTATTTAAAAACATGTTCCAGATTCCCTTCAAAGTTGAGAGCCCCCACTGCTCCAGACATCTGACGGCCCCTTTCCAGACTCGAAAAGTCCAAATCTCCCTGTATAGGGGGGTCTATCCAACCCCCCATTTCCAAACCAAACCAAATTTTATCTTTCCAAGTCTGGTCTTTTCCAAGTTCATTTGTCCAATCCAAAAATTTATATTCCTGCTGGGCCGCAGCTCCTTCCGTCTCTGGCGCCCAAGATTCAGCAGAATCCTCATCTCTCAGCTGTTCTGTCATGGCACGCTCCTGTTTTAGTTCCTGGGTGGGCTCCATATAGTTTCCCACTACCTGTTCAAAGGTTCTGGCCGCATTAGTCATCAAATCCGTCTTCTGGCTTAACTGATCCAATAGGGCATTTATTTTGCAGAAAGCACCCAACAGTGCTTCCAAACCCTTTCCCACAGTTGTAATCAGTGACAGCTGCAAGCTCCCAGGGATTAGTTACAATTTCACAGTTCCCCTCTAGGGGGAAAAACTTCTGATTGTTCTTTCTCTTAAAAACAATAGCAACAAAGTTTCCTTTTTAAGATATTTTGTCCATATTTGTTCTTTTAAGATGCGAAAGGGAGCAATGGAGTCACTATGTTTCTCTTCTTTTAACTATCTGTCAAAGACATTTGTTTCTGGTCAGTGAGCTTCAAACGTCAATTCTGACACCCCGCTCCAGGATCAGGATGGTGGAAAATTACTTTGCTTTAGATTCACTTCTGCAGGTTTAAACAGATCAAAAAAGCTCCCCCTTCTTCTCCTGCTACCGAAGGGGGGTTCAGCGATTTTAAATGATGAAAGTCAATCCTTTAAGAGTGATTTTTAAAGCTCTAGTTTGCGTTGTCTTTGCTTTGTTCTGGCTACAGGGAAACGGAAGGCTGACTTCCTGTTTAAACCTTTCCGTTTCAGTACCAAATTAGGGTGGATTTTTAAGTCCAAATTTCTTTCTATTTCACCAGTTCTTATTTAAAGTCCAGATATTCAATGTTCCAGTACTCACGGTTGGTTATTTTAGATGCCAAATTGTCCCAGGAAAAAGGCAGCGCTCTCTGGCAACGGCTATGCGGCTTCGCTCCGCAGAAAAAGCGATTGACTCACAGCACCGCGCCACTTCCCCCTCTTCGCTTCGGAGCCCGTTTGTGGGTTCCTTTGCGGGTTGGGGGGGCACTAAGGGTGCCCGCCGAGTCCCACGGTCACAGGCTTCATCCGCCTGTGATTCCCAGAAGGGTCCCCGCTTCGCCGCAGCGGAAAAGACCCGTTTCATGCGGAGCTGGTCCCTCCAGTTCGGAGGGAGTCCGCCATTGCCGATGGCACCACCCCGGAAGTCCCTGAATTATACTTCTCAAGCTCTTCACCTTTTGAATAAAGAATAGAGTGAACTCTACCATGGACTTTTACGAAATCGTGCTGCTATCACTATTTGCTCATGCTTCATCATTATGGCTGTGAACAAGTGAATGACATGTGTTGTTTCAATATTACTGATAATTCTAAAGCCATTCAAAGCCAAATCTCTCATTTGCAAAATCTTACACACCACATTAAACAGGACGTTGGATTTTCTGGCCTCTGGGATTCTTTCACCCAGTGGCTTACCGCTTGGTTGCCAAACCTGACTTGGCTTCGTAATCTCTTTCAATATGCCATTGTCAAAATATGTATATTAATTTTGCTATGTTGCTTCATCCAATGCATTCCTGGACTCATAAGTCTTTTGTCTCGGCTTCTCTCTCCCCCTCAGCCACCCAATAAAATCATTGCTGCTTACTTTGCGAAATGGCAGCACCAACAGTAAACATTAGGGGAGATGTGGGCAGCCTTATTTCGGGCATGCGCTGGCAAACCACGTATCCTGAAGTATTTTTGTCCCATTCTCCCTGAAATCACATAACAGCATCGGTGGACAGCCTTATTTCGGGCATGCGCTGGCATACCACGTATCCCGAAGTATTTTTGTCCCATTCTCCCTGAAATCACATAACAGCATCGGTGGGCAGACTTATTTCGGGCATGCGCTGGCATACCACGTATCCCGAAGTATTTTTGTCCCGTCTACGCTGGCAGACTTATTTCGGGCATGCGCTGGCATACCACGTATCCCGAAGTATTTTTGTCTTATTCACCCAGAAATCATATAGTAACACCTCGCAAATAAGAAAAGAAAGGGGGAGATGCTGGGAAGTTTTTGCCTCTGCACATGAGTCTGAGAATGTTCTGAACAGTTCCCATTGAGTTCATGAAACAGTGTACCCTGACCTGTTCTTAATGCATAGTTGACCACATCTACGGAACGCGATTGTTGTATTCTTTCATGTTATGATCAATCATTAGTAATTGTTTTAGTCTTGCTATATCAATCACCAGTTATAATTTAATTAGGAGGTTTCATGCCTGTCTAGTTCTGTGCTCCCTTTCCCAGCCTTTAATCTATTGGTGATTAATGCCTGTATGTAACCTTTGCTTTGTACTTGTGTTAACCAATCAGCAACGAGCGCACCTGTGGCAATGTTGTAATATTCAATAAAAGAGTCTCCTCAGGACTTGCTCGAGAGATGCCTCTCACATGACACTTGCTACTCGTCTGTCGTTATTTCAACCCAACAGCGCGGGACAGCTCGTCCTTCACCGTTGGGGACAACCCCTCCTCAAACAACATTTGAATAGGTTCAGAGTCCAGATCCCACCCAAGCCGGTGGACCAACATCGCAAAGCGCGACCAGTAGTCTCTAACTGACTGGCTCCCCTGCTTGCACCCCACCAGTTCTCTCCGAGTCACACTTTGCTGGACTTCACTGGAATACATCGCATCCATCGCCTGAAAGAATTTCTTAAGGTCCTTCAAGGCATGATTTTGCGTCGCCATAAGGGGCCTGATCCATTCCCTTGCCCCATCCTCCAGATGCCCCACAACGTAGGCCACCCTTTGCTCATCGTTAGCAAAGTCATCATGCTGCAGTTCCAAAGCGTACTCTATTTCCATTCGGAACGCATTGTAGTCCTGGGGTTTCCCCCCAAACTTGTGTACCAGCCCTGGTACCTTCCTTGCGATGGGGGTGGGTCTGACCTGAGCATCCTGAGCTCGTCTTTCGTCCAGCCGTGCCGTCAGGAGAGCTACATGCTGTTCCAAATCTTGGTTTCTCTCTACCAGACCTTGCACTGCAGCTGCTTGCTCCATCTCTTCGGCTCCTCCGGTCTGGCTCATGGTGCTGCCTCTCTGGAGCTGCGCACAAGCAACGTCGGGGACTGACGGATTGCTGTAATGGGTTTAGGGGTTGTTCGTGCGTAAGTTGCCGCCACTCCTGGCTAGGTTACCTGGTTAACCCTTTCTGACTGAACAGCCTCCAGCATCGTGACTGTCTCAGTCGCTGGCAGAATCCGTCAGTGGGCGTTTCTTAAACTTCTTCCAGCACAAAAGTTCCTTGACGCCAAGTCTCCTCCTACTCTTCCTGCACAGAAGTCTTCTGCGCAGGGAGGGTGTGGGCAGTGGAGTACCCGTACTCTCTCCGCTGGTCTCCGGCGAGGAGACTTGGAGCCTCCTCCCCGATTTCCCCATCTGCCCCCCTTCTCTACTGGTGTTACGCTGATTTCCTTCCCCAGCAGATGGGCTCTCTCTCTCCCTACTGGGACCCTCTCCGCCATCCCTTTGGAGCCTTCCCTCCGCTTCCAGCTCCGATGGCAGTTCCCTGACTCATAGCACTGTAATTTCAGAGTAAATCTGCAAAGGAACAGGCCAAAAGGCAGATAATTTCAGCATGGCAAAAGCTGTTAAATGTGAACAGTTTGTAGGTCTGTGTCTCTGCTAGGAACCTCCATACCAAATATGGTATTTTATGTCAATAAGAAGAACTAAATACTGATAGTAACTCAGTGGCCAGAGTCAGGAAAAACTAGATGGTGGTTTATGCTATCTTTGCAAACATATGAGATGGTTAGCTGTTGCTAAAACTGCTAATAAACGGTAAAAAGAAGTCTAAAGGACAGAAAGACCAGCACCAGCTCGACTGCAATTTCCATAGAAAATTACATTTATTCATTATATTTTCCCTTTGCCCCACCCCCAAAGCAGGACTAAGGACAAATTTATTTATTTTGTTTATTAATTTATCTGAAATAGTAACACAAAGCCTGTAAACTGTCAGGATCTTTGGGTGGCTTACAATGTTCAAATTAAAACAACAACAGTAAAACCAACCACAAAACAATAATTTAATAACACACAATTTAAACAACATTTCAGTTTCAGCTGGTCTCATCAAGTTAGATTTACAGCTCTGTGCCAAGATGGGGATCATCTGGTTGGACTTCTTTAAAATGGGATTAGTTATCCCCTTGTCTTCCCCCTTGTATAATTTGTGAACCACACAAAGCAGGTGTCAAAGATGAATCAATGCCAAAACCACACCAGCATCTGGGACAAAATGGATCTGCTCAACTTCTTCCTGTGAAGGAGATGCTAAGCATACTCTCAGACCTGTCACTCTAAGGTATATTTTAGGCTTTCAGTGTTAGAGGAACGATATTGTCCTAGATACTTCAAAGTTTAATAAATAAACTTAATAAATATACAAAAAACACCAACCAACACAAATAACATTTTAAAACACTAAATTAAAACCACACTAATAACTAAAAAGTTACCCCAAACTATTAGCCAGCCCAGCATAAACTCAACATATTAACAATTTGGAATATTGTATAGAATTAGCAGTCTAATTTATTTCAACTATTGAAGGCTGCAGAGAGAAAAAAATTGTCTTTAAGGCCCACTTAAACATGAAGTGGGATAGAGACAGTCTGATATTGCGGGGAATTTAATATGCTGCTCCTTCCACCCTGTTTGGAAGGTGGGAACAAGACCCACATGAAAAGCAACAAGTAAGAAAACAAGTTCATTACAAAGCAGGTACCGCTGTAAGAGCTGTTGTAGCCAGGTTTCTTTATTTTGTGAACATATATTAATTGATGGTGACTCTTGGACACCTGGAGGATGTCCTCAATAAGACTGCAAAGTTTAGAATATTTTTATTAAGATTTGGGCTATATGGTGAGCTCTGAGAAGTGTACACACAGTCTTAGAAACAAAGCTTACAAACAGAATCATTCTAGAGTCATGTTAATAAACCTTTCTCTAGAGACCAGGAGCACTCATTGCAAACTGGAAAGACATTTCTTTGGGGAGTGAAGTAGTTTCCCCATCATATCCAGCCCACCCCACCCCCAGTGCAGCCCAGAGTCCCACCTTCTCAGCTATGTGAAAATCTGGAGAATTCAATAGAGTTTGTTAGCATTTTCTGAAAGGTAGCTTCAAGCTGAGGGTAAAAATTCAGCCCAAAGCTCTCCAGTGCCAGCTGTTTGGTTTGTAGGCAGTTGTTTGGAAGGACTAGCAGGCTGCTTTGAAAAGCGAAGTTCAGATGAAAACATTCTCTCCAAGTTCAGGAGCTGCAACTTTGCCCGCCTTGTTGAAATCGTCGATGGGAAGACCTTTAATTTTCCTTAGCCAGGCATTTTTACACTCTTTTTCTCTGTTTGCTATAACCTTGGTCTTCTGTGCCTGATACTCGTGCGCCTTAGCTTCTTCATACTCTTTCATCTGTTGGGTTGTCAAAAGCCGGAACCCAGAATTGAGCCGGTATGGGTTTGGGGTGTGGGTGAAGAAGAGTTTGGGTCGCCGTGGTATCATGTCTCTATCGGGTTGGGCAATCTTCATTCGGGGCACTTTGATGGATTCGACAGAGCTTGTAAAGTGACCAACGACATGCCCTATGGCAGGTGGAGATGGTATCTTTGCCTGGCGAGAAATTTTCCCCCCTCTGGCCAAGTTGCTGCATGATTGGGAACGTGTAATAGTGGGGGCTGGGATGAAGGATTTCACCCTGCTTCCAAGCAAGGAGTTCTTTAAGCTTAACTGCAGCGTTTTGGTTTCATAAGGTGTGGAAATCCTTTCCATGCCAATCATGCAACGGGCAGCCTTCAGTCGTTTCAGCTGGGTTGATGGATCCATTTTCAGTTGCTCTGGACTTTGGGCAGCAGGGGTCTTTTTGGGCAAATTTTTCTGGAGAAAGGCAGGCCCCCAGGCATCTTTGATGTTCATATTGTATGCCATGTTGGCACTGACTTGGTCTGTCTGGTAGGCATGCTGCATTGTGCTAACAGTGAGAAGTATCTGGTCACCAGACAGGGGACCATGGAAACGCCTCTTCTTTATGTGCTTTACGAAAGCATCAGCATCCTGGCCCAATGCAAAGTTGCTGGCTAAGGGCTTGTTTTCCTCTAACTCATCTCCTGTTTTCAAAAATAAAAGTGAGATGAGTGAAGATTAGCACCTGGGGGAAGGCAGGGCAGAACTTGGAGCACAGGTCTGGTTCCCTACTTGGTAGAGTAAATAATCAGAAGACCCCCCCCCCCCCAAATGAAGTCTTTTAAAAATCCATGGATTGAAAGAGGAACCTATGGGGATGGTGGAATCAGGAGCTCCCCTGTCAGAAGAGCTAGAAGAGGAGTAGCTAGCTTCCTGCTGAATGCTTCCCCTCCCCTCTCTCTGTGGGACTGGGGGCTGTGGTTTGTGCAGGATGGAGGGGGGCTGAATGACTGAATATGGGTGGGTAGGTAGGGGCCTGCAAAGCCTGATGAGTAGAGCAGGATGGGGAGAAGGCATGGGTGTTTGTTTGAGGTGGGGAGGAATAAATCATGTTGGCTGACACTTTAGTTTTAAAGGCAAGAGTCCAAAGAGGGAAGGGATATGACTAGGAGGAAGGAGTGGTGCCAGATGATAAGCTTGTTGCTCAATGGCTCACAAAAATGTGGAGTTCACTCTGCACATTACCATGTAAAGGAGGGCCCGAAGTCTTCAACTCACCTAACTGCAGCACTGGGTTTACTGTGAGATGAATTCATTGTTGCTGATGTCAAAGTGGTTGCCATGGTGCGCCAAGACAAGCACAGTTCCAGGCTACTATTATGTCATGCAGGAGTGTGAAGTGGATGTTATGGAGACGAAGGGTAGAGTACGTGTTTGACATTTGTACGATCTAAAATGTATATTGGCTCTGTTTCTCTTTCTAATTGAACATCCCTTAACCTGCTGCTTTGTGGTGCTTTGTTTATCCCATTTCCCACCTGTGTCTTTACTATTTCACTTTAACATGTAGTAAAGGATATTCCCGTGCCCTGACCCGCATTTTACTTTCCTCACCCTCACATTCCGTCAATCTGTTTTAAAATCTACTTTCCCCCCTTCTGTTTTGCCAAGTCAATAGCAGGTTCTTTAATGGATCTTTGATGGACCATAGAGTGCTTAGTGAGGGGAAAGATTTTTATTTGAACAAAATAGGCTTCTCGTGTAAAACCTCCCCAAACAATCTATGATTCACCCTCTTACACAAAGAAACAATCACCAAGAAGCTATCCCCACAATACCTTCACTCAGACAACCCACATATAGCACCAGATCACCAAATCCCTTGTTCCAGCCATGGGGGGAGGGGCGGCCTCAGGAACAGCAGCGTCCAGTCTGTGATGCAGTAACGTTGACTACGTTGCCCTGCACCCAGACTCTCTGCATCAAATGCCTCCCCGGCCGTCACCTGGGATGAATAGGGCTCCTCCCAGTCCCATAATCTGGGCAATCGAGCCCCAGCTGGGCCACCCTCAAGGGCAGGAGGGCTCCTGCAAGGACATGCAGCCTTAAAGGAACAGTTGATTGCGCAAGGCCAATCCTAAGCCTGCTCGATCCTTTGGCATTTCCACTACACCTCCCAAATCTACAATTTGCATACTGTTTATTTTGAGTATGCTAATCAGCTCTGGTGGCCTAAAGCTGGACTACAGGAACAAGTGGCACCTTTAAATGCAGCTGCACATTTTCAATACACCATAGTTCCTTACCTACTAGAGTTGTTACAGATTTTGAACGAGCGGCAATAGAAAAGAGTCTAGTCTGCTCATCTGGCTTCATTTCCAGGGTTACCACATTTTCGCGCATCCTGGGAAGAGGTTCCTTCGAAATTTGATAACGAAGAGCTAGAAAAGAAGGGAATCATTTCAGCTGCTGTCTCCAAAGCACACTTATTGTGAAGGAAGTCCTACTGAACTCAGTCGGACTTTCTTCCAAGTATATGAGAATATGGCTATATGGCTGCAATCTTCAAATGGCTTAACTCCAGAGTTGTGTTTTGTGGATCAGTGGGACTGTGCATGCCAGTGAGCTTGTGCTTATCAGTTTTGTATCAGCTACAAACATCCTAAACATGTATGAGCAATGTATCACTTGATATCTGTTTCTTCTCTCCAGAAATTCTAGTTAATTTGAATATTGCTGCGGTTTGTGAAATTAGAAAAATGTGAAAAGTAGTCTGATAGGACTTCTTCACAGAAGGGATATCTAACTACTGTGTAGTTGGTCTTGTATAATTCTTAAGAACTTATTAGAATACATTCAAAAGGAGTTCTTCAGTAGAAACCAGTCTTACTCTTCATTATTCCAGAGAACCAAGATCAAACCCATCTTGCAAAACTACACAAGGATTCCTGATGAATATTCCTAGGAACCCAGAAATATCCAGCCTTTCTTTCTGTAATGGAGGTAGGTTTTATAATTGTTTTAATGCTGCTTTTAATATATGTGTTATATGTTTATTGTTGTTAAGTTGCTTTGAGTAACTTTTGTATATCTAAAAAAGAAAAGTGACTAATAAGTTTAAGCAATAATAACCTAGGAGAATGTCATCAAGCAGAATATGACGCCATCTGAGGAAGTGAAGGTGGCCCTAGATTGTATCTTTTCTAGTCTAAAGCCACATTTCCTCATGGAGAACCTTTTAGGGGTCACGTGACAGTCTTGGGTGTGGCCCAAGTGGATGAACAATGGATGTAACTTTTATCTTCCTATAGTAGCTGAGACTCTAGCCACACAAACGTGCTAGGTTTCTGCATGCGCATGTGTGCGCATGCACACACACACACACAGCCACGTGTCTCCATCCTTCATCCAGGCCAGTAAGAGGTGTTATCTTATTGTAAGGATGCATTGCAGTCTGGATTTGGTCTCTGGGCATAAGGCTTCCCCAATCCTGCTCACAAATCCCTGATTATATTACATGAGTTCTGCTGTTTACCTATCCACAAAACAGTATAAAGTAGGACATTGCAGAGCACTTGTGTTATTAAAACCTACAGATAAATCTGTCTCTCTTCAAACAGCCACCAATGACCTGAAATATCCCCACACAGCCGTCTGTTTTGCATATGTACCCAGAGCTGGTTCATATGCTCAGATTTTGGTTGAGTTTGCTTTACCCTGCAGCAAACTGAGTGGGCAAAAGGAGTCTGATTACTCAGCACTTGCACAACTCAATGGCTGCATTGGGGTGCCATGCTAAAGCATAGTTTGATGAACAAGCTGGAGTGAGCCGCCGCAAGCCTCAGGTTTGAAAGGTCACCCATCTTCTCTGGTACAGCCATGAAGAGGCACTTGGAAGCTCTCACTTCTGCGTAGCCACAGCTTGTTGAGTTCTCCAAATCAATAAGCTGTGCTTAATGTCAATGTAGTTCAAAGCTAGCTTGTGTCAAATAAACCATCGCTAATGTCAACCATGGTTTTGCAGTTGGGGCAAAACAAGCAAGCTGTGGTTGAGCAAAACCTTCCAAACTCTTCTTTGTAGCCACAGCAGAGTGGCAGGGGCAGTTGTGTGAGCCCAAGACTCACTGCAGATTGCTCACATAATCCTAAATGATGATATATCCTTCAAACTGAGGTCCCCAGATGTTGCTTGACAGCAGTTATCATCTCTAATCATTGGCTAAACTGGCTGCATATGATATGAGTTATAGTCCAACAACATTTGGAGTACAGATAGATTTTTCATTCCTCTTTGTGAGTGATAAAAGGAGGATCAGACCACCCTTTTACTGCATGTCAAATGCAACATAGATCAAATGTGATGCTTATCATCACAGGGTATTAGAATTTAAAGGAGAGATGACTGAGGCTGTATACAAGCCATCTAAACACCCTGGAAGAATTTGTAAAAGGGTGAAGAAGTCCCTCCCTTCTTGACGCCTACCAACACTTGCAGGATTTCACCTGCCATTTAACTTAATACTTGATGGGCATCAGGAGCAGTACCTGGAGTAGCATTTCTGAAGTATTTCGTCGACTTCCGAATAATGTCATAGGAAAATACTGTTTTGGTGTTGTAAAGCTTCCATTTATTCCTGTGGGACCGTTTCTTCCGCCCAGAAAGTAAATGTGGCGGCATTATTTGCAACGCTTTGTCGTCAAATTTGCTCTTTTCTTTCCTTTTAGTTAGTTGTTCGGAAGCTAGTGTGTGGTCCCAAACTACTTCCTCAAACTGGAACATAACCACACTGCCCAGTGCATTGACCAGTAGCCTAAAAGAAAGGCAAAGGTAGTGAGAAAACACCATGGCCAACTGTCAGAAAGTACCAAACGTGTAGTGCTATAAACTGAGGAGTGAGGCATTATTATAACCTTCAATCTGCAAGGAAGGAAAGGTGGTATGGATGTAGCTTACTGCCACACTGCCTTTTCCTGCAACTAGTGACATGATTTTTTTTTTTTCAAATGCAAATAGCAATCACGTGGCGGGGTGGAAGACTGAGAATTATAGAATTGTAGCAAATGGGGGAGGAGAAGTTTTAAACTCTTTTTCCCTTGGTGCAATCCTAATGAAAATTGCTCCTCTAAAGCTGTCATTTGCATGGGGGTGGTTCCATTGGTTTCATGTAGATGTTAAACAGCCATAGGGGATAACATCAAACCCTGAGGAACCCTGCACTGAAGACTCCACAGGGCTGAAGAGCACTCCCCAAGCGTCACTCTCTGGAAACATCCCTCCAAACAGGACCAGAACCACTGCAAAGCAGTGCTGTCCACCAGCAATTCAGACAATCACCCCAGAAGCAATCCAAGGCCCTTCACAAGCCAGCCCACACATTTCCTCAGAAATGTATATGACAACCTTTATTATTTAAGAACTGGGAAATAATGTCTGCAACCTACGTGTTTTCCACTATACAGAAGGACACCACGGGGTCACCTCTGCTATTGGCTCTCAAAACTCTCAGGCAGGTCCCTGTCAGGAAGTTGAATATGCGTATCTTCCCATCCGCACAGCCACTGATGACTCTGAGATAGAGAAATCCCAGGGACAGAACCTCCCTACAAACAAGGAAAGTTGTTGAAATACAGCACTTGCTCTTATGAGGACAACATTGAGACTGTAAAGGTGTCTTGGTGTAGAATGATGAATTAACACTCCTCAAAGTAAACAGAGGATGTGTTTTACAAGGAATATTCATGACTGAGGTGAAGTTGGAGGGGATTATTACTCCACTAGTACAGCTTTGTCTATTTGCACACACACGTAGAATGCACATAATGCAGTCAATGTTCATTAATTTGAATTAGTCTATTCTAAGTAGAACTTAGTGGAATACCACCCTGTAATGGTTCTAGGGGTTGCTCGTGCGTAAGCTTGTCCCAACCTCTGGCTGGGTTGCCTGAGTGAACCTTTCCTGTCCGGGCAGCCACTCGCCCGTGACTGTCTCAATCGCTGGCAGAATCCGTCAGTGGGCGTTTCTTAAACTTCTTCCAGCAAAGAAGCTCTTCGACGCCAAATCTCCTCCTACTCTCCCTGCGCGGAAGCCTTTTGCGCAAGGAGGGTGTGGGCAGCGGAGGACCCTTCCTCTCCTCGCTGGTCCCCGGCAAGGAATCATGGGACCGCCTCGCCGATTCCCCCATCTACCCCCTTCTCCACTGGAGCTACGTTGATTCTCTTCCCCAGAAGACAGGCTGCCTCTCCCACTCCTGGGACGCTCTCTGGGATCTCTTTGGAGCTTGCTCTCTCCCTCGGACACTGATGGCAGTTCCCTGACATCCACCTCCTCCTCAGGACCCCTCCCACCCCGGGCGCGATCTTCCGGCACAACCTCCTCCCTCTCCTCGGCCAACGATGTGGGAAATCCCCTGAAAGAGCTGGCATCATCTTCTGAGGATTCAAAACCAGCCTCCCATCCTCTTGGATCTCTTTCCGCTGGTTGACCCTCCCAGTCTGATTCTTCTCCCTCGGACACCTCCTCTCCCTCTTCTTCGGAGGCAGGAAAACCCACAAAATCCCCTTCGTCGTCCGTGGGTCCAAATTCCTCCTCCCAGAATCTCGCTAATGGTTTGGGCTTATCCAGGAACAAACTGTGGAATTCTTCCACCAGATACCCGTCAGTGATTGATTCAGCAGGGACCCAAGTGTTTTCTGACCTAGGTTCCCCCTCCCAGGCTACCAAGTACTCTACCTGGCGACCTCGCCACCTTGAATCGAGTATTTCCGTGGCTTCGTTACAGTGTTCCCTCTCCTCTACCTGCGGGTGGGTGGTAACCCCTCCCTCCCGTCCCGGGAATTCCTGCCCCTCCCTGTAAGGTGAAAGTAGGGACCTATGGAACACCGGATGTATCTTCATGCTGTCAGGCACCTTGAGTTTAAATGCCACTGGGTTCACCTGCTGTATTACCTCAAAAGGCCCCAGCCGCCTCGGCTGCAACTTCTTGCACCCTCCCTTTAGGGGCAACCCTTTGGATGACAACCACACCCGGTCTCCCACCCGTATGGCCTCCCCCTCTCGACGGTGCCTGTCCACCTGCCTCTTGTACACTTCCTTGGCCCGCTCCAAGTTCAGCCTTAGTTGCTGGTGTAAGGCCTCCATTTCCTCCACAAATTGCTCAGCCGCAGGTACACTCCATCCTTCCTCCCCCCGCCCCGGGAATGCCCAGGGGTGACACCCGTAATTGGCCATGAAAGGGCTCATTCCCGTGGACACGTGTTCAGAGTTATTGTATGCAAATTCAGCCAAAGCTAATTTCTCTACCCAATCGTTCTGTCTTTCGCTGACATAGCAGCGTAGGTATTGCTGGAGTATGCCATTCGCTCTTTCAGCTTGTCCGTTGGTTTCCGGATGCCTCGCCGTCAAGAAGCTCACCTCAACCTGTAGCAAGCTCATGAGTTTCCGCCAGAACCGGGAAGTAAATTGTTTCCCACGATCCGAGATTACCCTTAAAGGAGCCCCATGCAGTCTGAAAATGTGATTCACAAACAGCCTGGCGGTCTCCTCTGCCGTTGCTGCATGTGAGCAAGCTACGAAATGGCACATTTTAGTCAGTAGATCAACTACTACCATGACCGCTGTCTTTCCCCTAGACTTGGGCAGATCTGTCATAAAATCAATGGACACCACCTCCCAGGGCCTTCCCGGTGTGGGTAAGGGTTCCAGTAGCCCCGCGGGGGCGGCCCTTTCCCCCTTAGCCCTCTGGCATCGGTCGCACCCTCGTACATATTCTCATACGTCTTCCCTCACCTTTGGCCACCAGAATTGCCTGGTGACCAGTAGCATGGTCTTGTGCTGTCCAAAATGCCCAGCTGTTGGGTTGTCATGGAGTTGCTTAAGTACCTTCCCCCTCAAAGTCTCCCCCGGTACATACAGTGCCCCTTATAGTACAGTAGCCCTTCCTTTTCCTCAAACCCTCCATGGACTTCCTTTCCATCCCTGAGCTCCCTGATCTTTGTCTGAGCAAACTCATCGTCTCTGGTGAGCCCTGCCAGTTCTCGTTTGCCAACCAACGCCCCCCCCCCACACCCACCGGTCCTCGGGGAACACGTGCCTGGTCTCTGGTGGCCCTTCTCCTTCCATGTACTCCGGTTTCTGGGAGAGAGTATCTGCCCTTACGTTCTCCTCTCCCGGCACGTATCGGATCTCGAAGGAAAACGTGGCGAACTCCTGGGACCACCTGATCTGTCTCTGGTTGAGCACTCGCGCGGTCCGCCAGTATTCCAAGTTCTTGTGGTCAGTTCGGACCTGGATCTTGTGCTGCACCCCTATCAACAGATGTCTGCATCGCCGAAATGCCGCATAGATCACAAGCCGTTCTCGGTCATACACGGTGTAGTTTTGCTCTGACTTGCTCAGCTTCCTGGAGAAAAAGGCACACAGCCTCCAGTTCTGCTTGGCCCCGGGTTGCAAAAGGACCGCTCCAATGGCGCGGTTGGACGTGTCCGTTTCCAGTCTCATGGGCTTCTCCTGATCCACGTGCAGGAGCTGCTCTTCCGAGGCGAACGCCCTCTTCAGTTTTTCAAAGGATTGCTGCGCATCCTCTGTCCACGTGAACTTCTTTTTGCTACTAAGACAATCCGTTATGGGCGCTGTCAAGTGAGCGAAGTTCTTTATGAACTTCCTGTAGAAGTTGCTGAAGCCTAGGAACCTTTGCACATCCTTTCTGATTTTGGGGGCTTTCCATTGAAGCACTGCCTTTACCTTGCCCGGATCCATGGCCAGTCCTTTGTCTGACAGCCTGTAGCCCAGGAACTCGACCTCCTTGGCATGGAATTGGCATTTTTCCAGCTTGACCCACAACTGATGCTTCTTCAATCTCTGTAGCACCTCCCTGACATCTCTGACGTGTTGCTTTTCATCGTCCGAATAGATTAAGACATCGTCCAAAAAGGCTACGCAATTCTTGTACAGCAGGGGCCCCAACACATGATGCATGAATGCTTGAAAGCAGGCAGAGCCCGATTGTAATCCAAATGGCATGACTAAGTACTCAAAAGCCCCCAGGGGGGGTGAACATAGTCGTTTTCCATTCGTCCCCCTCCCTTATCCTAATCAGATTGTAGGCTCCCCTGAGGTCCAGCTTGGTAAAAATCTTCCCCTGCCTCACACGTGTCAAAATATCATCAATCCTGGGCATTGGGAAAGTCACGGGTTCTGATACCAGGTTTAGGGCCCGGTAATCCACGACTAATCTGGGCTGGTTAGTCTCCTTTTTGTCCACAAAGAACACTGGACTGCCCCCCACCGCCTTGGATTCCCTTATGAAACCTCTCTTCAGGTTCTTGTCAATAAACTGCCATAGCTCCTGCATCTCCCGGTTGGACATGGCATACAGCTTACCCACTGGTAACTGAGCCCCTGGAAGCAGGTTGATTTGGCAGTCAAAGGGCCTGTGGGGGGGCAGCTTATCTGCCTCCCTTTCGCTGAAGACCTCCTTCAGATCAGCATATTGTGGTGGCACCTCCCCTTTTTGCTCCAGGGCCAACCCAGCCACCCTGGTCTCCGCCATTCTGGGTTCCTTCCCTCCCAGACAGTGCTCTAAGCAGTAAGCTGACCCAAAGGTGACCGACCGCTGATGCCATGACACCACTGGGTCATGCATTGCCAGCCAGCTCATTCCCAGTATTATTGGGGGTCCTGCCAGCGTGGCCACGTGAAAGGCAATGGTTTCCGTGTGCCTGGAAACCCTCATTCACATTGGCGGTGTCTGGTGCGTCACTCCCCCCCCCCCGGAGTTCCCTGCCATCAATGGTGGTCACCTGCAAGGGAAAGTCTAGTGGTAACAGGTGGAGTTGGTGTTCCAGAGCGAAGTCTCTGCTGAAGAAATTACACGAGCTGCCCGAATCTAGCAGTCCCTTCACTTTGACGGGGTGCCCGTTTGGGAGTTCTAGCACCACCTCTATGGCTATAGCTGCCTTGGGGGGGATGGTCAGGCTGGGGCACTTTTATTGGTGGCTGGCCTGGCTGCTGCCCCCGCTGGTTGGCAGCCAGGCGTTGTCGTTTCCCTGCACCTGCCCCTCCTCCTCCTTCTCGTCGTGGTCTGCAGCCCCCATCATGCCTTGCCAGGCCTTTCGCTGAGGGCAGACCTTGGCAAAATGTCCCAGTCGCTGACAGAGGAAACACTTCTTGGTAGTTTTCCACTCCTTTCCCTCCCTTTTCTGACCTTCACCAGCGTTTGAAACTTCGCGCACGCGCGAGCTCCATCAATTTCCATCGGCTCCGCCACCTGGGAAGGCTCCCTGGGCAACTCGGGAATGCGGTTGTCATGGAAACGTTCCGCCCTTATCTCCCGCTTCTCTTGAGCCCACGCTTCCTGGCGTACATCGATCGCAAGCACAGTCTTTGTGAGTTCATCCATCGACCGCAGGCGGGGCGCTCGGGACAACTCGTCTTTCACTTCGGGGGACAAACCCGCCTCAAACAACATTTGCATCGGTTCAGAGCTCAGATCCCACCCAAGTTTGTGGACTAACATCGCGAAACGCGACCAGTAGTTTCTGACGGACAGGCTCCCCTGCTTGCACCCCATCAGCTCCCTCCGTGTCACGCTTTGCTGCACCTCGCTGGAGAACATTGCGTCCATTGCCTGGTAGAATTTCTTAAGATCTTTCAATGCATCATTCTGCGTCACCATTAGGGGCCTGATCCATTCGCGCGCCCCATCCTGCAGATGTCCAACAATGTAAGCCACCCTCTCCCCGTCATCAGCAAAGTCATTTTTCTGCACTTCCAAAGCGTACTGAATTTCCGTTCGGAAGGCATTGTAGTCTTGGGGCTTTCCACCAAACTTGTGTACCAGCCCCTGAACCTTCCTCCCTATTGGGGTGGCTCTGACCTGTGCATCCTGAGCCCGTCTCTCCTCCAGCCGTGCCGTCAGGGTAGCTACATGCGCCTCCAGGTCTCGGTTCCTCTCGACCAGACCTCACACCAGGGCTTCTTGCTCTGTCCCTCCGGCCGGCTCTGTTTGGCTCATCTTGCTGCCTCTCCGGGGCTGTGCACAAGCAACGTCAGGGACTGACGGATTGCTGTAATGGTTCTAGGGATTGCTCGTGCGTAAGCTTGTCCCAACCTCTGGCTGGGTTACCTGAGTGAACCTTTCCTGTCCGGGCAGCCACTCGCCCGTGACTGTCTCAATTGCTGGCACAATCCGTCAGTGGGCGTTTCTTAAACTTCTTCCAGCAAAGAAGCTCTTTGACGCCAAGTCTCCTCCTACTCTCCCTGCGCGGAAGCCTTCTGCGCAAGGAGGGCGTGGGCAGCGGAGGACCCTTCCTCTCCTTGCTGGTCCCTGGGAAGGAGTCATGGGACCGCCTCGCCGATTCCCCCACCTGCCCCCCTTCTCCACTGGAGCTACGTTGATTCTCTTCCCCAGAAGACGGGCTGCCTCTCCCACTCCCGGGACGCTCTCTGGGATCTCTTTGGAGCTTGCTCTCTCCCTCGGACACTGATGGCCGTTCCCTGACACACCCCTAGTTCCTGCCCTTCCCTCATGTGTTACTCTGAGCAGAAAATATGTCAAGCAAGTGCTGTTTACTAGGAAAATGACAAATTGAGGTTTAAACAGGCTGCCACCTGAAGTGAAAAGTTACTGCAAGAACGCACCCGGATCAGCAGAGCGCTAAACGTAAGCAAACAAAATGTGAGCCAATTTACTTTTAGGCAGTTGAGGGAGAAAGGAAATCAACACCGTGTTGAAGGATTGTATGCTGACATAAGGCGCTGGGTGGAGAACTGCCTGAACTGAGAACTGGCATTGGCTCGAGTCCAGAGATGCTAGAGGCACCTTCTTCTATGTGCCAAGGCAGGCCAGCAGGAACCTGGGAGAACTGAGACGAACTTAGAGAAGAGGACCACAGAGAGTACAGCAAGAGTAGGTGACTCTTCAACTGTTGTTGGACTCCAACCTTCATCAGCTCCAGCCAGCATGATCACCATTCCCTAGTGAATGAAGAGGCACAACTTGCTGCCTTTCTGGAGTAAAGTAGTCTGATGGAGATGGAAAGTGAAAAATGGCCACCATCTTTCAGAGGCCTGTAACCACATGCCTTCTTTCTCGCTGTATCCTTTCATCATTACCAGTTCACAACACCATCACTTTTGAGATGTGATATAGACTAAATATTAACTGAAGTGGTAAATCCTATGAACAGCTTTAACGTAGAGGACCTTTGAAGGTGGAGACAAGCCATTCATAGTAGAGTCATGCTAGGTTCTCTGGTCTTAGGTTTTTGCCATCTTGGAGGTGGGTGGGAGTTAAAAGAAAAGATAAACCTTGTATGGTTCAAAAGCAGAGAGCTGCCTCATCTCGTACAGAAGGGATTTTGGCAATGGGGAAGATTCACAGTTCCAGTTAGCTTTGTCCTTTATAAAAACTACTACAAACACATAAGGATCAAGAGTCATTGCTAAGGACATCACAAAGTCTGCAGCTTTTCAACCGCAATAAACAATACCTACATGGGGTGTCTGAAAGCCCCCAGGCATCTCTTGTGATTTCCCAGCATGCTCCATCCCAGGATATAGCCGTCATTGCTTCCGGTCAGAAGATGCCAATCATCAAACGACAGGCACGTCACAGGGCCCAGATGGCCTTGTAAAGTCTGGAAAACGAAACAGATTTGTTTTTGCATGCTCTTTAGAGGGTTCCAGCAACCACAGGATTATGATGCCATTGTTTACTTTGTTGGTGGTAAAGATGTGACTAACCTACACTGTCCGCCTGTTGCTGAATTCTAAGCATCTAACCTATCAGAAATGTCAGCTTTCTTGCTGGAGTGGGAAAGGATCAAAATAACCCCTTTAAAAATAGTGGGGAGCAAGGAATCATCAGACTGATTAGGCTAATTTCAATCCCAGGAAAATTTGTAGAAAGCATAATTAAACATATAGACGAACAAGTCCCGCTGAAGAAAGACCAGCAAGACTTTCTCTCAGAGAAGGTTTGCCTCACCAAACATTCAGAATTCTATGAGTGTGTCACAGACATGATGTATTGCAATTAGCAACCACTTTTGGTGAAGTTGCACACTAAATTCCTATTGCTGCCTAGAAAACCCCAGCTGCCAGGTTCAGTTCCCATATTTCACTCTGAATGAGTGGTCACTGTAAGCCAGCTCTCTTCTGATTGTTTGACATTTGCCTGGGTTAGTCCCTTTGCTATCCCTGTATTCATGAAATGCCAAAGAAGCTTGAAAGGTCTCGCTGACCTTTCTCTGTGTTCCCAAGGAAGATAGAGCCCCATTGTTGCATACAAACTTTTGGCAAGAGCAGTAGAGAAGTATGGAGGGCCATATTAGCCGCCCGCCCACCCACTCCGGCCTGAGTTTCCCCACCACTGCTCTGACTCCACCTTAAATGTGTTGCTTGGTGCCACATACTGAGCTGACAGCATTTTCAGAGTCAGCCGCTGCGTTTTAAATCTTACCTTTATCAGTATACATGTCTCAGCATGCCACACTTTCACTATGCCCTTATCGCAGGCACTCACGACATGTGTTTCATTCATCTTAGCAGCCCAAACAATAGCTTTGTGCGCGAAAGTCTTAACGCACTTTCCAGTTTCTATATCCCACACTGTGAAAAACACAAAAAGATGCCGTTAATTCATTTCCCCACAACCCTGAGCAGTCCCCTGGTGCCATTAAGCTGAAGTGACGAGTGCAGGATCTCAGAGACCTTGCCAAAGACACAGACAAGCTGGGAGATGGACAGTACTCTCTTGCAAAAAAATCTCTAAAGGTGGCAGCATGTTTAGCAGCAGCATATGCTCCAAAGAGTCACTCAGTCCCCTTCCTCCTGAGATTGGTAGGATGACCAAGCAACCCCCAGAACTTGCTCTGGAAGCAGAAAAGAAGATCCCAATGAGGACTGAGCAGCCTTAGTGGCCTTCAGCCAAAATAGAATGCCAAGTGTCTACTGGAGAGGAAAAATGGAAAACTGTGTGTGTGAACAGTCTTGCTTGAGCCCCTTGCAACTTATGGAGGAAGGCATGATTCCTTGAACTGGAACACTCCTGTTAGATACAGTGGTACATTGATTCTCGAACTTAATCTGTTCCGGGAGTCCATTTGACTCCCCAAACTGTTCAAAAACCAAGGTACAGCTTCTGATTGGCTGTAGGAGTCTCCTGCACTCAAGCGGAAGCTGTGTCGGACATTCGGCTTCCGAAAAACGCTTGCAAATCAGAACACTTATTTCTGGGTTTGCGGCATTTGGGAGCTGATTTGTTTGGCAACTAAGCCATTCGAGAACCAAGGTACGACTGTATTGAGGATGTACTGCAACATGTTATTCTGCAATAAAAGTTAAAGGTAAAGGACCCCTGACAGTTAAGTCCAGTCGCATACGACTCTGGGGGTTGCGGCGCTCATCTCGCTTTACAGGCCGAGGCAGCTGGCGTTTTTCTGCAGACAGTTTTTCCAGGTCATGTGGCCAGCATAACTAAGCCGCTTCTGGTGCAATGGAACACCGAAACCAGAGCAGCACACAGAAAAACCGTTTACCTTCCCGCCAGAGTGGTACCTATTTATTTACTTTTTGGCATGCTTTCAAACTGCTAGGTTGGCAGGAGCTGGGACCAAGCAACGGGAGCTCACTCCATCGCGGAGATTCGAACCGCTGACCTTCTGATCAGCAAGCCCAAGAGGCTCAGTGGTTTAGACCACAGTGCCAGTAGGAACCTTCTAATGACTACAGTTCCCAAGATTCTTTGGAGGAAGCCATGTTTGTTTAAAGTGGTATGATTCTGCTTTAAAAGTATCTTGACGATGTGGTCATAGTTCTGCATTACAATTGTTTACCCTTTCATTCTTCAAAATTTAAATTTAACTATAGTATGTAGATTTTCCCGTATTTCCCTGGGAGACAGGCAACTTTTTGCTCACATTTTGCTGTGCAGTCTTTGGATCCAGACACAAACTTGCTCTTGTACAAATCCAGGCAAGTGATGCTTCCTGTGTGGCCGTTGAAAATTTTCACACATGCCCCAGTGAGGATATTCCACATTCTAAAAGATACGGATCAAGAGGATGAGAAGAAACAAACACTGAAGTTGCATGTATGTTACCAGCTTAAAATATAGCTAGGCTGTTTCCCCCATCAATTTGGATCAAAGCGGGTTTAGGGAAAATTGCATCAAAATGCAGTATTTCTCAAGAAACAACAGAATAGATGCGCATTGTGGCCAACATGGTGTATACATTGCTTTCCAAACTAGTAGCGGAAGTGCATGAGATGCTGAGTAAACAGAAGAGTGTACACAGCCAAAATATAACAAGTTATTGAAATTTCAAGCATATCTAGATAGGGGTGCAACCAAACAAATGGGAATAAATATCTGGAAGCAATATGCTTTGCCCGGTCTTTCTCTGTTTGGATTACGATACTGGGGTTAATGCTTCATTTCCCCTTTTCTACTATGTAGCTTACCAAATTAGTATGGGGATTTGCAATATGTGGCAATGGCCGATCCAAGGTGAGATTGAATTGGTAGATGTGTGCATGAAAATTGCTTTAAGTTCTGACATTCCATTCACCTATCTTCTTGTCCGATCTGTTGGTACCAGGTTTTATAGCTTCTCTAGTGTATACTAAAGTTTAAATAATGTGATGATATGGGTATGATATATTATGGAATACAATGTAACACATGGCACTATACTGTTGTTGTTTTTTAATGTGCTTTCTGGGTTTCAATAAACAACGTTCAGAAGCTGACACTCCCTAAAGAACTGGAGCCACCAACAAATTAGTCCACCAACAATTTATTTGAAATTCTGCAAGTGAGTTGCAAGTGCATTGCTGTTTCATTTGTTGTTGTGTTCTGTAGTCTGTGGCTCTGTATTTCATTACTGTGTGAAGTGCCCCGGAATTGGAGAATGAAGGATGGTATATAAGAATAATTATTTTCTTTAAAAAATAAAATACAGTAGCTAATTCTGGAGCTTCCTGGCTCCAACCATCATTTGCTAGGGCTCCACCCAGTGCTGGAATGCACCTCTCCACAGATTACCCCTGAGCCCTCATCCTTGTTGTGGGAGTACATAACTTATTTTAGACTCAAGGAGCATAATAATACAATGTGAAGTATTTGTAAGCCCCACCAGCAACAAGCACTCAAGGGACGTTGAATTAAATGAGCCGTAAGTACCCTTAACATCTTCCGTATTTTGCCTTTCCCCCCAAAATGCAATGTAAAGATGTTAGGATCAGCACAGCTCACCTGATGCTGAGATCATAGCTGCCACTCAGAAGCAATCCTTTCTGTTCATTGAGGTACACAGCCCGGATGCTACCAGCATGTCCCAGAAAGACAGGAGAGACATAGCGCATCTCATCCACATCCATCAAACGGACTTTCCGGTCCACAGAACCAGTGGCCATCAGCTTCCCACCACCATAGTGAATCACTCTGTTTGGATCCAAACTGAAGAGGAAACGAAAGTAGAAGGGAGAACCTGGTTTTATTTGATAGACTTATTTCTTTCATATCCTGCCTTTATTCCATGGTGGAATTCATCATGACAGCTAATATAGTATTCCCAGGAGGTCCCCCATCCAAGCAGCAAACAGATCCAGACCTGCTTAGCTTCATATGCCCTCACACCACATCCCTGTTTGTAGCAACAGATGCATCACTAACCAAACATTCATCCTTGCAGTCATTTTTACTATTTCCCAAAGTCTAAGCCAGGCCGCCCAGATCTGGTTTCCTCCAAGTGTTGTTGGCCTCTATGAAGGAACTGAACTGGACTACTTGCATGTATTATGGGAATGTACGTTCTACTTGTACCACTTGTGGCAACTTATTCAGAGGCAGGAAGCAGATAAAAGACACAGAGGGTTTCCCTTAGCATGCTGCTGCTGGGGAAAAAGCTATATGTAGTATTTTGAAAATATCACCAGAGGTTCATGGGTTTACAAAATGCCCCATATGTTGTGGAACATTGGTTGTTGTGAGGCACATCTAGAGATTGGGGGGGGGAGGGGGGTGGAATGAGCCAAAACACACTTCTTGCCAGGTACACATACCTGTCTATTAGAATCCGGACATTATACCCACTGCAGAAGACATTCCGTTCTTCCAACTTGACAATGTCTACCTCTTGTCCATGATATGCTTTGCGCAGGTATTCATTCTCCTTAAAGCAGAATGAGGAGCAATGATGGCTGGTGATATGAGAGAATGTCAAACGAGGAAGTAGGTGGCCTTCTGCTTCAACTGGCAGAAATGGGCTTTGTCTCCACCACCACTTCCATCATCAGAAGCCCCCTCTACCCAGTATGGAGAGTGTGCTAGGACAAGACAGGTACGCAGACTCCCACCGCAAGCTGTGCACACATATGGGCTATTATTTCTTTCTTTGGGAAAGAAGGAACATAGCTTCAGGTTGACACAACTTCACACTTCCATACTCTAGGCATGGTTTCTCTCTGTGGTTTCTCTCTCTTTCTATCTTTCTCTTTCTCTCTCTCTCAACAGAGAGATCAACCAATGGCAGAGAACTGAATAGGGCCCAAGAATTTCCCACCACCTACTCAAACCCAATCCAAGAAAATCCAGGAATGCAGAACACCCACAGTGCACCTTTATAGTTACGATTAACTTGGCCTTGCTTCGGATGATGTCACCTTCAGAGTTTATGCGAGGAATGGCAACATTGACAATTTTGGCATAGTTGGAAATTGCTCCTTTAGGGCATGAACCCTGCAACAGAAAGAAGACAAAATCATTTAGTTTAATATGTCAACACTGAAATGTTAGACCAAAAATGGCTGCAGTTGGTGCAAGATAATGCTTGGCCTCTGCATGGGAGGGCAGGTCCATCCTTACTGACTGCACTCCACACACTATGACTGCAGATACGCAATACATTGAAAGCACATTATTTCCCCCAAAGAATCGTGGGAACCGTAGTTTGCCCCTCAAAGAGCTACAATGCCCAGTACCACAAGGGTTGAGGAGAATCCCACAGTACCTGCAGGAATGCAATCTCACTTTGGAGAGCACGATTTGCTATCATATCCCTCTTGATTAGTTTGACCAGGAAGTCCCAGTGTGCACTCACGAGAGCACATCTGTTCAAGGATTTCATGTCCAGCATTCCTAGAGAATAACAAAGAGAAGCTTGTTGCTCTGTTGCTTCCTAAAAGCATTAGAAAGCTGCTTCAGGGATTTATTTAAGACATGCTGAAGCCCCTAAGCTTTTGTCAAACTTTGTCAAGTTTAAGAGGCCGGAAAACATTTTTTTTTTTTAAAGAAACAAAAAACAGAAAAGGCAATGGGCACAGAAATAATGAAGTTTAATATCGGCGTATATGGTGGTGGCACAGGTAAGGATATAACAAAAAACTAAGCATCTAACTATGGACACCTTAGAAAATACAGCTATTTCTGCACAAATTAATGAACTCAATATGATAAATGTGTAGCCATTAAGTATATTGTTGTCAAATCAGAGCAATATTGTATGTTTTAGAGTCTGCTTTCCCTGTTCTCCTTTTTAACCAATTATGTAAAACATTAAATTTAGTTTTTAAAAGACTGTACTTAGAGATTCCTCATAATCTGAAGCCCTTGAATGTAGCTTAATTTAGCTTGTGTATAAGTAAATCTGGCACTGTGAGGAAGGCAAGGGGTTCTTACGCAATATGAACTTGGACAAGTGGATGGGCAGACAGCGAATGAAGTCTTTGAACTTGTTGACTTTGAAGGGCTTTGTGGGATGGGTGGGTACAGGCTCCGCGACATTCAGTATGATAGAACTGCTGGCGGCTTCATCCATGTACTCTGACATTACTTCAGACATCTGATCTGACTCTTTGCTCCAAAGCCTTTGCAAACGTAGACGACCTGTGGAGTGGATGAGAAAACCAACCAAGGGAGTATTACAGAGTGGCCATAAAAAGAACGGGCAGAATAAGAAGCTTAAGTTACCCTCTATAGCCCCGCAGTGAACAAGCAGCCTGTGCCTTTGAGCAATTGGACCTCCTCATACATATGTTATATATGGACCATGGCTTTGTAGGTGATGTAGCCAATGTCTCATACAGTCCCACATCTCAAGAGGGACTATGCTACACCAGATTTCCATTATGCCAACTGGGTAGTAGTTGTGATTATTTACAAACAAGATGTGCCTCCTGGAAAAAACCCAGGAACAATGAAAAGTCATGAATTAACATAGAAGTGGTAGAGCTGCTGCTTCACAGGCAGAAGGTCCCAGGCTCAATATCCAGCATCTCCAAGTAGAGACCTTGGAAGAGACCCTGGTGTGAAATCATGGAGAGATGCTGCTGGTTGCTGGGAACAACACTGAGATAAACAGACCAATGGTCTGCCTTGATGATCACTGATCTCATCAAAACATCCACTACTGTTATTCTGGCTGTTATCTATAATTACAACTGGTGGACTGGATTGCTGGAAGGGGAATTAAGTGGAATGAGAAGAAGAGCAGAGCAGGATGGCCCGCCAGAGCTACAGGGTAGTGCAGCTCAGGGGTATCAACAAGCCTTAACATAACTTGAGTGGGGAAGGCTGATCTCAACTTTCTGATTGAGAGTTTCCCAACCATGACCTTGGGATGGCCAGCATGGCCACAGAAACTATGCTGGAGAGCCAAGACTGCCACCAGAGTTGAAATCACAAGGAGGCAGTTAAGTAATTCCATAGCATGTTTTGTTCAGGCTAACAGTGGCATTGCCATCTGTTCCCCACCCACCCACCTGCTCATACTGGGTGGACCTCTTTTGCTCCAGTGGGGTGCCACTGTTAGAAGCAGACATTGACATTTGGCTGGAAGACAAAGTCTAGTCTGTTGGATCAGCTGCAGAGGTTGGTGGGGTTGACAGCATGAGCTTTGTTGTACACTGCTCTTGTGATAAGGGATGGCATTGGTTAGGGTAATTTGACAAAAGGGAGATGTGACCATCTCCCAGCCCCACCACAAGTTTAACTTCTAGCCTAAGGAAGAACTCTGGAGAACTTGAAAGTTTGCTCACTATTTTGTGACATTTTGGCTGACCCAAAAATAACTATGGATTTTGCATATTAAAAGTGGCATATATATACAGTGGTACCTCTACTTACGGACGTGATGCATTCCGGAGTGCCATTCGTACCCCAAAAAGTCCGTAAGTAAAGCGCCACTTCTGTGCATGTGCGTGACGTGATAGATCACTCCTGTACATGCACAAAGCACGCAGATCACTTATGCACAAAGTGGCGAACCTGGAAGTAAACACTTACTGGTTTGCTGTGTTAATAACCACAAAAAACGCAACGTAAACCTAACGCAACTAGAGGTATGACTGTATTAGGAATGGGAAATGGATGGATGGATAAACAGAATTAAATAATACCAAATAAGTCACTCTTCTCTGAAGCAACCCCCGAGGTAAAACCAGAGGTGTGAGATGTGAGGTGGCTCCGAACCTGGGAGATAGATTTCTCTTGCTTCTTAAGAGGAATCACATCCTTGCTTGTTTGATCTTCATCTGGCACAGCTGGAAAGATTTAAATAACACAGGAGATAGAAAAAAATGAAAAAACAAAACAGTAAGAGACAAACATTTCACAGGAAAAGATTCTATATCTAGCTTCTTTGCTCTTTAGTCTGCAACCAAAGGAAGAGCAGTTCCAAGCTACACTTAACATGGTCCTCTCTGAAGTCAGGTATGGGGAAGTTATGGCCCTCCAGATGTTATTGGACTCCCACTCCCATCTGACCCACCCAGAGGTGATGGCAATTGAAGTCCAGCAGCATCTGGAGGTTCCCCACCACACCCACCTCTTCACATGAACTTCTGAATGTAACTAGAACCTTGAGCAACGTAAGCTGGGACAGTTCATTCAGTTTCGCTGGTTGACCACAAGCAACTAGGATGCCGGCTGCCCCACACAGATCTATGCAATGAGAATTAGCACAATAGTAAAGGATACTGTCCATTTTCCCCTCCACACATTACTGGGATGTCTGGTTGAGAGTCAGAGATAGCACCTTCAGCCCCCTAATACATTAGTATTACCTGTTTTGTTGTCCGCCGATTTGCAAGTGGCCTCATCTTGGCTCAAGAGGATGCTAACCAGGTTGGCAGCCATCAGCAACAACTGTGAATCACACATCTGCAGCAGAAGCAAGAGGTAGTTTGCTTTGCTCCAGAAACTGGCATTTAAGAACCACTTCCAGAGGTCTTCCATGGCATGCTCCAGTTTCTTCGGATTAAGTGCCCGGTCCAAGGTGGAAGATGCTGCGAAGCTGGAGCTGACGCAGGAACGGCTGTAGGTGAAATCCTTGCTATTGGTGGACTGCAGGAGGTTCCAGGCATACTTCAAGAGGTCTTGGCTTTGGAACCGTTTTATGATCCCCTTCAAGAATTGCCCCTTAGAAATATGGCTGGCCCGCACAAACCACTCTCGGGTAGAGAGAGCCTTCCAGGACAAGATGCAGGATTTGCAATGATAGCAAACAGGCACCAAGTCTGTTTGCTTGTCACACCGCAGATCTGGAGAGTACTCTAGTTTATATTCCAGGAGCTGTGGAACCACTTCCACCACCGGGTGGGTCTTCATTGTATTAGCCTGTGTTACACACACACTAACAGACACAAGGGCCACCAGCCAAAGGCAAGCAAGCAGCTTCCTAAGAGTCTCCCTCCATGACCCTAAATCTCTGTCTAGCAGCAACAGTTTTCTGTTTGTGGAACTCGTTATTTTTCAGAACTCCTAGGAGACACAGTTAGTACCATAATTCTCCTAGAACTTGCCAGGGCAAAACTGTCTGCAGCTAACATACCTTATAGATTCTAATAGATGGAGAGAGCTGCTTCTGTATCACGATAGACACAGAAAGATCAAACATGGCTCCGGGTTCAGATTTTACCCACAAAATACAGTTGTTGGGGAGGGAAAATGTACATTCCCCCCCAATAAACCCACAACCTTTTGAAATCCTAAATTCCTGGGTGCCAAGCCCTGGAGAGTAAAAAGCTGCTGCCATCTCTCTGAAAAACTTGGGAGGATATTGGTGGGTCTTGAAGGGGAGGTCTATTTGAAAGAACCATGTTTTGTTTTGTTTTGTTTTGTTTTGGTTTTGTTTGGTTTGGTGTGGTCTCCCAGGTTCTTATGCTTGCATGCGTTTACCAGAAGTGCGTTCACCAGAAGTCCATCCAAAGTTACCATTAGTTTAACACATGTTGAGTTTACTCAAAAGTAAGTCTCATTATATTCAACTGGCCTCCCAGAAATTCTGTCTATTTGTTTCACTGTGCATCTTGGCCTACATTTTCCATTTAACTCATTTAACAGCAAGTCTCTCTCCTAATAGACTTATCAAACTCATTATAATTGAGCACACAGTCTTCTGTGCTGTTTTTGTCTCCATGAGGGAGCACTTTGAATTCACACAGAATCTCATCTCTCTCTGCTTTCAGTTTGGGGAATTCCTTTTGGCCCTCTTCCCAGTCTTCTTGGGATTTTACCATTCTAAAGCGCCATCTGACTTTAAATCATTTTATGAATTATTTCGACAGCAACAATTGCAAAGGAGAGCTCTGGTACATCACACTCTTGTTTACATCCCTTACACTGTGAAATCAATTACTGTCCGCTTCGTGTTCAGTTTTGAAACCAGTCACTAATCTCTAATAAGGTCTATGTGCTTATTGTATTACTACTACATTTCTATCATATCTGGTTTGCTTCCAGGTGGTCAATATTCTGTGGGAGGGATTCGATCATATATTAGCACATTTAGGTTTGGGTTGCAAAAGTGGATTAAAGTGTTATTCTGCAGCAAGCTCACTTAAAAAAAAAAAGGAACCCGCTCAGATTTTTTGCAGTAAGAAGAGTGCAGACCCTCCAAGCTGCCCAGAGTGGCTGGGGCAACCTAGTCAAATGGGTGGGGTATTATTATTATTATTAAATAGGACTCCCTATTTTCATCAGAGGAATGTTGGAAGGTGTGAAAGTGTAGGGTAATGATGAATTGATGAAAGCTCATATAATGCTCAATAAATAGTGGACGTTGCATAACCTCTGTGCAAACAAATCCAAATGAATGCTCAACAAACAGTGGGTACTGTGCAGGTTCCAAGCAATCTTTGTGCAAACAAATCAGTGTGAATGTTCAATAAACAGGTTGCCTAGAAGTGGTGGAAGTGGCCTTGGAGACTTTTTCCTAGACCAATAGCTTCAGAGGTATGTGGAGCCACTCTTCAGCAGGAAACAGTAGCTGGCTACTAAGACAGAGAACTCAGTCTAAAGCTGTGTGCCTTTTGTAGGCAGATGCAAGATTGCTGTGGTATCTGGCTTGCGGTACCCACAGGAACATGGCTGAGCACCTGAAGACTGATGCAAAGAGTTGGCTTACTTTTTGAAAGAATTTATTTCTGCCTCCCTTAAACTCTCTTTATCACACGTTTGTCAACTAAAGGACGTACTGCTTCTCTGGGTGATTTTAAACACTGTATTTGTATATTTTAAAACCTGTGTTCTACTTTATTGTAAAGCCTTGAGGTGGGTAAAACCATGTTACTACTAGTGTTTATTCTTAAATCTCTTAACTGGCTTTCCTTACAATCAACTAGTGGGGACCACTTGTCATTTACCTGCCTGTAAATGACAAGTGGTATATAAATTTTCTTTTTTTAAAAAAATGGTCCAGTAGCACCTTAGAGACCAACTAAGTTTGTTCTGGGTATAAGCTTTCGGGTGCATGCACATTTCTTCAGATACACTGAAACAGAGAGAGTTATTTTCTTCTTCTTCAGAGATTTAAATAGTCAGAATTAAGGAATTTGGGGGTACTGCCTCTTGAGCAGGTGCAGAGGAGAGAGATAAGAGATATTTATTTGACTTGTCTATTCACAGGCTTTCTCTGCTTTCAGTTGGGTTCTAATTGTGGGATCAGTGTTCCTCATGCATTCAAGTGTTTTTTTGTTTTTTGTTTTGCACACAACAAATGCCACCCATATTCCCCCTCAATTCAATCCAGGGTAAATCCAATAAGATTAAAAAACAATAATCTGTTGCCAATGACTCATTTGAAATATCTCAACAACCTGTATGCAGTTTTAAGCCTCCAGCTGAAACCAGACAAACAAGATTAGCATTCACTTTGTTAACTCAGTATAAAGCATTTATTTGCTCACAGGTAACGGCTAGCCAGAAGCTGCTCTATGGTTACATTTGAGAGAGGCAGCAAAGAAAATTAGGCATGGGTTCTTGTATGAAGCCTACTGTATATTCCAAATGCATTGTCAGGGTTGTGGTTTTGGAATGGTCCACTAGAGGCAAGGGAAGAGTGATAGGACTCTCAGCGGGAGCTATGTGACATCAGAACCTCAAGTTTAGAATAACCATAATGCCGTGTGTCACACTTGGTGACTCTCAGCAAATTCCACATCCTCCACTTTTCTACTCTGGCACAGGCCTGAAGCTTTTGGACAGAGAAACAAATAGACGCACAGAGACAGAGAGACATTGTTCTGGATCTCTGAGTATTTCTGGAATCATGAATTTCCTTCTCATTTCACATTTTTACGTCTGATGGCTCGTAACAGGCGGTGCTTCCTCTCTTCTCTGCAAGCAGGAAACAGGGTATCCATGTTCATCTCATTGGGGTTTGCAACCAGTTGAAAGGTGAAGTTCTGGAGCAGGGTGGCAATGAAGAGGAAAAGCTCCATCTTGGCCAGACCCTCTCCTGGGCAGGCCCTCTTCCCTAGAAGACGGAAAGGGAAAGAGAACTAGTTCATCACCTGAGACATTTATGGTACCCAGTAAACACTTGACTCCTGAGGAGTCACCTCAAATTATTATGTGTGTGTAGAGACATTTTCCCAGAAGCAAGAGAATGTGATAGCCCCACAATATGAATGCAGAGGTATTTCATTAACCATTAAATGTATGTTAGACTATAAAGGTTACCATCTGTAAGAGCTCTGTTATTCCTCTGCCTATTTAGATCAACATTTCACTGAGCAGCCTAGGCAACAGGATTAAATTTCAATTTTCATCACTCTAAGAAGTAGGAGTGGAAGGATCTGTCAATTTCAATCCTCTCATTTTTTCATTTTCCCACTCTTAAAATCAGTTGCCCATATTTTGCTACAATTTGTCATTAAAAAATATATTTGTCAAACCTCATCAGCATTTTAGGCAGAATTTACCCTAATAAACTAATTTCTATATGTAGTTTTGACTAATATTCACATTTTCGCAATCAGTTTTCCCTACTATAATGCATCTTTGTATGTTATAGTTGCAAATATATTCATTTTTAGGCGCACTTTCCTCCAATATATGCTTTTTGGTAAACATTGTTTGGTTGCAGAACTGTTGCATATTATTATAATTTTCACTTTTAGAAGCAGCACGGGGGCACCTGCAGCATGGGGAGGGGGGTAACCATCCACTCTTGCACTATAAAAACTCCCACCCCACCCCCATGAGCTGTGGTTTGTCCCAGAGGGATTGTTTGTGTACCCTTAAATGCACTTGGGGAGATTTACTAAGATCAAGTATGCGTTGAGAACTTCTGACTTATGGCCCAAAAAGATGTGTTATCAGGTGATATGTGACCATATCACCTGCGCTCCCTTCTCCGCAAAAGTAAAAGACAGCCACTCTGGGGAATACAGGTGAATCACACTGGGACTGCAAAGTTAACCATCTCCCTATGCTGTTTTCCCAATGCAAGAGGACAATGCACATTCCTTCCATCACTCCCATGGTTGCTTGTACCTTTGCCCCACCCCACTCTGAGAGATTTAGTCATGGATATCTCCCTCCCACCATATTTATATAGTTTGACACCAAGATAAATAGCATTCTGCTTCAAGGCTCAGATCTGAAGCTCCTGTTCCCAATGCACAATAGTGTTCATGGCTGCTACTTTTACATGCTGAGACGTGGCTGGTGCTGTGGTCTAAACCACTGAGCCTCTTGGGCTTCCTGATCAGAAGGTCAGTGGTTCGAACCCCCACAACGGACTGAGCTCCCGTTGCTCTGTCCCAGCTCCTGCCAACCTAGCAGTTCAAAAGCACACCAGTGCAAGTAGATAAATAGGTACTGCTCTGGTGGGAAGGTAAATGGCATTTCCATGCGCTCTGGTTTCCATCACGGTGTTCTGTTGCACCAGAAGCAGTTTAGTCATGCTGGCCACATGACCCGGAAAAGCTGTCTATGGACAAACACCAGCTCCCTCGGCCTGAAAGCGAGATGAGTTCCACAACCCCATAGTAGCCTTTGACTGGACTTAACCGCCCAGGGGTCCTTTACCTTTTACCTACTTTTATATGTGGATTTGCATGTCCTCGAGGTGTTAATCTCAAAAACAAGACAGTCAATAGCAATGGCAGGGAGCAAGTCCAACACATGTGGATGAAGCAGGAATTTCAGCAGCAGCCATGATAGCAGAAGACCAGACTCCAAGAAGCAATGCCAGATTACCAAATTGGCAGAGTAGGCACCAAACTATGGGCCCCATGCCTTTTATGGACCCCACAACAACGGACCAAAATAATATTGATTAGATCTTGAAAGAAAATTCCAGTCGAGCTTTCTTAGTTCAATGTTATCTCACGGGACTGCGTGCACTAGGGAGGCCCCAAGATTTCAACCGCCTAGGGGCCTCCACAGGGTTTAATCCGGCACCGCAATGAAGCACTCTCTATGCCAGGAGCGGGAAACCTTTTCACATGATCTGGGTGGGCAGGACCAGAGGCAAGAGTGGGTAGAGCAATGGAGCATCCTTTTGCACAGTAGGCTCTATCCAGCCTTGCAAGTCAGAGGATTATTTCTGCACCTGCCCCTTGCCAGCCAGCCAGCCAGCCAGCCAGCCAGGTAAGCAAGAAGCACTGTCACAGTTCAAGGACATATTCCAGTCAGCCAGAGCACTCAGGGTGGGCATAGAGCAGGGGTAGTGGTGGGTGCAGCCTGGGAGAAAGGGGTGTGGTCTGGGGAGGGGGGTGTTTGCTTGAGGAGAGTCCTGAGGGCCAAATAAAGAGGCCTGGAGGGCCACATTCAGCTTCCTGAGGTCCCTCAGTCCTGCTCCAGGCTTTTGTAGGATCTTAGGTACCTAAATGCGGCTGCGAGCCCCGCGAACAGCTCTTACTGTTACCTGCAGAGAAAGGCATAAAGGCATCATTCTTCCTGAATTCACCCTCTGCATCCAAGAAGTGACCCGGGTCAAACTTTTCAGGAGTCTCCCAGCAGGCTTGGTCAAAATGCACAGAAATGAGCAGTGGAATAATAAGGGTGTCCTTTAGGGAGATAAGAAGATGCATAATCAAGACTGTCGGCTCAATTTAACAGAGAGCAAATAAAGAAGTCTTGTCTTTGACAGAGAGTTGAATGGAATAAATCTTCTCAGAGGAAGAGGTGGTTCATAGAAGGATAGTAGCAGAAAGATGGTGGGAGCTAAGGGTGGATGGATCTGTCAGTTTCAATTATTTCAATTTCTCATTCCCCCCCCCCCCGCAGCATTTTTTCTTAAATCCTTATAAAAATTCCTCAGCATTTTAGTGCAAATATTTCCTAATAAACACATTTGTATGCAGCATTGACAAATGTACACAATTTTCACAAGCAACCCCCCACCCCGAAAGTAATGCATTTTTTAATGCTTTTTCATGGATCTACCCATTTTTATGCAAAATTTCCCCTTACTGATGCATTTCTGTAAACGTAGTTTTGTTGGAGAGACTATATCATAAAATTCAAACTGATTCGAATTTTCCATTTTCATGTTGTTTCCATTATCATGTTGTTTTGAAAAGTGTGGTTCTGATAGATTCAACTAAGTAGTTGTGTCCGTGGAATGAGGTCCGCTGGCACAACAAGACTCTCCCCACTCTCCTCCCACCACATGCCTTTCACCCCCTAAATCTCTTCTGGAGGGTTGGGGAAAATGCAAGGTTTAAAGAACGGATCGGTGGGGAGGATAGGTGAGGAAGTTCTGCTGCCCAAGCAGGCCTCATTCCCCATATGCATACCCCACTTGGCACTATGTTAAGCCCCACCCCATGTCTTTATGCGATTTACGATCAATTGTATCAAGATGTGTGGGGGAAAGTGTGTGTAGTGTTTTACCAACAATTCAAAATCTGTACTTCTCCCAGTTTAGCAGTGCAGTTCTCTGGCCATGTGTACAAAAACACACATACTAAGATAAAGTGTGCATAAAATTCATATACTGATGAAAATAACATACAAGCTGCGTTGTAATAAGCTAAAATGTATATATTAGGAGAAATTCACACTGCAATGCTAATGAAATTTCATAAATACTTTTTAAAACATGCAAAGTGATGTGGAAAAGTGGAGAACTAGAATTTATGACTGGAGAAATGAGAAACAAAAAACTGAAATTGCCATATCTGACCATCCTTTGCACAATACATTTGCCCTTCACCAAAATACCCTGTTTATTTTCTGACTTGCCACACCTGAGGGATGGTGTAGCCCTTGAAATCCACATCCCGAGTTGTCAAACGTGGAAAAGCCTCACCACTCCCTAGCTGATAACGCAGCACCTCATGGGTAAATGCATTGGTGTAGTTCATCTTCACCCTGTCCTCCATGCCAGGAGCACGGTTGACTCCAACAACCTCATCAATCTCTTGGTGGACTTTGGCTGCAAAGAATGATATTGTATTGCAATGAATAATAATATTGCATGTTATTCTGGAACCCATTTCCCCATATTGACAATACAGGCTCAGACTGCCTGCATCATACAGTGTGTAGAACCAAGGATATACAGCCGATTTTCGCTTTCCAATTTCAACCCTATTTGAGAGATCAGTTTGAAGTGATGGCCCAATGATCCACAGTCACTTGCTGCATGACAGATCCACTGCTTGATCCAGGCCAGTAATCTAAAATGCTTAGGGTTAATCACAGGTTTGTCTGACCCAGAACGAGGGCTTTTTTTTCAACCGGAACTCAGTTCCAGCACCTCTCAGGTGGGCATTATTGCCATTATAAGAGAACAAGGGAGGCATTCATGGTGAGTTCCAGTACCTCTTTTTCTAGAAAAATAGCACTGCCAAGGATTTGCATTCGACTGAAGGGACCAGTGGAATTCTAGAAACAATAAAAGGAACCTGCTCCTGCTAAAACCAGAACAGGAGCATGAACATGAAATTCTGCATCTGTTAAGCTTTATTCTGCACCTAGTTTCTTATTCCTAAAAGTCCAAGGCCCACTACTCTAGCAGTTTCCCATAATCAATCCATCAAGTCTGAGCTATCTTTAAAAGAATAATTAGGAGGTCTGTCCCTGCTTGCTCCACCCGCCAGCTCTGCCTCCCCATTTGCCAACTACCTTCTCCCCACAGCTGGCCAACCCACTTCCTTTACAACTCACCTTCTCTGGGGGTGCTTCCCAGAGTGGTTTGCTAAACTGCTCTATGAAAGTCCCTCTCTGCTTGTGTTAAACCTCATTGCAGCCATGCTTAATGGAGGGTTAATGCTTCGTAGAGCAACTTGCTAAACCACTCTGTGAAATGCCTCATCCCTTTCTATTAAACAGCTCCCCTGGGCCCCCTGCCACCAGTGCTGCTTCCTCACTCTCCTGCCTGCTGTTCATAGTGCTAGAGTTGGCTTGGTCACCTGTTGGCAGCCACTTGAATTGCAGAGTGTGATGATAGCCTTACGTTTCTATGTAAGAAAGAAGATATAATGTATGAAATCATTCTAGAGCGGGTGAAAGATTACTGTATAGAGAGAATAGCAGCTTTATTGGCCTGTTTGCCTCAGAACAGGACCGGCCCACCCAAGAGGCTTGGTCTGTTGGGGTGCTAAAACTCTGTACCTTGTATGTGTGGGAACTTTGCCAACAACAGGAGGCCATACAAGATGCTACTGCTTGAGGTCTCTATACCAGCAGAAAAGAGGACAAACGCAGTCATCACTAGGTCTTCAACACAGATATTCTGAGCAGAGCTTTGTTCCTGTAAATTAATGCAGAAAGAAAGGGAAGAGGTGGAAGGGAAATACCTTCTTAAAATAAAGGACCAGAATTTGTGCAACACCAGACAGCTGTGCATCAGTAAGCTGGCAAGATGGTTTTCTCGGCTTTAGCTCCATTCTAGATTAAGGTTACCAGATTTTTTCCGATGAATCCGGGGACACAATAAATAAATAAATACTACACGTTTGGGATGTTGATGCCGCAGCGATGGCAGTGGCAGAGGGGCGGCCACTGCCTTGACCTCATCCGCCGCGTTTCCCCTTCCTCTGAGGCTCCTATCTGCTTTCTCCATGAGCCTGGTCAGCCCCTGAGTTGTTGGTTCTTCAGTGGTGGGTCAGGCATGGAAGGCGGAGAAGGAGGGCCAAGAGCGGTGGCGGTGGTGAGGCTCGGGTAGCACAATGCCTCCCTTCCCATTGGAGCAGCCCCAATCCCATTCCTACTTGCGTGCAAGCAGGAGGTGGTGGGGATCCCTCAGCTGGGAAGGGAGGCTTCCTGTTGCCTAACTGAGAGATCCCTGCCCCCTCCTGCTTGCACGCAAGCTCAGATAGGCAGCATGAAGCCTCCCTTCATAGCTTAGTTGCTGGGGTCAGGGAAGGGGGAGGCAGCCTGGAAGCTGCATCTTGGAGCCCCTGTCCCACCATCATATGGGGACTTCTGAGCAGCTCCTGAAGCCAGCCAGAGCCAACAGCTCCGGGCTGCTGAGACTGCCGCTGCTGTGTTTCCCGGGGACATTAGATGAAATCTGGGGACATTCCAGGGATGGAATTTGTCCAGGGACTTATTCGCAAATCCAGGGACTGTCCCCGGGAAACGGGGACGTCTGATAACCCTATTCTAGATCAAGCTATAGGAAGGGGCCACCAAAAGCGGCAATCTTATGCAATACTTCCATGTCCCATGGAACTTACTGAGGCTGTCCCACCCATCTGGATAGAGATAGCAGATTAGGTTCATGGCTGAATGGAAAAGAAAAGGGACTGAGGTGAAGGTGAAGCAGATCCAGTTCCTTCTCCTATGGCCTTTGTACAAGCAAACTCCTAATATCTGATGTGTCTTACTCCCTTGCCTCCACCACCTACTCCTCTGTGGGACCCTGCCACAGATAACCTTTGTGGCTCGGCATTTCCCTCTGTGCAAAGGAAGGCCATCTGCCTTACTCGCCTCTCAGCCAGAGCCTCCTCCTCTCTTCTTCTGGACCCTGCTTTCTAGGTTCCTTTGGAGCTCTAAACTGATGCACTTGGTGTCTTCCACTCACTGCCTTCCATTTCAAGGGGCCCTCAAAATTTTCATGTTCCCCCATTACCTGATAAGCATCTCCGACTGATCTGTATGCTGCTGGCTATCGCCAAGCAAGGTGGACATGTTGATGCACACCCAGGTGAGTGACTTTGGATCACAGGGACTCACTACTGAATTTACAGGCAAAGAATTGTAGCAGACATGACAATATATACCACATATGTATAAAGTTTTCTGGAGAGCATAGCCAATTTCCAATCAAAATAGTCTGCCCTAAGCTTTTGGGGTGGGGGGTGGGGGCGGGAATCCCCAGGCTGGAAAGATACAAGTTTTGTAGTTACACGCAACAAGCCACTTCCCTTAGCTCCTCTCCCGCCAACAAACTTCTCATCTACCTTATTCAACCTGAGCAGGAAGCAGTCAATAAAATCACCAGGATTTTGTGGATCCAGGTTCAATTTGTGAGATTCCACGCTATCTCGGATAAACTGGCAGAGCTTGGAAGAGTCAGTGAAGGATTTCTTGTGTGGTCCAGGTACGAAGTCCATAATCCTTGGGATAGCATTGTATGCCTGGGACAAGGCAATGCAGTGCATTAGAGACAGTGATTCCCTCCCCCCTCTCCTGCCCCCATCTTCAGTGGCTTACTTTCCCACCTTTGGCCCAATTCACACGTTAATATATGCACCCATGTATTAGAGAATGGTTGCCACATTCTTTCTGGCAAAATACAGGGCAGGGCAGGGCAGGGCAAAGGGGGGTGGGGTGATTTTTATTTTTAAAATCTGGTGCTGAAATGACTTCAAAAGAATCAATTACAATCTATTACAGTCTAACAGAATGGCCCCTCTGGAATTTGACATACACACATACATGCACACACACAAATTTGTAAATCTGTCTGTGCTTTGCTACCCAGAACTTAAATACATAACCTTTCACACCCCTTTTCACACACAAGCATTTGGAGAGGATCCCTAACTTGGCAGGGGGGGAGGGGGAGGGAGAGGAAGAGAGTTGACCTGAAATACAGGACAAATTGCATTCTGCATTGAATCAATATAGGACACAGCATTTTACATTGAACTATAGGACTCAGTGGTGTAGGGTTTGTGGTGGGTGCGGACTGCCCTGAGTGTCATCACTAAGGGGTGTGTGTGACAAAATGGCAAAATTTGTGTTTTTAAAATAAATAAATAAAAATTGGGCTCACAACACTTTTCTTTTTTTTGGAAAAAATAACTCCCGCACCCACCACAGCTCCCTTCCCACGCCACTGATAGCTAGGCGAAGCGGGGGACACTGCAGCGTGCCTGAGCCATGTGTCTCTCTTGAGGAGGAGGCGGCGGGCTGACTGCCTGCAAGCTCCATGCTGCTTTTTTGAGCAGCATGAGACTTGTGTCTGCCCACCACCTCAGCCGCCCTACAGCTGAGGGGGAGGCTGCGGAGAGGCTCCATGCAGCGCTCCCTGCCTTGGCTCACCTCGCACCCACGCTGCAGTGTCCCCCGCCTTGCACCCTGCCCCCAGCTGCAGTACATGCACGCTGCACCGGGCAGCCAAGCAGCTAGCTACACCGCTGACAGGACTATCCTGTATTATACAGGATAGGTGGCAACCCTTGTTCTCACTAACATGGAAAACCTATGTCCAGGTTGTTCTCCTTCGGAATGCAGAAGAATGTTTGCTCATAAAAGGAGCATTCTGCATAAATGAACACTTTCAATGACTGGGAGAAGTGCCCAGTTTTCCTAGTGCATGAGGGTGACGTACCGTTCCAGAGACATGGAAAAAGAGGCTCACATATTTCTTGATCACATCCATGAGCTCCTTTAATTGGGGGTCTTCATAGCTGAATCGGGTCCCAAAGATAACAGAGCAGAGGACATTAGAAACAGCAGTTGCGATGTCTGGCAATGCATCAAAGGCCTGCCCTACAACCACAAAGAGAGGGTTAAAAATGTGACTGGCCTTTGTATCCTCTGCCCTTCATCCGTCAAGGCTTTGTGAACTTTCTCGGTGAGTGATAGTTTGGAACTTGGATCTTTTATCTCTGTGTGTTCTGAAATTAAAGCTCAAGGTTGGCACATTCAAATAAGTGAAGGTGATGTGCCAAAGTGATGAACTTGTTTAAAAAGAAGAAGTGAATTTCATCTGAATTCATCATGAAATCAATTTTTCCACACAGAATTTATATGGAAAATACAGCAGCTCTAGGAAGACACATTTCTGAAAAAATTGTAACATGAAGAGGCTGATTAAAACAAGCATTATGAAAAGCATGGGAGCAAGCAATTTTGCTCCCTAAAGAAAGCTACCAAAAGAGAGATGTGTTAGTCACTGTGTTCAGTGGGGCTTACTCCCAGGTAAATGGCCATAGGATCACTGCCTTAATGCCTCCACAGACATACACACCTAAGATATTGGCAAGGACAAAAAGTGAAATGAATGCCAGAATTCACTACCACAATCCAGCCAGTCATTAACCTATGAGAAATGTACTTCCAACACATTAGAGATACATGCCAATGCATGTGTTATGAGCAGGGAAATGGGTTCTTCATGCCAAAGTGTAGAATCTTGCATTGAATTTCATTGTATTAGTTTGGGCCCAGGTCTCCAATCTGTTAAGGCCATTTTGAATCCCAATTCTGTCTTCTGCAGCGTTAGCTACCCCTCCCAGTTTGATATCATCTGCAAATTTGATTAGCATTCCCTCAATACCTTCATCCAAGTCATTTATAAAGATGCTGAACAACAACGGGCCCAGGACAGAACCCTGGGGCACCCCACTTCTGGGCCGTGTCCAAAACGTGCTGTTGGGGGATGAGTGTTCAGACCCCTGGGCTCTCATTTGTGGGATGCCTCAGAGTTCTATCCTCTCCCCCATGCTTTTCAACAACTATATGAAGTCACTGGGAGAGATCATCAGGGGGTTTGGACTGGGTGTTCACCAGTATGCGGATGATATCCAGCTCTATCTCTCATTTAAATTGGAACCAGTGAGGGTGGTGAATGTCCTTGTGTGAGTGTCTGTAGGTGGTTGGAGGATGGATGGCAGCTAACAGATTGAGGTTGAATCCTGAGACAGAAGTATTGTTTCTGGGGGACAGAGGGCAGGCAGGTGTGGGGGATTCCCTGGTCCTGAATGGCATAACTGTGCCCCTAAAGGACCAGGTGCACAGCCTGGGAGTCATTTTGGACTCACAGCTGTCCATGGAGTCACAGGTCAATTCTGTGTTCGGGGCGGCTGTCTACCAGCTCCATCTGGTACGCTGGCTGAGACCCTACCTGCCTGCGCACTGTCTCACCAGAGTGATACATGTGTTGGTTATCTCCCACTTAGACTACTGCAATGCACTCTATGTGGGGCTATCTTTGAAGGTGACTTGGATACTCCTACTTCTCCTCCTCCTCCTCCTACTACTACAACTTTTTTCCAGGATGATGAGAAACCATTAGTGAGCACTCTTCAGTCAACCAGCTATAAATGCACATAAGAGTTATCTCATCCATAACAGTTATCTCATCATGGGGGGCTTTGTCAAAAGCTTTACTGAAATCAAGATACACTACGTCCACAGCATTCTGCTGATCCTGGTCACATGTCTATATGCCCCAGCATACTCTTCTTTACTTCCTCTTTAACACTGTTCCCGCCCTAAAGGAAGGGCTGCTCTGTGTTCCCTATACCAGGAATGGGAATCTAGCATGTTCCAAATATTTTGAACCCCTGCTTCCATTAACCCTGGCCATTGGTTATGCTGACCGTGGCTGAAGGGAGCTGGGGTCCAACAATATGTGGAATGCCGCAGGTTCCCCATCTGTGTACTAGACCAGGAAGGTGCCTAGAGAACCTTGTTGGGCTGCCAGCACTTCCACCAAGCAGTTTGCCTCCTCTTGCATCCGCTCAGCCATCGGTTTCCTCCCCATGCCAAAGTTCCTCAGTGTGGAGAGAGTGAAGCGGCGCAGTTCCCTCCATTTTGCATTGTCTGAGCTGATGAGCCCTGAAAAATACAATTGGCACTGTTGCATTTATGTTTAACCAGACGACACTGAAGTCTGCAGCATGTTTTGTCCAGAGGCAAGGATCTTCTCCCAAAGGATTTACATGGCTTGTTGTCCCCAAGATTTGTAAGAAGATTGACAGCCATCAATTCCTGGGAAAGATTGCCATGACTCTTGGCAACTGCATCTCAAATTAAGGGGAAGATAAGATAGTTAAGAGCACCCACCGTAACCATCAGTCACTTTTTCAATGAGAGCTATGGGTGGCCGCCCACCAAATGCTTCAGCGTGATCCACCAATGCACCTTTGACCGCATCATATCCACAAAGTACAACCACAGGCTTTGGCCCCAGCCAGATGGTGAAGACTGAGCCATACTTCTCAAAAAGCTGAGGACAGAATCCAAGAAAAGCACGAGTCATTGAGCTGTAAGATATCATTCTTGGAAATCTGCTCCAATTTGCTGCCCACACCATACCATTGCTTACTGCAGATCAGTTGCATTGATCATCCTTTATTTTTGTTTTTTTAAAAAATGGAGTTCAAAGAATGTGTGCATGGGGGGGGGGAGAGATCCTCACCTGTCCTACGTAAGTACCTTGAATGGGCTCTGCAGCTATACTTATCTCAGTTCTAGCATTGGGGAGAACATGATAAGTTCACCTCAAATAAAGGAAACGGCCTAGTGTAAGACTGAGATTGCATTCACATTAGAACTTCACCTCTGATTCACAGCTATCGCCCAAAGCACATTAATACTTCACTTCACATTTAGCGTGCTGAGGTCAATTCAATCACTTCTTCAAAATGCAGGGAAACCTTGAAGTGTTGCCAAAATGCTAGCATTAAAGAGAGAGCATGGGTGGTTCTGAACATAGGAATGCAGCAATTTGCCTCATGCAGAGTCAGACCATTGGCCCATTTACTCCAGTAAGGCCTACACTGACTGGCAGCAGCTCTCCAGGTGCTCTCCAGGGATTGAGCATGTGACCCTCTCTTTGCTAAACAATGTACCCTCCCTGCCCCCACTCTGCTGCTTTAAAGGGGAAAACACACACATCTGGACTCCTCAGATCATGGATCTTTCAAGCCAAGGTTGCTTTGAGTGGAAAGATCACAAGGCAATTGGAACACCATGAGTCATGGTGTGAGGAGAGCTAAATGAATTTACCTTGAGAGTAGAAGCAAAGAGCAGAATAAAGGGGGGGGAGTTAAATACACGCTTCCAAATGCAATCAAAGGAAGGTGGCAGGGGAGAGAACTTCAATCATGCCAGCTGGATGAGTTAAAGTGAAATAAATCTCACCCACCCGATCTTAATGGATCTTGAAAATGCTTCCCAAATTATGGGGTAGTTATGAGAATAGAACCAAGGAGCATTTGGATTAGGTGGTGGCACAAGAGGATTGGTATTCCTGGAAATCTCACATATGCATTCACCTCCTGCCTTTATTTCTGCCTTTGCTTCTTGAGCCATTTCTTATTCTCTGCCTTTTTAATTCCAGTGGCAGCCTTGCAAGAGAGGGCACTTACCTTGGGGTAGGTTTTGTGTAGAGGCAGGACCTCTTTCTGCAGGAGGTTTCCCAGAAAGAGCCAGGGAGTGGGTCCTGGCGGTAGCTGGCCTCTAGCTTTGTGAAGTTTGAAGGACAAGGCTGTGAGCAGAAAAAGAAGAAGGAGCACTCCTGCCCCAGTTACCAGCTCCATCTGTATCCTTGCTCTGTCCACTCCAAAGGCAAAAGGGCAGAAGCTTTTTAAGAGATGCTGACCTAGAAAAAAGTGACAAAGTTTGAGAAACGCCCAGAACGCCAGCGAGAGACATTTTTTCTACCTTCCTGGTTTCCAATCCCCCTGGTATCTTCCATTGTTGCTAAAACAGCTGCAGGCTAGTCAATGACACCAGTGATTTGGGACACAACAGAACTTTTCACAAAACTCTTGTTTAGTTACTGTTTTGATTTCATAGAAAAATAAATGGCACAATCCCTGTTAATTTTTTTTTTGGTAAAGGTTCATTTGCCATTATCATAATAAACATAGGTTCAAGATTCCAGTAAGTAGGAGTTTGAAAGGGATATAGATTGAGGTCAGTTTATCCCCATGGGGATTTTTGCCAGGGAATGGACAATGGGTGTTTATTAAGTTTGGAATTAACTACTAGTCACGATGGCTATGGTCTCTCTCCATGGTCAGAGGCAGCAATGCTTCTGAATAGCAGTTGCTGGAAATGAAAGGAGGTGAGAGGTCTCTTGTGCTCAGCTCCCACTTTAGATTTCCCCCTAGGTGTCTGGGTGGCCCCTGTGAGAGCAGGATGCCAGGCTATTTGGGCCATTGGCCTGATCTTGCAGACCATTCTTAGTTCTTTGTAGAAGCCTTCTTTTATAACTGAAACTAGAATTTAACTGGTTTTGTGCTTTGAAAATGCATTGACCCTGTTTTCCCCATGGAGCAGTGGTCAGCAGTTCCTGACACTCTGGTACTTTAAAGACGTGGGATGATATTCAACACTACATTAGGCCAATTAATTTTTACTCAGAACAGACACGTTGAAATAAATTGGCCTAATTTAGTCATATTCCTTCATTTCAGTGGCGTTACTCTGAACAAAACTGAACACCACTCCTACAGATTTATTGTGACATGAGATGAATATATATGATGATAAATAAAATGGGCTTCTGTCTACAAAAGCTTGTGCCATAACAAATTTGGTTAGGCTCAAAGTTGTTGTTGACCTTTCTGCTATATTGTTGAAAGTGGCTCAAATTGTTAACCTTCTGCACTTTCCCCTACCTGCAGTTACAGTTCCTGTTCTTTGCATTGCTGCTTATTTTAGCTCAATGACACTGCAACTTTGCAGTTTTTCTTGTCCTGTTTCCCCATTCTGCTGCCAGCATCATTCCCCTTCTTCCTCCTGCCAGAGGACCAGTTTGCACTAGAAGAATTCGGCACTAATTATAAACTACAATGCCCCTTTTGCTCATTACTAGGAACTCATGAACCATTCTCTAGCGTTTCTTTGTCAACTGACTTGTTCCCCCTTTAAAGGACCCAGAGTCACAATGTTTGGGAATAGCCGCACTACACAGGGAAAGGACTAAGAAGCTGATGCACAATCACACAAGCATGGGAGTGCTACATCAGGATCCAACATGGGTTGATGGTTAGGATGTTGTACTGGGAAGACCCAGGTTCAAATCCCAACTCATCCATAAAGCCATCTAGATGACCATGGTCTCGGCACCGTGTCTCAGCCTAATTGGCTGTCCAGAGGAAAACAAAGGGCTTGCCTGACGAGCCGCAGTTGCTGAAATGATCTCATTGATAGTGCAGAATGCAGGTCAAAGATATTTTTCTAGCTGAAAAGAACATAGTGGTAAATGTAGACTCCTGCTATAGTCTCCCCCTCTTGTGTATACTTCTTAATGTACAGAGTTTCTTACCTGCTGGCCTTCTTCCTCCATTAGCTTTCCTTCCACTTGCAAGGAACCAACCATATCCTCCCCTTAGTATCTAATTTTATTAGGTACAATTTTATTGCTTTGAACACGTCTTGAAGTTGAGGACTTTATACAAAATGCAGTAGGCTTTTAATATTTACATATGCATCGGGATAATAATATTGAATTTATATAATAATGTATGGGTTAGAGTTTTCTTCGTATATTTTATATATTCATATATTGTTTCTTTCTACCCAGTTTTGTACCTTTTTCTTTTCCTTTCCTTTCCTTGCGTCACTTTATTTATAATTGAAACATTTTCAATAAAAAGACCCCAAAAAAAGTCGGGAAGAAAAGAGCAAATGTGAAACACTGTTTAGGATTGGACAGATTGGGACAAAGTGGTGTGTATAAAATGGCTGTGCAGGTTAAAGACTACTTGTGCAAATGATCTTTCTTCTCAGCTTCTCCCTCTGCCAGGTCCCCTGAAAAAAGCCTCTCCTGGTGGGCCTTCCTTTTGAGGGTTCTGCAGTGGAGGGGGGAATTGCAAATGTTGGATATAAACCATGGGTAGGCAAACTAAGGGCCGGGGGCCAGATCCGGCCCAACCGCCTTCTAAATCTGGCCTTCGGAGGGGGCCACCAGGGGGCGCATTGGAAGATGGCTGACAATAACATCTCTCCGACCCACATGAGGTAATTAAGAGGCTGATATGGGAGTATGCAGCCTCCCTTCATTGCCCCAAGGGAATGGGGAACGCTGCCTTGCCTGCTGTGTCCATAATTCACCCCCGGATTCGAAAGAATCAAGTGAAGAACGGGAGTGAAGACTGCTAACTGAAGTGACCTCTGTGAAACGAGAGCAACGGGTTGGATTTAACGGAATACAACATGAAGAAAATTCAGTATGCTGGAGCGGGACTGGATGGGGGGGGACTTTTTTTCTTTTCTTCTATGTGATTAACCAATAACCCCTCCTCAAAAAGAACCACCGCATAACCGACCTAAGCAGGATGATTAAAAACTGTGTGGAAATGATTTACTACCAAAAGTTTGGCTTGTGACGTCGAGAAAAAGAACAAGGGCTTTTGATGGCGCAGCAACAAAAAGGGAGTCGCCATTTTGACAAGTCCTGTCGAAAGATTCATGATCGGGAGGAGGAAGCTTTGTTTTCATATTGGATTCCTGGTAGAACCTCCTCGAGGACTGAGAAAGAGGGACAGACCTGTGAAAAGTGAATGAGTAGACAGCAAGAATGTTTTTCTTTATGGAAGCGATGAAATATGACTCTTCAGCTGTCTGAAATCTGACTCTTGGACGAACGGAAAAATCCACACAGGAATACAAATTTGTTTCAACCCGCTTATGGAGACAATCAGAGGCCACAAAGACAAAGAGAAAGGGAAAATATATGAAAACAACTAGAAGAGATGTGGAAAACAGCAAGAAAGGATTGGACAGAATTCTGAACATTATTTGGACATATTTGTGGACTTTTAAAGCAGCAGCAGCAAGAGGATTGGATCCCTTTCGGAACTTGAAATATGGGTACTCCCAACGAAAATTTAAAATTAGGCTCTGTAATTCAGAACTTATGTGATTTGATTTGATATGATTGGTCTGTTAATAAAAAATATTTAAAAAAATAAAATCCGGCCTTCGGAAGGTCTGGGAATCAGCATGTTTTTACATGAGTAGAATGTGTCCTTTTATTTAAAATGCATCTCTGGGTTATTTGTGGGGCCTGCCTGGTGTTTTTACATAAGTAGAATGTGTGCTTCTATTTAAAATGCAACATTTATTTAAAATGTTATTTGTGCAGCATAGGAATTCGTTCATTTTTAAAAAAAAAAAAAATAGTCCACCCCCCCCACACAAGGTCTGAGGGACAGTGGACCAGCCCCCTGCTGAAAAAGTTTGCTGACCCCTGAATTACAACCCAATGTAATTGGGTGTCAGATATTTTCACAGTTTAACAGCCATTTTAGAAGCGTGGGTTGTAGTACTCATCCCCAAACATAGCAGCCTTAAAAATGTGTTATGTGGAAAACAGGGTTCATAAACATCTATATCCATTCAAAATGGAGGGTTTTAAAATAAATCATTCCAACTTAATTGAAAACAAAATTATGAAAGCTGGGTAAATTAAATTAAATGGGAAGTTTTTGCTAAGCTTAAAGACCACACTTCCCTAGCCAAACAGTCATTTTTTGTGATTTGAATATTCTGGATCTGCTACATACAATCTTCTTTATTTGTTTGAAGTCTAGGGCTACTGTACCTTTCTAATATCACACAGATGGATGAGCAAGGGGTCAAAAGGAGCAACATTTTAGACTTCCGGGGAGGCGCCTCCGGTAATGGCGGAATTCCCACCACTGAGATCATTCCGTTGTAACTATCCAACCTCCCCAAATTTCAACACCTCTTGCGATGGTTTGACCCCTTTCTGTTTTAACAGTACAAATTCTACAAACACCTTCCATATCTCCTCAAAATCATTTCTCCTGCATATTCCCTGTCTTACCTGCAATTATGCATAACTTCTTTTATCTTTATCATTAATATTTTGATTTTCCAGTGTCCTAATTTCTTCCTCTAACTTTTTAATGTCTTGTTGTTGTTTTTTCAATTTACTAGATTCCCAAATACTAATTCCCCTCATCATTGCTTTCATTGTATCCCATATTATTGCTTGAGTACTTTGCCCCTTCTCATTAATCTCCCATATGTCTAATAATTATTTCCCTATCTTATTTACTGTTTGACTGTTATTGAAGATCCTTGTGTCTAGCCTCTGTTTTCCGGCTTCCTTATAATTTTTCTTTATTTTTAATACCATATTAACCAATGTGTGCTCGGTTATCTTTATTATTCCAATTTCAGTACTCATTATTTTAGATATTAAGTTTTTTGAAGCAAAGATGTAATCGATCCTTGAGTAGGACTTATGCATAGGTGAGAAGAATTAATAATAATAATAATAATAATTTATTATTTACACCCCGCCCATCTGGCTGGGCTTCCCCAGCCACTCTGGGCGGCTTCCAAAAAATTATTAAAATACTGTAATACATCAAACATTAAAAGCTTCCCTAAACAGGGCTGCCTTCAGATGTCTTCTAAAAGTTTGATAGTTGTTCTCTTTCAGGTCTGATGGGAGGGCATTCCACAGGGAGGGCGCCACTACCGAGAAGGCCCTCTGCCTGGTTCCCTGTAACTTGGCTTCTTGCAGTGAGGGAACTGCCAGAAGGCCCTCGGTGCTGGACCTCAGTGTCCAGGTAGAATGACGGGGGTGGAGACGCTCCTTCAGATATACTGGACTGAGGCCGTTTAGGGTTTTAAAGGTCAGCACCAACACTTTGAATTGTGCTCGGAAACTTACTGGGAGCCAATGTAGGTCTTTCAAGACCAGTATTATGTGGTCTCGGCGGCCGCTCCCAGTCACCAGTCTAGCTGCCGCATTTTGGATTAGTTGCAGTTTCTAGGTCACCTTCAAAGGCAGCCCCACATAGAGCGCATTGCAGTAGTCCAAGCGGGAGATAACCAGAGCATGCACCACTCTGGTGAGGCAGTCTGCAGGCAGATAGGGTCTCAGCCTGCATACCAGATGGAGCTGGTAAACAGCTGCCCTGGACACAGATTTGATCTGTGCCTCCATGGACAGCTGTGAGTCCCAAATTACTCCCAGGCTGTGCACCTGGTCCTTCAGGGGCACAGTTACCCCCATTGAGGACCAGGGAATCCTCCACACCTGCCCGCCTCCTGTCCCCCAAAAACAGTACTTCTGTCTTGTCAGGATTCAACCTCAATCTGTTAGCCTCCATCCATCCTCCAACTGCCTCCAGACACTCACACAGGCCCTTCACTGCCTTCACTGGTTCTGATTTGAAAGAGAGGTAGAGCTGGGTATCATCCGCATACTGATGAACATCCAGTCCAAACCCCCTGATGATCTCTCCCAGCGACTGCGTGTAGATGTTGAAAAGCATGGGACAGAACCCTGAGGCACCCCACAAGTGAGGGCCCAGGGGTCTGAACACTCATCCCCCCCCACCACTTTCTGAACACGGCCCAGGAGGAAGGGGCGTATGACAGTGCCCCCAGCTCCCAGCCCCTCAAGACGGTTTCTTCTCTCCTCCCCTCATCACTCTCCAAACATCTTTCATATCTTTCCTTTTCATAATTTTAGCTAACCCTGTAATGTTATTACATCTTTCCTCTGGGGTAGGATTTGACTTATCCAATCGTTTATCTAATACCATATTGAAATCTCCTGCCATAATCATATAGCCCTTTTGAATATCCTCCAATTCCTTAAACACTTTTGTGGCCTTTCAGAGAATTTAGGTCCATTCCAGTGCTTAAACATGTGGTGTGTTTAGGTGTCAGTGAAGCTCAGATGCTGACAGGAGAAGAAGAAGCAGGCAGAGAGAGAGAGAACAGTTAACAGCAGAAGACAGAGAGAAAGGGGAGAGCAGCTGTAATCTGAGCTCTGAACAAGGGGAGACGAAAGACAGGGCCAGAGTGACAGGCGGCTGGGTGAGAGCTCCAATAGTGAGTCAGGCATTGGAGTGCACAAAGCAAATCGCGTAGGATCTCAAAAGTGGCCGAGATGCGTGAAAGACACTGGAAAAGAAGGTGTGGGCTTCTGTGCTGGAGAAGGGGGAGGAGCTCAGTCTGGGCAACTCCATCTTCTGGGGAGGACGATGAGTAGAGGAGCTCCATCCTAGTTCGTTGTTTTAGCAATAAATCTGAAATAATTAACAGCCAGAGTCGTCTTGTGTTTGTGGGAGGGACCAAGCCATAACATTAGGTGAGTGTTGAAATGCCATGAGTAAACTACAGATTGTTTAATTGCTATTGCAGGATTAGATTTGACGCTTAATGGCTTGTATTGGAGGAAAGACCCCTTTCAGCCTAAACTCATTCCATGCAGAATGTACATGCCTCCCATTTGAAACTCCAGCCTCTTGGAAGGTGAACTTCTGGAGCAGAATGCTGAAGAACAAGAAGAGCTCCATTCAAGCCAGGGCCTCCCCTGGGCATGCCCGTTTTCCTGGAAATGGAGAAAGTCATAATTATTCGCATGACAGCTGGACACTGTCTAGAACTGAACAAATGTATCCCACACAATTCTCCTCAAAATGGCCCCCAGTGGATTTTGATGGTACAGTGGTACCTCGGGTTAAGTACTTAATTCGTTCCAGAGGTCTGTTCTTAACCTGAAGCATCAGTTTAGCTGTTCTTAAACTGAAGCATCAGTTTAGCTAATGGGGCCTCCTGCTGCTGCTGAGCTGCTGGAGCACAATTTCTGTTCTCATCCTGAAGCAAAGTTCTTAACCCGAGGTACTATTTTTGGGTTAGCGGAGTCTGTAACCTGAAGCATATGTAACCTATAGCATATGTATCCCAAGGTACCACTGTAAATATTCTCTGGATCTGCACATATCTTTGATAGTCATCATCAGTATTTGACACTGAAATTCAACATTTGATAGTACCTGTATAATAGCTAGTACTCAGAAGTGTTTTACTTTAAACTGTGGGTTCTTCCAGATGGATCTATATTGTGGTACTGATGGTGTCCACATTATGTCATGGGCATCAAACTGCCAACCTGTATTTCCCCCCTGATTTCATTTTTTTTTTAATGATATTTATTAAGCATTTTAAAGTTACAAAAAAAACCAAAGAAACAAAGAAGAAGAAAAAACAAAGAAAAAGCAAACAGCAGTCAAACCATACAGATCAATAAAAATAGAAAAAACAAAAACAAAACACATCAAAATCCAAAAAACAAAAGTAAACCACAAACAATTAAAAACATCCAGATTTACCTTTTCGGAGAAAAAAAATATGATAATTTTTTTTTAAAAAAAAACATGTTGCCAACAATCTGTGATATCTCAGTGACCCATGGGCGTCCATTAGTGTCTGTTAAAGCAACGTTTGACAAATTTACCAGATTACATAATATATAAGTTAGTATTTGACAACTTCACACATGTAGACATTTAAGCACTACACTAAAGCATGATTTACTATTGTGAGAATGACTCTCAGCAAGCCTTGGATTTCTGTACTCCTCTGTTATCAGGTGTGGCTTTGAGGAAGAGAATGGAAGGTGAACCATAGCTCAACATGATGTTCAAATCTAAACCAAGTGTAGTTTGGCAAAGTTTGCTGGAAGCTGCTCGGAGTGGCTAGGGACTCCCAGCCAGATGGGTGGGATATAATAAATAATAATAGTAATAACAAGACTACATATGTCAGTTTATGAAGCAAATCAGTTTCAACAAACCATAGTTAAGATTGTCCATAGTTTAAGGTTCTATAAACTGTAGTTGCTTCCCGTTATATGAAAAAATAGCCAATATAAGAAAGGTCAGGTTTTGCAAGATTTCAATATATCAGACATCATATCAACATTGAGTAGAATCTGACAGCAGACATACAGTATCAATTAGAAAATAAATAAATCTGACTACCCCAGAGCCTAGGGCTTGCTGATCAGAAGGTCGGCAGTTTGAATCCCCGCGAAAGGGGGGAGCTCCCATTGCTCGGTCCCTGCTCCTGCCCACCTAGCAGTTCGAAAGCACATCAAAGTGCAAGTAGATAGATAGGTACCGCTCCATGGGAAGGTAAGCAGCATTTCCATGTGCGGCTCCCTCAGCCAATAAAGCGAGATGAGCACTGCAACCCCAGAGTCGTTCGCGACTGGACCTAATGGTCAGGAGTCCCTTTACCTTTACCTTTTAACTGCTTGATTGGTGAGAAAAAAATCATTCATATATGCAACTCATTGAAAACACATGTCTTCTCACTAAGCTGGTTTAAATGTGCTTTGCTGAGGTATGGCTGTTCGAAAAAGCTTTCATGTAAGAGCGAAGATAAGGCTTGAGGCTGTCTCTCTGCTGCGACAAAGTTTTTCATTGAAGCTAGGGAAATGGCAAGCTTTTCACATGGCACACAGAAGAACGAATTATTCCTCACTTGAACATTATCGTGATACAGAACCCACATGAAGATAGCACATCCTCCAACTTGTATCTTTGTCCTTTAAACATTACAGGAGCATCATGATCTATCCTAGAACCAACCACTAAGCAGGAGCTCAGTTCAAAATAATCTTTGCACCCTCTCGGTTGTTCATGACAAAACATCTCCATTCAGGAGTCAGCACTGATATTACCCTGTGCTATTTGAAGTGTTTCTGAATATTTATAGGAAGGCTTTCAGCTGCACACACAAGTTCATAAGAAGAATCCTGATGGATCAGACCAGGGTTCATCTATTCCAGCACTCAATTTCCCACAGCAGCCAGTCAGATGTTTTTTGCAAACCCACAAACTGGGCTGGAAGGCAACAGCTGTCCATTATTTGTCCCACAACAACTGATATTCATTTCAGAGATGTGTTGCCTCTGAACACAGAGCTTCAATTCAGTTATCAGGTCTGTGGGTGGTTGTGTTTTTAGTAATCCTCCTTTTTCTTCTTATTTTGGGAACGGTGGTGTTGATGACACTGTTAAGAGATGGCTGTTTATCACTGGCTTCCGGGTTAGCGCCTCCGGCAATGGCGGATTTCCTCTGATCGGGAGGAATCCGCTTCGTGAGAACTAGGGTCTGGACCGCTGTGGCAAGGTGGAGACCCACCAAAAACCACAGGCGGGAGAAGCCTGTGGACGTGGGATTCGGCTGGCACCTTTTGCGCCTCCCCTACTCATGGGGAAACCCGGTTTCGGGGATCCGGAGCGACGTGGGGTGAATGGCGCGGTGCTTCGAATCGACTGCTCTTTTCACGGAGTGAAGCCACATTGCTGTTGCCGGAGAGCGCTGACTTTTTCCTGTGGACAATTGGATTTTAAACAACTGCCCATGAGTAGAACGGAAAATTGGACTATGAAACTTTAATTTGGCACTGAAGCGGGAAGGTCTAAACAGGAAGTCTGCCTTCCGCTTTTGTAAATAGATTGAAGCAAAGACATTGCAAGCTAGAGTCTGGAAAGTCGTTTGTAAAGGACTAAATTTCCATCAGTTAAAATTACTAAACCCCCTTGGAAGCAGGAGAAGAGGGGGGAAATCTTAGACTGTTTAATCCTGCAGAAAGAGAGAGTAAAGAAAGATAAATTTCCACCGTCTTGAACCTGGGAGCGGGGTGTCAGAGACAGACGCTTTGGGGAAGTTCATTGACTGTGGATAAAATGTTTTTGACAGATAGTTAAAAAAGAGAAACATATTGATTCCAATGTTCCCTTTTGCACTTAAAAGGAACTAAATATCTGAAAAACGAAAGGAATTTTGTTGCTAGATCTGCTTTTAAAAAGACGGATACAAACAGAAATTGTTTCCTCTAGAGGGAGCTTGTGAAACTGTTGCTGGAGTCGATCTGGGGAATTCTACAGCTGTAGAGATTAAAGATCATGAGACCAGACATTGACCTTGAACAAGAATGTGCCCAGAAGAAGCTTTAGTGCTTGCTTTTTGCAAGACAAGCGCTTTACTGGAACAGCTACATGAGAAGATGGATTTGATGACTGTTGCACTTGGCAATTTTGGACAAACAGTGAATACCTATATAGAAACCACTCAGGAACCAACCCAGGAATGTGCTTTGACAGAGCAAGTTGTGAAGAAGATAAAGGAGGAGGTTGTTGCTGAACCTCAAGTAATAGTAATAGAAATGGAGAGAGCTGCGGCCTTGCAGGAACATAAGTTGTTGTTTTTGACGACTGAACCTGGAGAAAGTCAGATTTGGAGAGATGGAGTATTGTTTGGTCTGGAGATGGGAAGTTGGATAGATCCCCCTATGCAGGGATGTTTTGACTTTTTGGATCTGGTTTTGGGCCAGGGGGAGTTTGGAGTTGTGGGGGCCCTTAACCTTGGAGGGACTTTGAAATATGCCTTCAAATATCTTTTGGATTTCTGTGCTGACTATGGAGAATGGGCTGACTTGTTGAGAAGGGATAAAGATATTGTCAAGTTGGAGTCTCCCCGAGAGAAAGGAAGGAAATTAAGAATAAGATCAGCAGAAGATAAAGTAAAGTGCAGGTATAAATATGAAGAAGACCTGCAGAAGGGACATGGAAAAGACTTAAGAGCCTCGGATAGAAGGTCACCAGGTTGATGGACTAGATGGAAGGGGTAGAAAGGTCTGATAAAACCCGAGACCAGGAAGAAGAGATGATGGATGAAGATTGGAAGAAAGTTTTAAAAATTCATTTAGAAAATGATTGTAAAATTAATGAGTATTAGAAAAATGTTGGAATGAAACTATTTGGCTTTAGTAGAAATGTTAAAAAAAATATGTATAAACAAGTTTTAAGTTTTAAGCTTTAGGGCTTTTCATGGTAAGATAAGGTTAAAATAAATTAAGGTAATTTAATGACAGAATATAGTGAAAGATGGAAAGGATTTGCTGAGATAATTAATAACCAAAATACAAAAAAGAGAGGTGTGAGGAGGTCGATGAAACAAGTTAACGAAAGACAAAGATTTGGGAATATTGGATTTGTTTTTAAATTTTTTGTTTGTTTTTGTTTTTGGTTTTGATGTATTGTGTGTTTTGTTTTTTGTTTTTTTGTTTTTTCTTTCTATTGACTTGTATTGTTTAATTTCTCTTTTTGTCTACCTTCTTTCCTTTTCCCTTTCCCCCCCCTCTTTTCTCTCTCTGTAATTTTAAATTCTCAATAAATATCATTTTTTTAAAAAAAGAGAGATGGCTGTTTATCTGTTTCTCGCAGTCTAGTGAGTGGTTTGAGGGCTGATTGGGAACTAATCACTACAATATCAAATTTGTGGGACAGATGGTATTTTGTGGTTCAGTTTAGCAGGCAATACCCTGGATTTTGTGTTCTGCTCTTGATAGTGGGAGCAAATATTTATTATGGATAAAGGTGTCACAAATAAACAGCTAGAGGTGCTTCCACAGGCAAGCAACCTCAGTTTCTGTAAGCAGGATTGGGGAGGGGTAGCAGAGCACACCTTAAGCAGGCCACCTGCCCCTATTCTGCACACAAAAACCCAAACACACACTCTCCATCCCTCTGGAGCTAGAATTGCCCTCAGGTGCTAGAATGGAGGTATAAAGTGGTTCAGGTCGCAGGGCAGTTTTCCCCTCACATGCTTCCTGGAAAATCAGTGGAGATGTTTGCAGTTGGCTTAATGCTAAAGTGCCTGAGATCATGGGGGCTGAAACATCACTCTGATTAACTCTAGCCATTGGCATTTTCAAATGGAGATGATGGGAGTTGCCATACGTCCAGAATTTCCTGGACATAGCCGGAATATGGCAGTCACAGTGTCTGGGAAGATGCTTGAATATCCAGGAAAATCTGGACATATGGCAACCCACTTGAAAAATCTATATTTTGGTGAATTTCCTTTAAAATAGATCAACTTCATTTTTTAAAAAAACAACAATGGGGGGGGGTCAACAAATGTACCAAAAAAAGCTGAACAAGCTTCACTTTTTGAAATATGGCAACCCTATGGGAGTTGTACTAGCAGCAATGTCTTCATGGCATATAGCATCACTCCAGGGACTGATTTGTGTGCTTGTGGAATTAATGGATACCATTGGCAACCACTGAAATTACTCTGCTACAGTTTGGGATAGTCAAGGGCTCTGAAATGTTCCTTTTAAAAAACAGTTTCAAGGTGCTTTCTACAGGGGCAGGATCCTCTTCCTCTATTTGTAAACTGGGGGGGGGGGGTAGTTTAGCTGCTGCCTATGATAGCTATTCATCTGCTTTAAAAATGAAGGAGGCAGATGACACTGCTACTACTTGCTGCCATGGGTAACTGTAGACTCCAAACTATTGGAAGTAGATTTTAGGGCCCTGTTTCCCCAAACTGTCTGTCTAAATCCACCAAAATTGTGATTATTTGAATTTTCAGTCTGTTCCTTGGTAGAATGAAGTAAACCTTTAGTAGTTGCTATCACTTCCACCAGGCAATGGACCTCCTCCTGTATCCGTTCAGCCATTGATTTCTTCCCCATCCCAATGTTCTGCAGTGTGGAGAGAGTGAAGCGATGCAGTTCCTTCCATTTCTTTTTATTCCTGGTGCTGATCCCTGGAAGGATGTCATTTGACATTGTTGCATTAGTTCTGATGAAACACATGGCTATGGAATGCTATGGTTTCATATTTGCAACTGTAAACCATTACCTCGAGCCAAATGAGATGCAATGTGGGCCATCCTAATCATTCTTCACATGTGCTCCCTGCTCATGTGTAGGGATCAGATGGGATTACCATGAGGAATTATAAAATATACATCAAGCCATCGTGTCAATGATGAAGACATTGTGTTGACTGGGTTTGATATATTGATGATAATTTCTGATTAAATCCCATAAGACTCTACATTCGTGCCCTTTTCATGCCCTTTTGCCTCTACTGTCCATCTCTCTTGCCTGAGAAGTCACGTACACAGCCCAGTTGCTTCTTGCTTAGCCAGGCAGGCATCCTGGGCCATAAAGATAGTGGGCAAGTTTCTTTGATGTATAGTAATCTTAGGATGTTAATCTTGGAGCCAGGAAACAGATCTCACATGAAGGTGATAGTGATCGGGTCTTTCTGGCCATCCTTCTTATCATATGTATTGCTTGTTTATTACCTCTGGGGTTGCCAGATGCTCTTCTTTGTAGTTCTGTTCTTTGTTTACCCCAGAAATATTTGTGCTTAATTAGTTTTAGTAGTTTAACTTTCTCCCCAAGTGCGTTTGTGGAATGCTCAGAAGAAATCTGATTGGTTCTTATGAACACTCTGTAAAAAGTTCTTTTGTGAATAAAAACGGCCTGGGCCAGGGGCTGCAAAGATCTGTCAGACAGGCACAGAGAGACACGATTATACGCACCCTTCCCAGAGTCTTGCTGGTTCAAGTCTATGTGTGTATTCTTATTAATCAGAGTTCAATCCTTCCTTTACTTTGTGAACGCAACACTCATGTATGAAGTACATAGCAGGGCATGTGGGGTTTTTAATTCTTCTCAGAAATGTGTGTGCAAATGAAGGGAGCTGCCAGTGTTGCAGAAGTGGACGGAGGAGAAAAACATATGAAATGATAGGAAATGGTGAGGTGAGAGTGACGAGTGCAGAGTTCAGCTCCCTCCTCCTACCCACATATTTTCTAGTAAAATTTTTGATCCTTTTGGGGAGAGCACACTGCATACTCCCTGGGATCTGTCCAGGGTGCTGATGGATCTGTATGACTACGCTTGTTTCCTCATCCATTTTGAATGAATATTGCTAATTGGTCCCTTGCTCTCTCTGTCCATCCTAGACACTGCTTGACATGCTTCCTTCAAACTCCTGTATGGGCTCACCAGCTCTGGGCAATATGTGAATGGTTCAGCAAAGTGAACAAATCTGGCTGTCTAGACCAATTTTGTCTAGGTTAACTATCAGTCACTACATGGTGGTCTAAACCGCTGAGCCTCTTGGGCTTGCCGATCAGAAAGTTCAAATTCCTGCAACTGAGTGAGCTCCCGCTGCTCTGTCCCAGCTCCTGCCAACCTAGCAGTTTGAAAGCATGCCAGTGCAAGTAGATAAATAGGTATTGCTGTGGTGGGAAGGTAAACAGCACTTCTGTGCACAGAAGTGCTCCATGCACCAGAAACGGTTTAGTCATGCTGGCCACATGACCCAGAAAGCTGTCTGCCAACAAACGCCAGCTCCCTCAGTCTGAAAGCGAGATGAGCACCACAGCCCCATAGTCGCATTTGACTGGACTCAGCAGTCCAGGGGTCCTTTACCTTTTTTACCTCTATATACTGTTCTACATACAGTGGTACCCCGCAAGACGAACGCCTCGCAAGACGGAAAACCCGCTAGACGAAAGGGTTTTCCGTTTTGGAGGCGCTTCACAAAACGAATTTCCCTATGGGCTTGCTTCGCAAGACGACAGCCCATAGGAAATCTCAGGGACAGCGGGGAGCGCAGCGCGTCTTCCCCACTGTCCTCGGACCTCCTCCGAAGCCTGGCGGCGGGGCGGGGACACCTCCTCCCGCCGCCGCCGGGCTCGGAAGGCTCCTCCGAGCCGGGCGGGGGAGGGAACACCTGCCGCCGCCGCCCGGCCGGGCGGTGCTCCGAGCCGGGCGGGGGAGGGAACACCTGCCGCCGCCGCCCGGCTCGGACGGTGCTCCGAGCCGGGCGGGGGGAGGAAGACCTCCCCGCCGCCCGGCCCGGAGCGGTGCTCCGAGCCGGGCGGTGGGGAGGGAAGACCTCCCCCGCCGCCCGGCTCCGGACGGTGCTCCGAGCCGGGCGGGGAGGGAACACCTCCGCCGCCGCCCGGCTCCGGACGGTGCTCCGAGCCGGGCGGGGGAGGGAAGACCTCCGCCGCCGCCCGGCTTCGGAGCGGTGCTCCGAGCCGGGCGGGGGGAGGGAAGACCTTCTGAAGGCGGGCGGGGGCGAAAGTCTTTGCTCCCCTGCCTTCCGGTCACGTAGGGCTTTTGAAGGCGGGGGGAGCAAAGACTTTCGCCCCCCGCCCGCCTTCAGAAGAGGTCCAGGACCTCTTCTGAAGGCTGGCGGGGGGCAAAAGTGTTTTTGGCCCCTGCCTGCCTTCCCATGGGCTTTAAATTGCCCCGGACAGCGGAGAAGTCCTCCGCTGTCCCGGGTGATTTTAAAATGCCGCCCGCCAGCATTTTAAGATCGCCCGGACAGCGGAGAAGTCCTCCGCTGTCCCGGGGTTTTAAAATGCTGGGGTGGGAAGAAAAGCCCTTGCCCCCCAGCCTTCAGAAGAGGTCCGGGGACAGACTGTCCCCGGACCTGGTCTGAAGGCGGTTTCCCTAGGAACGCATTAATTGATTTTCAATGCATTCCTATGGGAAACCGTGCATCGCAAGACGAAAAACTCGCAAGACGAAGAGACTTGCGGAACGAATTAATTTCGTCTTGCGAGGCACCACTGTACTGGGAGAGACAGGCAGTGCTTTTTTCTTTAAAAAAATGTTTAGGGGTACTCTCATTTTGACTCAAGAAAATCACCATTTTATAGTTCAAATCAGGAAAAAGAAATACAGTAAATGGACAAAAGTACAAAGATTCACAAGCTGTTTAGGGGTATATATACCTCTGCATACCTGCAGAGAAAAGCACTGGAGGCAGGTATAATCTAGGCCCTAAGACAATTTGAACGGGACACTTCCTTTAAAACAGAAGGAAGAAATCATCATAATTAAGATCAACAATAACAACGAAACACTCACCTAAATTTTTGGTCACAGTTTCAAGTATAGGTTGGCTACTTTGCCCACCAAATTCTTCAGCATAACTAACCAGAGCATCTTTCATAATCTCGTATCCACAGAGCACCACCATAGGCTTTGGTCCTATCCAGATAGTGAATATCTGGTCATACTGCTTGGTGAGCTGAGGAAAGTATTATGGAGGTGTATGATTCATTAGGCAGCTGCCTTAAAAGACTACTACTAAAAAATGTTTGTGATCTTAGCATGCTTTAATGGGAGGTATAGGCAGCACACTTGCATGCTGCTTCCTACGAATAAGCAAAGTGAACTAAGTGGGACTTCCTTTTGGATAGGCTTGCATATGCACAGTTAGGCTGCAATACTGTGCTCTATCATGCATGTTTTCTTGAGAGTGAGCACCAATGAACTCTGTGAGAAAACATGTATGGAATCAGAATGTATATCGCCTCACAGAGCTCAGATTCCCAGAGTTCTCTGGGAAAAGGGACTGATTGTTAAACCACTCAGGGTATGGTAGTTGTGTAACAGGAATATGGGTATCCAAACAACTCTCAACACCCTTAACAAACTACAGTTCCCCAGGAGTCTTTAGGGGAAGCCATGACTGTTTAAAGCACCATAATAATGCTTTAAACATATAGTGCAGATGGAGCCTGATAGCTGAAGGGGCTTACTTGGTACCCCAGTTATAACTGCTCACCTTAATACAGGAAGACTCTTTAACCCAATAATGTAACAAATAGATACTGTCACAACAGCCCAATTTTTCAAGTGACCTATGGGGTGTCAGTACGCTCCAGAAGACCTGTGGTTCTCATTGTTATTCTATTTGAGAAGAGTTAAACCACTTGCAAATTCACTCATTCACTAAGTGGCAAGAAAATGGAAAGGTAAGGTGCCTCAGGTTAATTTCCATGCCACATATAAGCAATACACGCTGTATACTGTATGCTGCTCGTATACAGTAAAGAAAGGAAGAAGTCAGCCGGTGTATATAAATATGTTTACTGAGCCCAACATTCTTTTTTTAAAAAGAACTCATTTAAAAAATAAAGCAAACCTATAACAAACAATTTACATGAAATCTGATGAGGACTCCCCGAATATCACTTTCATTGAAACCCTACAAAACATTATATTGCCAATGTTTTATTTTAATTTAACAAGAAGAGGAAACCCAGCAACACTCCATACCAACAAACAATTGTATGATCCAAAATAAACAATAGGGAATAGTGAGAGAGTACCAGGAAATTGTGTATGTGTGTGTCTTACCTTTTGATATTATAATGAGTATGGGTTGCTCGTGCGTAAGTTGCCGCCTCTCCAGGCTTTGTTGCCTTGGTAAACCTTTCAGTCTGGGCAGCCCTTCACTTCGTGGCTGCCTCAGTCGCTAGCAGAATCCGTCAGTGGGCGTTTCTTAAATCTTTTCCAACATAAAAGTTGTTTGACACCCAGTCTCCTCCTACTCTCTCTGTGCGGAAGTCTTCTGCGCAGGGTGGGCGTGGGTAGCGGGGGACTAGTGCTCTCCCCGCTGGTGTCTGGTGAAGAGTCCTGGAGCCCTCTCGCCGATTCCCCCATCAGCCCCTCCTTATCCCTGGTGTAGCACTGATTTGCTTCCCCATCTGCGGAGCTGCCTCTCTCCCTGCTGGGTCCTTCTCCAGCATCATTTGAGAGCCTTCCCTCCGCCTCTAGCTCCGATGTCAGTTCCCTGACAGATATGATTTGGACAGATGCCTGAAATCTATTTGCAGGAAGATCCCCACAAAGGGCAATGGAGTAGGAACTGGCGGTAGTTGGCTTTGTTTCTGGTACATTTTGAATTCCTTGTACATACTTGTCCAGGGTGGGACATGGTTGCTCCACATAAAAGACTTCCCTCTTCCAAGAATGCTTAAAGCTCATGTGTCCAAGGCAACATACACGTGGATTTTCAGAGACACGTATATCAGTTAAACAAATTTTGAGCTAGAGTGTGAGGAACTGGAAGAGCCAGTTTCATGGTGCTAAAAAAAAAGTATGTGATGCAAACAAATCAGAGTGAGTGCTCATTAAATAGCTGGCTCCCCTGAAAACTCCTGGTGCTCAGAGATTGGGTGTAACATTATAATACTGACTATACAAACAGTATTCAAAGTGGACCTAGCACTGAAATCCAGAAAAAGGCAGAAATAGGAGGGTTCTTATATGCAACTTGGCAAGTGATGAGCAGAAGATGCAACAAAAACATCTGAGGAATGTTAGGGAATTCCAAAGTTGATAGAGTGCTGGCTTGAAGGAGTGTGGCTACCATTCATGGGGAAATGGAGAGATAAAAACTGTGTACGAAAGTGAAAATCTGTTACCTCCCTGGAAGAGCAAAGGAAGCTTCTTCTTTATGAGGGGACGCTCTTTTTGCAAATTGTCTCAGATGCCAAGTGTGGTGGTGCGCACAGGTATCAACAAAGAAGGGCATTAAACCATTAAAAAATCATAGTCCAAGATTTCTTGCACCCGTTTATCTAATATGTGGCAAGTTTCATGCCCCTCAAAGGGTCTACTATGCCTGTAATTTCATCCCATTTTACCAACAAATTAAAGGGGGAGGGGGAGATACAGGTGTTTGCAGCAATTTGTTGTGAAGCTTTATAAACACCTTCAACAAGAAACTGACATGTGATATTATCAAATGCTTTTTCTGCATCTGGAAACCTAACTACTCGTTCAAGATTTGTTTTTCATGCATAAATGAAGTTGTTAGCATTCGTCTGTCTCAGGAGACAATGGAGGAGTGCAACTTTGTGGGTGAAGTCAAACCACTGGAGGGTTACAGCACCTGCTGTGGCTGTTGAGACCAATAAGGAACAGATGCTGTATATAAAGGTGACCAGTTGAGCTGCAGCAGATGCACAGCTAGATTTATTATTTTCCTAATATTATCCTTCATTATGCAAAATCCATCTTGATCTATATGATTTTTAATTATGATCCTTTTTAGATTTTTTTTTTAAATGCTACTGTTATAGACTTGTTACAGAATTCAATTTACCCATTTGTAATATCTCATTCTTCACTTTAGAAAGTTGTTGTGCTAACATACTCCTAAAGATCATAACACTGAGATTCCATCTGCTCCCAAGCTTTATTGATCTTTGCCCTTTTTACTGTATCTGTCACTGGATTGATGCTTCTAATGTAGAAGTGGCTCAGTTGTGTTTTCCAAGTGTTGCACTACAACTCCCAGCAGCCCCAGCCAACATGATGTGAGCTATAGTTTGGAATATATAGTTTTTCTAAGTACTGTGTGATTCAGATCTCCCAATAATCATATTCTTCCTACTTCAAATATACTGAGACGCATTGGCACCACCCATTTTGCTTCGTTGCTGTCACTGGATCATATTGAACGTCTAATGAATTTCAGTGGCAAGTCTCCTTTCATCAGGCCGCTGTCCTCATACAAAGTAAATATATCCTTGTCTTTGGCATCTCCCACCAGCTGGAAGGTGAATTTCTGGAGCAGAGCACCGAAGAACAGGAACAGCTCCATCCGAGCCAGGGCTTCCCCTGGGCATGCCCGTTTTCCTGGGTGAAAAGAAGGGGGCAGTGCTCATCAGTCACCAAAGACCTATATAGTGCCCAAGAAACTCAGCCAACACATTTTGAAATAATGGAACTGCATAAGAAAGACAGCAGTGAGACCATTTCTCAAGTGGTCCTGCAACTCTCTGTTTCCACTGTGATATGAAGGTGAAGTGTTTCAGGCAAGTATGTTTTTGGAGATATTGGTCTCATGTCATTTTCTCGATTCTTTGGCTGATTGGTGGACTTCTATTCTGAGCATGTTATATAACACTAAAGTACTGCTTGGCTTATTCTCCTGCCAGAAAACACAATAATGTGGCTTCCGTCTGTGTGTATGTGTAAATCTTTGCTGAAAGCTACACATAAGCAGTTTCAGAGCAAAGAAATATAAAAGATTATGTGAGTGTGAGTTACTCTTTCCTCTCATTTCATCATGCCAACTCTCTTTCTTAACACAGAGCCCAAGTGGTTCCTGTAGCTAGTGGTCCAAAAGTTGGGAACTGAACTGTCCCTTCCTCAGGCTGATGTTTACAAATTTTCTGCTCAAGATGCAGGAAATGGAGGACAGAGGCAGAGAGAAATGTCTTGTGGGTAGACAATCCATCCCCAAACCTCTTACTTATCTCCTGGCAGCACTATCACTTCCTGGAGTCCAGCTGCCCACCCATCCACATGCCAGCTGCTGGACCCAAGCCCACAATATAAGAATCTAGGTCTATAGAGTCACCTGCAGAAAAAGGCATGAAGGCAGCCCTGTTCCGGAACTGGCCCTTCTCATCCAAGAAATGACCCGGGTTAAACTCTTCTGGAGTCTCCCACTGGAGAGGATCAAAGTGCACAGTTGAAATCTCTGCACAGACTGCTGTGCCCTTTGGGGAGAAGATAGAGATTTCATTATTTGTTTCAGCTTCATAAACATAAGACATTCTGCCTCCATTTCAGTGATCTTTGACAGTGTCTTACCAATCCTACCATTCCTGGTTATGGGACATTTATCTGATTCTAATTACCGTATTTTTCGCCCCACAGGGCGCACCGGCCCATAGGGCGCACCTAATTTTAGGGGGGGACAAAGGAAAAAAAATTATTCCCCCCCCAGGTGCAGGGCTGGGGCGGGGGAAGCCCGAGCTTCCCCCGACCCCAGCCCCCAGAACAGGCTGCTATCCGCAAGCCTTGGGAGCCCGGCGGGAACTCCCGCTGGGCTCCCCAGGCTTGCGGATATCTGCCCGAAGCCCGGGGCGCGCTCCGCTGCGCTCCCTGGGTTTCGGGCTGTAGGCTGCTGTCCGCAAGCCTTGGGAGCCCGGCAGGAACTCCGGTGGGCTCCCAAAGCTTGTGGATAGCTTCCTGAAGCCTGGAGAGCGAGAGGGGTTGGTGCGCACCGACCCCTCTCGCTCTCCAGGCTTCAGCGAAAGCCTGCATTTGCCCCATAGGACGCACACACATTTCCCCTTCATTTTTGGAGGGGGAAAAGTGTGTCCTATAGGGCAAAAAATACGGTAGTTCGTGACTCCATGCACATACTATATGCCTTCTGTTCATAATTTTGATACAGTATAGTGTTATAAAAATACTGTCAGTATATTATTAGCCGACACGCTGCTTGTTGTTTTTCAGAGTCATATACATAAGAAGCAGCCCTTTTATGGGAGAGACTGATTCCTAAAGTTGGTTGTCATATAGAGAAACAAGTCCTTGCACAGCATTCTGAAAAATCACCATGAATGTGGGGGGTGAGGTTGTAATCAGCATATCTTGTCTTTGCACTGGCTGGGACTGTGGCAGACCAAAGTCATTGATGGGATGATAAATCCCTCCCTCCTCCTCTCCACAGTAACCTGATCATTTCACATGTGACACAAACCTGGGGGATAAGATAGCCCCGGAATTTTGTAGGACGTGTTGTTGCACGTGGGATGCTCTCAAGGCTCCCTTTTTGATATCGTTGAACCTCATGGAGAACAGCATTGGTGTAGGGCATCCTCACCCTATCTTCCATGCCAGGGATACGGTTGGCACCTACCACATCATCGATCTCCTGTTGAACTTTTTCTGTAAGAAAAAAAATTCAGCTCTACTTCCAGAATTCTGAAACTACTTCTCCTCTGACATAGTGATAGCCTTCAACATTCTCCAACCAGAAGGAAAAGTAACACCGACTTACATGAATTTGCATCCTGGCAGGAGCCCATTTTTAAAGATGGCATGCAAAGATGAAAGGAATTCGGCTTTTGTCCCCTTTGCTAAAGGGGATCACCTTAGGTTACTAAAGGATGTGGGCTTTTTATCTTAGAGATGTTCATGAAATCCTGCAAAACATGTTGAATAAATGGTGTGGAAACTTTATGCAATCTCCTCACACAATACCTTTTATTCATCCATTAAACTTATATCCCACTCTTCCCCTCCCCCCCCAAAAAAGGAGTCCTGGGGTAGCAAATCAGGGTCAACAAAGGCAAGGGCCTGGCATTAGGCTCAGGACAGAAAAGATAAAGTTCTTCTTTGCATGATGCATATTTAAAAGTCATTATTTGCTGCCACAAGACAAATTCATGGAGCCATTAGAATCAGAATGAAAACCTCTGTTGGGGAGTCCAACATCTGAATACCAGGGACTAGGAGGACTGTTGCTTTGAGGGATGGAGGAGGAAACCATTTAAAACTGGTTCATACACGGAGTTGGGCTCGGATAGGATCGCCTCTGGTATCCAGTGGCTACATCTGTCCAAGGGGCTGGTGCTAATGTAACCCACTGCTTTAGATCATTTTAGCAAGAGCTGAGGCAGGGAGCAGCCAGCATTATGAGCAAATAGCCTGTTCTCCTTTGTGTAAGGCTGTGAACCCTTAAGAATAGCTCAGTAGTGAAGTTTCCTTAAAGTTTTAGGAGCAGTTATTCATTGCATAGTAAGGTCCTTCTTTGTTGAAGTATGTGTTTTATAAAGGGATGTAAGTTTTAGTTCCTGAGTGCCAAATTTGCTGGAGAGAAGGGCTGTGGAGTTGAGGTGAATGAGAAGATGCCCTTTTCCCTCTGGGAAAGATAAACATCAGTCTCCAGGAAGACAGAACATGAAGGACAGAACTCTGGGAGGACAGTACTCTATTGTCGTATTAATTTATGATAATTTTATCAATTTTACATAAATTATATCATTGATGTAGCATCCTTATTTATGTGCTGGTTACTTTCGGAAAATTGGAGTGCATATGCTTATAATATGCATATGATAGCGTTGTCTGCAATGTTTATAGCCTCGAAAGTGGAGCACTTCTCACTGAGATCTATGAGATAGACAGGAATTTTAGAAATCCATAGATAGATATATAATCCATATCAAGTTTTTCAGAAAATTCCATTAATGCTCAGCTTGAAAACCTCCCAGAGGCATCTCTCTGGTCACTTTTGGACACGGAATACAGTGGTACCTCAGGTTACAAACGCTTCGGTTTACAAACGCTTCAGGTTACAGTCTCTGCTAACCCAGAAGTGGTTCCTCAGGTTAAGAACTTTACCTCAGGATGAGAACAGAAATCATGCAGCAGCAGCGGGACGCCCCATTAGCTAAAGTGATACCTCAGGTTAAGAACAGTTTCAAGTTAAGAACGGACCTCCAGAATGAATTAAGTTCTTAACCCGAGGTACCACTATATGGGAATAGATGGGCTGTTTGGTCTCCTCCAGAAATATTATCCTTATGTGCTCCATCTGCCAACATGTATTACTTTTTAAAACATAAAAAACCAAAGCAATCCTCAAAACCTATCCTAAATAAATAAATAGTCATAAAAAATAAAAGTGGAGGGAGCATGGTGGATCCTGGTGGAAAGCTTTACCATGGATCTAGGAGAAGACATTTTGTGAGCAAGTTGTACTGACTATGCAGTTTTAATGTTTGTTTGTTTTTTCTTTCTCTTTACTATTACCCTTTCCACCTTGGAAAGGCAGAGCCTTTCAGTCTTTGGGGCAATTTATGTACCTTGAATGTGTGGCAATCTAGCCATCACCAGAAGGGCACAGCTCAAAACTTCACTTGTGGACAATGACCCAGCAATGAAGAGTTCCTGCACAATCACAATAAGCTCCTCTTTGGTGTAGATGGCCTCAGGATTGGTTTGGTCCTGTAAAAAGGAAAAGGGAAAAGAGAAGAATTTAAAACATCCATTTGAAAGAGTGACGGAGGAAGTGAGACATATCAATAAATGCAGTAACTGGATGGAGCACAATACTTGCATGGTTTATTACAGTGTAAGTACAGTGTTGTTTTTTAATTGAATATACCGTATTTTTCGCCCTATAGGACGCACTTTTTCCCCTCCAAAAATGAAGGGGAAATGTGTGTGCATCCTATGGGGCGAATGCAGGCTTTCGCTGAAGCCTGGAGAGCGAGAGGCGTCTGTGCGCACCGACCCCTCTCGCTCTCCAGGCTTCAGGAAGCTATCCGCAAGCCTCGCGCGCCCGGCGGGAGGTCCCACCGGGCACGCAAGGCTTGCAGGCGGCAGCCTGTTCTGGGGGCTGGGGTCGGGGGAAGCTCAGGCTTCTCCCGCGCCAGCCCCGTGCCTGGGGGGGAAATAATTTTTTTTCTTTATTCCCCCCCCCAAAGAAATCTAGGTGCGTCCTATGGGGCGGTGCGTCCTATGGGGCGAAAAATACAGTAGTTTTATTCAGGGACATTTCTCTACAAAAAGGGGTGCTGTTTCATGGAGTTGCATCCTCCAATTACATACAAATGAATATACCCCCCCAAAAAAACTACTATACTCTATCAAAAAACTCATTAATTATTTGATATAGTGTTTATTTGGGGGGGGGGAGTATATTCATTTGTAAGTAAGATCAGATTTTCAAATGATGCCAAAGGTCTTGTGGCATTTAATGGTCAATCCAATCCACTCAATCTACTTGCTGATCCAGAAGTGTTGCTGAAGGAGGCCATCGGGGAAACTGAAGCATTAGGCAAGCTGACCTGATTGGCAAATAATAAAAGTAAATCATAATTGTTGTGTCTGAATGCACCACCTGACATTAAGAATGTCAAACTCTGGAGGGTCTGAGACATCTCAGTCTTTTCCATGCAGTAACTCAGAAGGAACACAAAACCTGCATGGCTTATTGCAGCATATCTATAATGCTGAAAATAAAAAGATAACTGAAAACCAAATAATAGAACCATGAAGAAAACAATCCCATGTATAGATATAATGATGGGCATTATTTTTTCATCTGCTCTCCTGTGCTTGGTTTGATGTCTAAATAAACTTGAGGGAAGATGCCCCCACCTGAGATTAGCCTGGAGATCATCACAATGGCCAACCACCACAGCCAGAATGCAGGATCAGAATGAGGGAGGGCAGCAGCCATATGAGACAGTTTCAAATGTAGCCACAAACAAGAGACATCTCAGAAGCATGGAGAAGGGAAATTATATAACCTCCTACCTTCTCTGACTTCATAAGGAAGCAGTCAATATAGTCACGGGGGTCCTGATAATCCAGGGTCTCCTTGTGGGATTCCACCCTCTCATTGATGAAAGCATGCATTTTTTCAAAATTTCCTAAAATCTTTTTGTGCTGTCCAGGCAGGTAAGGCATTATTTTCGAGAACACATTATAAACCTGGAACAGAAACAATACATAACAACTGTATATTGAATTTATCATTTTAAAACTGCCTGCTGAGTCTATGGATTTAGGGATGTTGGAGAAATCTACTGCAAAATGTTTGCAATCCATGGCTCTTTCAAGAGGAATGACAGGATTTAAATTTAATAAACAAACAAGCAATTGTAAATAAATCCTCTCTCCTCCTCCTCCTCTTCTTCTTCTCGGTCTCCTTTATTTACAGTCCACTATATTTACATATTTATTATCACAAGATCCTGCCCATATCCACTGAGGCAGAAATCCTAACTATGCCTGCCCAGAAATGAGGCTTACTGAATTAAGCTAGGCTTAGTCTGAGGTATGTGGGGTTAGGATCACAGCCCTAATTGACTTCCTACTGTGAATTGTAAAATAAAACATTGTTTTTTAAAAAGCAAATGCATTGTTTATTTTTTGTCCTGCTTATTCTCTGAAACAAAATAATGTAGAAATAGGTTCTAGATCTTTCTACAGCAAAGACGCATTTAAAATAATGTTAGGTTAATTGTACCTTGTATGCAAGTCTGGCCCATCCATGAAGTGGAGTGAAGCAGGTACCTCAGGTGGTACTTGAAGGGTACCCTCCTTATATGTCCTACCCACCCCACTCCTTTCTCTGCTGGATAAGAATTCACCTTGTTTTGTCTCAAGTCATGAAATGGGATGCACCACCCCTGGTTGAATGTTTTTGTGCTTAGTTGATACATGTACCATACATATTAACTCTGAGTAGACTAGAAACCAGAACACTACGGAGACAGGTTCAGTGGCAGAGCACCAGGTTTGCACGCAGTAGGGCCCAGGCTCAATCACTGGCATACAAGGAACTCAAGAGTAGCTTGTAGGAGCCATGCGGTCTGAGCTTGTAGCAACCAACCCATACATCCTCACATGCTGAGCTTCTCAGACAGACCAGAGAGAAACAAAGGGTTAATTGCCCAGTCTCTCCCACACTTCTACTTATCTTATGCCTAGAAAGCACAGCTCCAAGCAGATTTGCACTTGGCCCATTCTTTCTAGGCACAGGTCTGGCTGGTTCTGCCTTTGCCCTGCTGCTTCCCCCCAGGAAACCCACTCTTTAGTGCTTAATCAGAACAAACAGCAGTCTGCAGAAAACCTGATTGCTGTTTGTTCCAATTCAGTACCAAACAATGGGTTTTTCTGGGGGAAAGTGGTGGGGCAATCTGAGGTGTGGATAACCTCATAGTTGTGAGGGAAGCTTTTTAGTGATATCAATTGAAAGGCAATCCATTATAAGAATCAGTGCCATTTTTCTAGAAAAAGAGGCACCGGAACTCACCATGAACACCTTCCTTGTTCTCTTAGAATGCCAATAGCACGCACCTGAGAGGTGCCAGAATTGAGTTTCACTGAGTTCCAGCTGAAGAAAAGCCCAGATAAAAATATTTTCCTTATACTCCCTGGGAAAGGGGAGTGTCCGAGTTTCAAACTCATTTCCCCTGCCCCAAGCAGATATTCAGCTCAGCTCTGACTGCCTTTACACCCTTTAGATATATAAAAAACCTTCCAGTAGCACTTCTGTTTCAGTGTATCTAAAGAAGTGTGCATGCACACGAAAGCTCATACCAATAACAAACTTAGTTGGTCTCTAAGGTGCTACTGGAAAGAATTTTTAAATTTTGTTTTGACTACGGCAAACCAACACAGCTACCTACCTATAACTAGAACCCTTTAGATAAGCAATCCTTTGATAATGAATAACTGGGAAAATTCACCGCTAACCCGGGGAAGTGCTCCACCAACATGCCTACAGAAGAATTTCTCTAGGTCTGTATTTTGAGTGATTAATTTGCTGATGCTCTGCAATTAAAGCCAAGATGCATGTGATTTGTTTCATGTGGAATTTAATGGAGACAAGGATCAGAGAAAGTGGAAAAGGTAAAGGGGAATATACCCCAGGGTGCACCTGGTTTATACCAGGCCCATGTCCATTAAGATGAACCAAGGGTCTGGGTCCATGGGATATACTTGTAAGAAGGAACAACATACCTGTCCCATATAACTCACAAGGTAACCCACAAAAGCCTCCATGATATGCAGCTTCTCCAGGAAGACCTGATCTTTGTACTCAAAGCGATTCCCAAAGACAACAGAACAGAGCACATTAGAAACAGCAGTTCTCAAGTGTTTTCTTATATCAAAGGCCTGCCCTGCAGGAGCAAAAGGACACAGTCAATAGAGTTTGGCAAGGTGGATATTCTCTCCCTCTGCCTGCACGACAGAATAACGTAAACCAGAACTCCTTGCACAATTGAACCAGACACATGGTACATTTTGTATTTCTCTTATATTAAAAGATAATTAAGTTCCTTTTACATGGAAATGATAGTATCAGCAGCTCCTGTATTCCCTTTATTTAGCAAGATGTAAGTGCAGCTTAACTGTTGAGGATAACATTATGGACTCCCCAAAGGAGGAAGATGTGCTACCCCATATCTGTGGTCAAGAATTCCCTGCACAAACAGAGCTTGGTGCATTCAAGGTGTACCTTACAACTCAGCCAAGTTCTTTAATAGGAATAAATTCATGAACACCTGTGACATAACTAACAGAAATCCCACTTTCTGGGACTGTTCCTGCCCTGAAGCACTTCAAAATTGTGTTTGTAATAAGGATAACTTGGGAAGACCTTTTGTGGTTGCCATTGCCTCCACCAGACAGAGAACTTCTTCCTGCACCCTCGTGGACATCGCTTTCTTCCCCATTCCAAAATCCCGCAGGGTGCTGAGTGTGAACCGGCGCAGCTCTTTCCATCTTTTCACAGATCTGCTGGACAGTCCTGAAAGCAAACAGGTGAAGATCCTTCCCTTAGAAGGAAGTTTTCTCAGCAGGAAGTTTCTACATTGTGGCACTTTGTCCATTCAGACTATATTCCCATTTGTAGTTGAATCAAGCCATGGGTGGTTTGTATGTAACTTTTGTATCACATAATAACAGTGCTGAACTATAGCGTAAACACGTTGTGTCGTTTCTCCACATTATTAAATGGCACTGGAGGAGAGAGGACAGGCAAACTCTTCTATGGGTCATGTCATATCACGGCTTTCATTAAAATATCTGTTATGGGCAAAATGTTGGATTTGGTAAAAGAATAAAATTTCCTAGATGCCTAGATCCAGGTTTGGGGCAAGTACTCTTTGGTAAGAGAGCCCCAGCAGAGATTTAACATCACAAAACATGCAGCAAAGTAAAGCATGGGAATAGGCTTTTGGACCTTTAAAAGATGCCCTTCTAACTTCTTTCCAAATTTTCCCAGCTATATGCTTATAAGTGGTAAGGGAAGGGGCAGAACAAAGAGTTTGGTAGCCCTTCCTTCCAAGCTGAGCCAGCTAAGCTTGGCATGACAGCTGACTTTATGATCTTAACACCTTCATGTGTTTAGAATTAAGCATGTTGGTTATTTGAGACTGACTATATCCCTCACGGGACGCGGGTGGCACTGTGGGTTAAACCACAGAGCCTAGGGCTTGCCGATCGGAAGGTCGACGGTTCAAATCCCCGTGATGGGGTGAGCTCCCATTGCTCGGGCCCTGCTCCTGCCAACCTAGCAGTTCGAAAGCACGCCAAAGTGCAAGTAGATAAATAGGTACCGCTCCGGCGGGAAGGTAAACTGCATTTTCGTGCACTGCTCTGGTTCGCCAGAAGCAGCTTAGTCATGCTGGCCACATGACCCGGAAGCTGTACGCCAGCTCCCTCGGCCAATAAAGCGAGATGAGCGCCACAACCCCAGAGTCGGTCACGACTGGACCTAATGGTCAGGGGTCCCTTTACCTTTACCTTTATATCCCTCATAGTAAAGGAAGAATTCAGTTCAGGGCTCTTATTTGAGTGGGAAACTCCTGTTTGCGGTAACATCTAGCTCCACCTGAGGTTGAAAAAGGGAGGGCTCGATGTCTGCTTATTCCTACTTGTAGACCCCTGAAAATGAAGACTGCTTCTCCCATTAAAATGGAAGCAATAAAAAAATAAGCACAGGACTCCTACCTACCTTTAAAATGGCTCACTGTATCACTGAAAGGCAAGGCAGGACGCCCACCAAATTCTTCAGCATGATCCAACAGAGCATCTTTCACCACTTCGTATCCACAGAGTACCACCATGGGCTTGGGACCCAGCCAGACAGTAAAGATAGGACCCCATTTATCATAGAGCTGATGGTAGAATTTTAAAAATGCATGGATTATTAGGCAACACCTGTTCTGGATATATCAGTGGTGGCTGGCCCATTATGGCAACCAGGGTTTAGCCCTACCAAGTGAAAACCCAGCAATTTATTTTTAAATCCCCCCAATCTCAAAGCTATAGTCTTTTTTGTTCCACACACTCTCCCATTTCCATGAGTACTGGATACTTTTCTGTCAATCAGCTCTCTGCACCACTCAACTAATCAGAATCCAAAAGTGTTGCTCTAGCTGGGAGGTCCCGCACTTTTCTTTCTCGAAGCAGAAAAGCCTATTTTTATTTGACCTAGCTATGCAATTTCCCCCTTCTCACCTACTGACATTATTTCAATTCAACCAAGATAACTGAAGGTAATTGGCCTTTATTAAGCACAAATCAAGGGAAGAATCAGCAGACAAGTGCTGATTAATAAGGATTTGTATATAAAGCTAGATGGATTAATTGCAAAATGAAATATGAGTGAATGAAATGATCTGGTAAGAAAAAAGTAAATGAATTTAAAGCGAACCTAGGGAAAATTAAGTAACTTATAGAAAAGAAATATCAACTGAATTCTTTTGGAGAAATGGGTCTGGGGAAAGGCACCTACACCAGCCACTTCTTAACTCACTCACAAAGAGAAGCTTCTGTTCACAGCAGAAGGGTGGCTGGGTGACTATCCAGTCCTGGGACCCAAGGAAATATCTTCATGTTTAAAGTTTAATATAGGGGGCACTGATCCAACAGGAACTGAGCAGGAAGAGCAAACAGTCTGTTAATCATTATGGATGTTTATGGGGATATACACTGAAACTTTTTCAAGGGCATCATAGGAGGCTATTGACACTGGTCATGTGTCTCAGCCAAGGCAAATGCACAGCCTTGATCAGGAGGGCTAAACCAGTCAAGAGAATAAGACAGTGTGAACTCTGCTACTGCAGAAACGTTTATATTTATATAAACGTTTACATTTATATACCACCCCTATCTTCCAAGGAGCTCAAAGTGATGTACATGGTTCTTCTCCTTCCCATTTCATTCTCACAACAACCCTGTGAGGTAGTTTAGGCTAAGAGATGGTGACTGGCCCATGGTCACCCAGTGAGCTTCATGGCTGAGTGGAAATTCAAACCCTGGTTTCCCAGGTCATAGTCCAACACTCTAACTATTATGCCACATGTGCTAAGAAAGGAGAAATGAACTCCAGAGAACCTGAATGAATTCTTTGCAGATGTATTCATTGTTAAGGTGTAGGGCAGATACATATACCTGAGCTTACTTTTTTCTAGGAGCAGGTTTGGCCCTATCATGAGGCAGAGAGAGGCAGCGGTCTCAGGCAGCAAATATTATGGAGCAGTGAGTGGAGAGAGCGGAGAGTGTACATGCACTAACATAGGTCACTGCCCTGAAGGTGCTATGGAGAATGTTGAGATAAGAGTCAATGGTCTGCTGGACTTTTGTACATGGAACAGGACGGGGAGGAGGCAACTTTTTGCCTTTTGCTTCAGGCAGCAAAACACCTTACGAAGGAAGTCTACAGAATGGAAGCAAATAGGGGTGGCATTGAAACTGGCAGGTTATTGTAGAACTGGAAAGTTGGCAACGACAATTAAAATTATCAAGAGGCTGTGCCTCTAGGAAGAAAAATTAAAACATTTGGAGCTTTTTGTGTTTAGGGAACAATGTACTAAGAGGAGACATAACAGAGGTGAATCCAATTTATCATGGTGTGGGGTAAGAACACTAGTTTGCTTTCCTGGTCCAGTGAAGCGGAATGGTGGGACAATCAGGATAAGCACAAAGAGCTCCTTCTCAGAGGCAGCACTACCAGAAGATGTCTGGATGGTCATCAACTTGGACAGATTTTAAAGTGGATTAGACAAATAAGGCTATCAATGGCTGCTAGGCAAGATGGCGATACATTACCTGCAGATGACACATAGTATGCCTTTGAACATTAATTGCTAACAAGACAGCAACATAACACCCTCCCCCCAACAGCATACGAATCAATATGGCTAATTTGACCCAACAACCCCTCACGCTCTCTCTCTCTCACACAAACAAAACTCACTGTAATCAACCAAATGCAACCAACCAGTCTCTTTCGCTGCCAACAAAAAAGAAATAAATGAATACAGTAGTACTTCTGGTTACGTACTTAATTTGTTCTGGAGGTCCATTCTTAACCTGAAACTGTTCTTAACCTGAACCACCACTTTAGCTAATGGGGCCTCCCGCCGCTGCCGCGGCCAAGTAATTTCTGTTCTGATCCTGAAGCAAAGTTCTTAACCCGAGGTATTATTTCTGGGTTAGTGGAGTCTGTAACCTGAAGTGTATGGAACCTGAAGCGTATGTAACCCAAGGTACCACTGTAGATGCAAGAACCATCCACGTGATGCTAACACAAAACCCCACACATACACTATGCAAAAGATGCAAATATCATTACTACCCTTCGAAAGATCATTAGTCCCACCTCTCTCTCCCCACCTCTTCCTCCCTCCTCCCCCAACCTCACAATGCCTATGATAGTAATGTCTCAACCAAGCATTACTGACCTGTAGATAGAGCTCTACTAACTGAAAACAGAGACATTATGCAGGGGCGAAACTAGGCTTTCTTTCACCTTAGTCAAAGACCCAGTTTGGCATATCCCTGCCCCCATTTATGTACACATACCTACAGGTTGGGAGCCTCAATGGTGCCCCCTGGAAGCATCACTTGGGGGGGGACCCGGCTAGGCCCCCCCCATAGCTACACCACTGCGTAATATGTCCCTTTGTTATCCATGAAAATCTATAGCAGCAATAATAATAAACACTGACTGCTAAGGCAGGGGGTGGGTGCAGAGCAGAATTGCAGGAGAATGTACACCTTGGAGAATGGATAGGTCTTTCATCTAGTCCCTCAGGATTCTTTGTATGTTCTTAAAGATGGTGCTCTCTGCAGTCTCTCAGCAAGGCAGCACTTCCAGGAAGAGACAAAGAGAATGGGAAACATTCCTTTTATTACTTCCCATCTGTTCACTTATGATGCAGGAATATTTGGGCTCCTCAAAGCAGCAGATAGAATCAGGCATACCCAGACTAAAGAAGGGAGAAATTAACTTTGTGCCTTCCTGTCTCTCTGTCCTTTTATTCTAGCCAAATCTGCTTTACGGCACGAATGAAAAGTGAAAGTGGTCTCCGAGAGGTGGACTTACCTTTGCATAGTTTCTGCTCAGAGGCAAGACGTCTTTCTGCAGAAGATTGCCCAGAAGAAACCAAGGAGTGGGCCCTGGAGGTAGTTGGGCTTTCTTCTTGTACATTTTGACAGAGAACAAGAGCAAGGTGAAGAGGAGGCTGAGAAGCAGCAGAGCTTCCACCCCCATTTTTCTCTGTGTTCTTTTGGTCAGAAATCTAAGAAAATACTTAAGAAAGACAAGGTGGAAGAAAGCTGCCTGCTGGAGACCCAACCCAACTCGGACTCTGGATTATCTCTGTTGCTCTTCTGGTGTTCGTTTTTTAAATGTGGCCTTTAATAATTAACAGGGAGAGTTATTCATTAATGTATATTGAATTTAACCTTGACTTTAACCCTCTGGGGCACATGAGAGATAAGAGTACATGGAGGCTGCTGGCAAATATATGCTATCTGAGAAGCCAGTCAGTAAAAAGGTGTGTTTACCTGCTGCAGGGAGGATGTTTACCTTCTTTTTTGAATCTGCACATGCGCCTTTAAACACACTTTACTTATATCTATCATCTATCGATCTATCTATCTATGCCACATTAAAACTGTGAGTGAGGTATAGATGATAGATGTTTCCCGGCTGCCTTTCTTGGTGTACTCACAGCAATGTAACTTTTTATCTGCAAGTCAGCAGGAGAGAGTTGTTTGGGATGAAAATGGAAAGGTGGAGGTTGATAGCCTGAACACATATTCCACTATCACCACCATCCCACAAACACAACACACACACCTGCATACACCAGCTTCATCCTCAAAAAAGTCAGAATAATGCTCTGTTGATTAAGGGAGAATGCAATCAAATACATGCAACACCTGAAGAAATAAATTCAGAGTTTCTAATGTATTATTTTTTGTTGTATAGGAAAGAAAAGTAACCTTGATCTGTGAATGCTAAAGTTTATTTCTGCATTTGGTTCTTCTGCAGTTAGATCTGCAGCAAACTAAATCCATGGCAAGCCTTTGCAGCTGAAAGAAATCAAGGATGTCCTTGATAGTATGAAGATGGAGAAAGTCAGGGGAGACATCAGGTAACAAACTTTTCTGCCGACAACGGTCAGTGGCTGGTTTCCTAATTGGATGCTTTTTCTTGCTAGGCCCCAGGCCCGAAGAGGAGGGGCCATCTAGTTGGGCATACATCCCCTTGCCCCTAGCTGGGACACATGAGGTCTTCTTCTTCTTCTTCTTCTTCTTCTTCTTCTTCTTCTTCTTCTTCTTCGGTGATCAATCTTAGCAGAGTAAGATTGTCTTCCATGAACACGGTTTTAACAATGAGTCTGTGACTGTGGAGGCCCCTGGGTCAAGGAGATGTAACTTTACAATCTTTAGAAGGCATCTGAAAGCAGACTTGTATAGCTTTTTATATGTGTTGGAAGCCTTTCAGAGTGTAGATACTTGTCCAGGGTGGGACATGGTTGCACCACATAAAAGATTTCCCTCTTGCGAGAATGCTTAAAGCTCATGTGTACAGCGCACATATGTGTGGATTTCTTGAGACACGTGTAACAGTTAACAAATTTTGAGCTGAACTGTGAGTGTGAGGGACTGGAAGAGCTAGTTTAATGGCACTTATTTATCTCCTAGAACAGGCATAGGCAAACTCGGCCCTCCAGATTTTTTGGAACTACAACTCCCATCATCCCTGACCACTGGTCCTGTTAGCTAGGGATGATGGGAGTTGTAGTCCCAAAACATCTGGAGGGCTGAGTTTGCCTATGCCTGTCCTAGAACCACCAGATTTCTCCCAGCACCCCAATCCCACCCACACATAGGCCACCAACCCCAATCGGACAACATGAGAACCTGGGCCCATCAGGTCACCTGCAGAAAAAAGGCATGAAGGCATTTATTTTTTATTTTTTGGAACTGACCCTTCTCCTCCAAGAAATGACCGGGTTAAACTTTTTTGGATTCTCCCAATGGTGAGAGTCAAAGTGCAAAGTTGTGAACAGTGGACAAACAGCAGTTCCCTTCAAGTATCTGAAATATATATATATTTCTGAAGGCAATTTAGTTTTGGTACACTGCAAAATGGATTTCTTCACGAATTTACGGATTGGATTAGAATTTAATTTCAATCTTTAAAATTTCTTAATCCCCCCAAAGAAACGGATATTATTGCATGTTTTTGCTGCATGTAGAAATGTAATAATAATAATAATAATAATAATAATAATAATAACTACTGCTTTATTTTTTAGTTTTTCAGGCAAAACTAGATTTATTATTTTCCTAAAGATACCTTCTGTAAAACAAAAACAAAATATATTGACATAGTATTTCATTTAGTTAGGATCCTTATTATATTTTAAAATTACTGTCATAGCCTTAATTCAGGTAATTTACTGTTTTGAGAGTCGCGTGGACTGCAAGAAGATCAAACCTATCCATTCTTAAGGAAATCAGCCCTGAGTGCTCACTGGAAGGACAGATCGTGAAGCTGAGGCTCCAATACTTTGGCCACCTCATGAGAAGAGAAGACTCCCTGGAAAAGACCCTGATGTTGGGAGAGATTGAGGGCACAAGGAGAAGGGGACGACAGAGGACGAGATGGTTGGACAGTGTTCTCGAAGCTACCAGCATGAGTTTGACCAAACTGCGGGAGGCAGTGGAAGACAGGAGTGCCTGGCGTGCTCTAGTCCATGGGGTCACAAAGAGTCGGACACGACTAAACGGCTAAACAACAAACTGTTTTGCAGTATCTGCTTCACACACACTTGTAAAGGTATTCTCACTTGACCTTCCATTCATTTTTGGAGCCTTGTTTTACTTCTGTTCTGTTTACTGTGAATAATTGGCATTGAATAATGGGCAATGTGTGGCATTGAAAAGTGAGGATAGCAACACATTATCACCCGTGCAACCTGCTAGCAACTACTAGCTGGGATGATGGGAGCTGATGTCTGAGAATATCTGGATTAGCCTGTTCAATTTCTGCCTTGTCCAGGGGTGCTAACTTTAATAAAATACGGGGGGGGGGGTTTAAGTCCTGCCCTGCATAATTGATCACAAGATGCAGCATATGCACCCCATTTGAATGGTAATATCTATCAACTTGGAGGGCAGCCTCCTCAAATATTTTACTGGGGGGCGGCTCCTGTGGCCTGTTCCACCTAAGCTTGGAATATTTGGTTTTCCTCAGTACTGTTGGATTCAAATCTCTCAGTGCTTCCATTCTACTTACTACAAATAGTTTTGGAGGCACTGACTTGATCCCTTCTGCTTAGTTTACCTCACTGGATCACTTAGAACGTCTAATGGCTTGCATTTGTAAGCATGCGCTCTTCATTTTGTACTGCATATGAACAGATGTTACGTCCTTTTCTTTGAAATCTCCCACCAGCTGGAAGGTGAAGTTCTGGAGCAGAACAGCGAAGAACAGGAACAGTTCCATCCGAGCCAGGGCTTCCCCTGGGCATGCCCGTTTTCCTGGCAGAAAGAAAGAAGGCAGAGCCAATCAATAACCAAAGACCAAGATAGTGCACAGCAAATGCTAGAGTTTAAGAGTTTTTTTAAAAAACAAAAAACCAAAGCAAGCATAACAAGGGCAGCAATAGGGCCAATTCTCAGTTGGTGTCTACAGCTCTCTGTTTGCACACTGTTATGTACATGAAAGGTCAAGGTGGTTCAGCAAGTAGGTTTTTGAACTGTTGGTCTCCAGTTTGTTTTGCTTCTCTGACTCGTGGGTGGCATTTCATTGTAGACATGTTATGTAGCATCAAAGTACAGCAGGATTTGGAAGACCTGCTTGATGCTAATCTGGAATAGGCATGTTTTAAAAGCTAATTAAGCCAGACCAACATTCTTTTTCAAGTAATAGCCTGGAGGTAATGAGTCATTGGGATGCGGGTGGCACTGTGGGTTAAACCACAGAGCCTAGGACTTGCCGATCAAAAGGTCGGCATTTCGAATCCCCGCGATGGGGTGAGCTCCTGTTGCTCAGTCCCTGCTCCTGCCAACCCAGCAGTTCGAAAGCACAAAGTGCAAGTAGATAAATAGGTACCTCTCTGGCGGGAAGGTAAACGGCGTTTCCATGCGCTGCTCCAGTTCACCAGAAGCAGCTTGGTCATGCTGGCCACATGACCCGGAAGCTGTACGCAGGCTCCCTCGGCCAATAAAGCAAGATGAGAGCCACAATCCCAGAGTCGGCCATGACTGGACCTAATGGTCAGGGGTCCCTTTACCTTTTAATGAGTCATTAGGGCAACAGAAGATCCAAGGAACTCGGTGTAAGACAGCAAATGTGTGGGACCTCTTCATACAGATAAAGCCAAGAACTTAGACAACATGTGACCTATTTCTGGGGTCTGTGTGTGTGAAATTGCTCTCATTTGAAAAGCAGAACCAAATCAGTTTTATGCAAATCTGTGTGAGTTTGTGAGTAGAAACCCTTGCTCAATGGCTCCACACATGCATATTAGCTCCAAAGCAAAGATTAGGTTAACAGGAGAAATACCCTTGCCCTTCATTCCATCACTCCAATTCCAGCATTTATTTATCTCCTAGAACAGCAAACTTTTTCACTGTCCCTCAGACCTTGTGGGGAGCAGGACTATATCTGGGGGGGGGGGGGGGAGAATGAACGAATTCCTATGCCTCACAAATAACCCAGAGATGCATTTTAAATAAAAGGACACATTCTACTCATGTAAAAAATGCTGATTCCCGGACCATCTGTGGGCCGGATTTAGAAGGTGATTGGGCCAGATCAGGCCCCCAGGCCTTAGTTTGCCTACCCATGTCCTAAAACCATCAGTTTTCTCCCAGCGTCCCACTCCTACCCACACACCGGCCACCAGCCCCAACCCCACAACATGCGAATCAAGTCACCTGCAGAAAAAGGCAAGAAGGCATTTCTTTTCCGGAACTGACCCTTCTCATCCAAGAAATGTCCAGGGTTAAACTTTTCTGGAGTCTCCCACTGGAGTGGGTCATAGTGCACAGTTGTGAGCATTGGAACCACAGTAGTGGACTTCAGGGAGAAGATAGACATTGCATTATTTGTTTTGGTTTCACAGTCATATAAGAAAGGACATTCTTTTCAGAAAGACAGTGATTGCTGAAGCAGTCTGTCTCACATAATTGCACAGCATTCTGAAAAATCACCAGAAATGGAGTAGGTGGGTGGAACTTACTACGACTTGTCTCCACACTGCCTGGAACTATGGCAGATCAAGGCCCTTCATGTGATGCTAAATCCCTCCCTTTTCCTCCCCATAGTAAACTGATCATTTCATGCGTGAATCATACCTGTGGGATGATGTAGCCCCGGAACTCTGTACGACACGTTGTTGCACGTGGGAAGCCCTCAAGGCTCCCTTTTTCAAATCGTTGAGTCTCATGGATAACGGCATTTGTGAAGGGCATCCTCACCCAATCGTCCATGCCAGGGATGCGGTTGGCACCTACCACCTCATCAATCTCCTGTTGAACTTTCGCTGCAATGGAAAGCATTCAGAAAATGTACTTCCAGAACTCTGGAGCTGCTTTTCATCTGACACAGTAATATTTTCTCAAGCAATTTCTCTTCCAAAATGCAGGGAGCATCATCTGAATATTTGTGAATTATTCATATGATTTATGCTGTACTGTATTTGTGATTTTCTACTATGTTCTATCATGCCATTATTATTAATTGGAAGTCACTTTGGGATTCATCTGAGTGGAAAGCTGCATGAAAATATAAAAACTTGTATGTCAAATCATCTTTCTCTTCTCAGAAACTAAGGCTAAAGTTAACCCCCATTCAAACCTCCTTGTCTGACATCTTTAGAGGTGTAGAAATACTTTTTTGTTCTGCAGTGATCTTTATGAGTAAGTCTTACTGCCTCTGAACAGCTTTGCTGTTTTTTTATCATGCAACTTCCAATTGTTCATTGATATTTTCTTTACTTGTTTTTTACCATAACACTATTACTATATTAGTGAAATAGTGCATATTTTGCTGTTTCGTTGAATTTACTGCAAGTGACCTTTGAAAAATTTTGTGTTGGATAGCAGAGCAAATCAGATCTTTTGGCCATTTAAGTACCTTGAATGTGTGGAAATTTAGCCATCACCAGGAGGCTGAAGACTAAGGCAGTGCTTGAGTTTGTTGACCCAGCAATAAAGAGTCCAAACACGCACTGGACAAGCTCTTCGGTGCTGTAGATATTCTCAGGATTGGTTTGTTTCTGTAAACAAGGCAGAAGGGAAAGGAGGGTGGAGAAATTGAAACATCTCATCCTATTCCACACAATAACCTTGGTGGTCTGGTCTGTCATGACCTTGTCTTCTCAAGGCTATAAATGGAATGAACTGTGTTAACTTCAAACACAAGATGTACATTGCTCATTGCAATATAAAGATATTGTTGAATATAAAGACACCATTGAGAACCAGCGTGGGGAGGGGGGATTTCAGGCCACAATCTCATGTATGATTTCATTTTGGTCAGCTGCGTTTCTGCTGCCTGGGTTGATGTCTAAATAAACTGGAGGACAGATGTTTCCATCTGAGTTTAGTTTGGAGATGGACTTTAGCAGCCACCAAAGCCAAGAGAGGGACAATGGTTCAGAATGTGGGAGTGCAACAACAATGACGGACAGTTTCAAATTAACTACAAATGAAGGCATCTCAGAAATGTAGGGAAAGAAAGTTGTGGATCTCCCTACCTTCTCTGACCTGATAAGGAAGCAATCAATATAGTCACGGAGATTCTGAGGATCCAGTGTCCTCCTGTGGGACTCCACCCTCTCACGAATGAAGGCCTTCATTTTTGCACAGTCTGCTAATATCTTCCTGTGCTGTCCAGGTAGGTAAGCCATTATTCCTGGGACTAAATTATAAATCTGGAACAGAAGCAATGGGGAAATGAGGAAATAAGATAAACTGCAGTATAAATGTGATAAATGAGAAATGAGATAAACTGTATTTGCCTCTCTCTCATTCAGAGGTTATTACCGTAAATTAATGTGGCTTTTGGAACTTCTCTGCTACTGCTACTGCTGCTGTTGCTGCTTCTACTGCTACTACTGCTAGTAGCAGTCATGTCCAACAAGCACATACAGAGACTTTTCAAGATTCAGCTTCCTCCTGTGAGAGCTCTGCCACTCTTATATCCAGAAATGAGTCATCAGGCCACCTATCTCACTCCAATGGAAAAATAGGAGGCTACTCTGATGCTTTTGTCAGAGTGAAACATTTTTGCTTAAGGTTACAGCATTCAAACACGGCATTTTATGTAAACTTACAACTTTAACAAAAATGTGATGATATATTTGGCATTATTTACATAAAGACATGCCACTGGGGTGAAGAACTGAATTGGAGTGCAGTTTGTTATGTGGGAGAAAGAGCTGTAACAGATCACACTGAGATGAATTGAACCACATTTTACATCCCTACTGGTGACATAAGTAAATTTGAGGAAGCATGCCTGTTTGAGTGCAGAAATAGTTATCAGCAGAAAGAAACACAGAGGTGGAAGAAAGACCCCCAGGTTCAGCATGCAGAAGGAACGACATGCCTGCATTGATAAAGTACGGATGTAGCCCATGAAGTCCTGCACAATACGCAGGTTCTCCAGCAGCACCGGATCTTTGTAGTCAAAACGATTCCCAAAGACAACTGAAGAGAGGACATTTGAAACAGCACATGTGATGCTTCTTCTTGGGTCAAAGGCCTGCCCTGCAAGAAAAACAAGACATGGTGAGTGGGGCTTGGCAAGTTGGTAATAGTAGTAGTAGTAGTAGTAGTAAGGTAAAGGGACCCCTGACCATTAGGTCCAATCGTGACTGACTCTGGGGTTGCGGTGCTCATCTCGCTTTACTGGCCGAGGGAGCCGGCGTACAGCCAGCATGACTAAGCCGCTTCTGGCGAACCAGAGCAGTGCACGGAAACGCCGTTTACCTTCCCACTGGAGCGGTACCTATTTATCTACTTGCACTTTGAGGTGCTTTCGAACTGTTTGGTTGGCAGGAGCAGGGACCGAGCAACAGGAGCTCACCCCGTCTTGGGGATTCGAACCGCCAACCTTCTGATTGGCAAGTCCTAGGCTCTGTGGTTTAACCCACAGCGCCACCCACTAATATTATTATTACTAGTAGTAATAATAATAATTATTATTACTACTAGTAGTAGTAGTAATAATAATAATAATAATAATATACCCCTTCCATCTGCTGACTGGGTTGTCCCAGCCACTCTGGGGCACTTTTTTTGCCTTTATGGCAAAACTGATATATTTTCCTTTTGATATCTCTCTGGAATTTAAGGGACATAGGTGGCGCTGCGGTCTAAACCACAGAGCCTAGGGCTTGCTGATCAGAAGGTTGGCGGTTTGAATCCCAGCAATGGGGTGAGCTCCCGTTGCTCAGTATGACGTTAACATATGAGAGTGCTGGAGGTGAAATAGTTAAACAGGTTACCTAATCAGAACCCGGGGGGTGGAGTCAGAGGGACTATAAAATCAGCTCTGGGAGGGGCGAAGGGGGAGTTCAATGGGAGTTGGGTGGTTGGTTGGAGTGAGTGTGAATTGGGATAGAGTCTGTAGGTAGGTTGAGTTAGTGTAGCGAAAAAAGCTGAGTCAGGAACAGTTAGGAGCTAGGAAGGCAGGCAAAAATCTTAGAGGTGGTTTAGTGAGTGAGAGCAAGTAGCAGAAGTTATAGGTCTGGATAGGCACCCCATGATTGTAATTGACTGAGACCGTTTATGAAACCACACACTTGTTAAACTGCAATAAATAAACAGAAGTTTATGTTCCAATTTAACCCTGACTGGACTCAGTATTTTACCAGGTAGGGCCTGGGTGGTGGCAGCAAGAAATAAAGTGGTGGCAGAGGGATTAATAGATGGTGAAACATCCGGGGACCCTGTGTGATCGCCACACTCGGTCCCTGTTCCTGCCAACCTAGCAGTTCGAAAGCACATCAAAGTGCTAGTAGATAAATAGGTACTGCTCCAGCGGGAAGGTAAACGGTGTTTCCGTGCGCTGCTCTGGTTCGCGGGAAGTAGCTTAGTCATGCTGGCCACATGACCCGGAAGCTACGCTGCCTCCCTCAGCCAATGGGTGAGAGTGGGGTCGGGTGGCAATGTTTCTATTTCACTTACTATATGTAGGGTTTGGTGTCAGCGTTGCTTGTGCAGGTTTTTTGCTGTTCGTTTGTGTTCCTTTGGTGGTGAGAGAGGTTGGGGTTGGCCTAGGGTGCGGTTATTCATTTGTGGTTGGCTGTGGTGGTTTTTGTTTTCATGTGTGAGTGGGGTGGGTGGGTGTTTTGGATCAGGTTAGCCATATTGATTTGTATGCTGTTGGTGGATTATTGTCGTTGTCTTGTTGGGCTGTGTATGTGATAAAGGCGTCTCCTTCTATTTGTCCCCTTGTCAGTTTCAGTTTATTGGTTAATTTTTCTAGTAGGGCTGTTTCCCATACTATTTGGTACCATTGGTCCATGCCTACTCCTGACAGGTCTCTCCAGTGTCTGGCTATGATGCTTCTGGCGGCTGAAAGTAGGTGGGTTATGAGTTCTTTGTGGTGTAAGTGGGCATTATTGTCTGGGAAGATGTTTAGTAAAGCCAATTCTGGGGTGATTTCTAATACTTGCTTGGTTATTTTACTTATTTCTTGTACAGTTGTTGTCCAGAATGGTTGGATTTTGAGGCACTCCCACCACATGTGGAGGTATGTGCCTGTGGAGGTGCACCCTCTCCAGCATTTTGGTGAGATTCCTGGGCGTATTAGTGCTAGTTTTCTTGGTGTTAGGTACCACCTGTAGGTGAGTTTCAGAGTGAGTTCTTTTCTTTTCGTTGATATGGATTTAAAGGGGGGTATAGTCCACATTTTGGTCCATTGAGTGGGGTTAATCTCATAGCCTATGTCATCCTCCCATTGTTTTTTGATTGCGTCTAGGGAATTCGTGGGATTTTGTAGTAGTATTTTGTATACTGCGGATACCATTTCTCTGCCATGTCCCTTTGTTGTTAAAAGGAGGTTTTCAAAGGTTGTCAGTGGCCTAGTTGCTGCTGATTTTACTGCTGGATTGTTTAAGAAGGCATGTAATTGGTGAAGCGTTAACCAGGGCATTTGGGTGTCTTCTAGTTTGTCTTGTATTTCTTGTGTTGATAAAGTTTGTTATTTTCGTAGAAGTCTATTAGGTGATATAGGCCTTTGGTTTGCCAGGTTTTAATCTGGAGGTTTTGTGCTGCGTGGTGGAATAATGGGTGGTATGCCTAGGGAATTAGTGGGGATGGGGTTGGGGATAGTTTGCCTATTACTGTTTTCCATGCCTTGAGCATGGTCTGTGTGTACCTGTTAAGTGTTGTGGGAATTTTCCTTAGTTTGTTCGGGAGGAGAGGGTATGCTGTGGTGCAGGTATTTTCAGTTGTGTCCCTCTCTAGGTGTATCCATAGTTTTGTCTCATCTTCTAGTATATATGGGATTATATGGCGTATTTGGTTGGCAGTATAATATCCTTCTATGTTGGGGATTCCTCATCCTCCTTCTGTTGTTGTTTTTTTTAAATAATATTTATTGATTTTCCAACCATTTAAACACAATAAAACAGAAAAAACAAAAAAGGAAAAGAAAAAACAAAGAAAAGAAAAGAAAAAACATAAGATTAACAAAACAAGACGCAAACCATTTAAAACACAAAACAATTTCAATATCTTAACTTTCATTCCCTTATTTCCACGACCTCCTCACACCTCCCTTTTTGTATTCCACTTCTATTAACTGTTTCAGCAATTCCTTTCCATCTTCCTCTGTTTTCTATCCTATAATTATCTTAACATATTCTAATCTTATTTTCCCCTTTAATACTCTATTAGTCTATTTATACTTAATTCCTTATAGCATTTCTACTAAAGCCATATAACTTCATTCCAACATTTTTCTAACATTCATTATTTTTACAATATTTCTAAAAATAGTCTTAAACTTTTTCCAGTCTTCTTCCACCGACTCTTCTCCCTGGTCTCAGATTTCTGCCAGTCGTTTCCGCCAATTCCATATAGTCCATCAACTTCATCTGCCATTCTTCCCGGATAGATAAATCTTGTGTCTTCCAGTACTTCATAATGAGTATTCTTGCTGCTATTGTTACATACGTGAAAAAAGTTCTATCCTTCTTTAACACCAATTGGCCAACCATGCCTGGGAGAAAGGCCTCTGATTTCTTCAAAAAGGTATATTTAAATACCTTTTTCATTTCATTATGAATCATCTCCCAAAGTGTCTTAATCCTTGAGCATGTCCACCAAAGGTGAACTCTAATCCTCAAATTCGTCTGTTTTTCTTTAAGTTCAGTCATAGCAAGCGTCAACTTATATTCATCAAGTTGCTTCTGTAGGGCTGGGGCTCTCTTGCTCTTTCTCTCCAGTTGTGTTTCTTTACATTCAGCAACAACAGCTTTTCCCTGGCCTCCTCCGCAGTTTGCCGTATCGAAATAGGTTCCTGTGTCAATTTCTGGGTAGTTTCTATATTAGTATTATTTATACATTCTATATTTAAGTTAGTTTTAATGATTGAAACATCCACTTTCGCATTTATCGTGTCCATTTTCCTGTGAAGCTGATCCAATGAATCATTTATCTTAAATAATGCGGCCACTAGAGCCTCTTCTGTCAACATTTCTCTTGGTTTTACATATACTGGTACAAAGGCTGCAACAGAAAAAGCAGGGGGGCCTGATGGTGGACCTCTCCTGGATTGTTGCCAAGTCCTCCCAGACCTTAATGTTTTATCAGCAGTTGACTGGTCTGTTTTTCCTCTTCCATTTACCATAACACTTAAAAGATTCAAGGTCAGTCCCAGAGTCTCACGGTTTTTAACTTGCAGCTGGAAATTTCCCTAACCCAACTCTTGTAAAGCAACCGGTTTCAAAGGCTTCCACTAGGGGGAAACAGTTTCTATTTGCAATAGTCAATAGTATCCTCTTTTAAACAATCCAAAAATTAGTTTCAAGTTAGTTTCAATTTTCAGTTACTTTTACTCCTTTTTAAAGCAGCCGGAAACAGCAGAAACAATGTATTTCTCTTGTTTAACTAGCTGTCAATGAATGTTCTAAACGCTGTCAATGAACATTACAAAAGACGTCAGTCCTCCTAGCAGCCCGTTTCCAGGGTCAGAGCGGCAGTGTTTTAGATCTCTTCGCTCTCTCCTGCAGGCATATTCAGTCCACAACTCCCCCCCCCTTCTCCTGCCTCCAAAGGGGGGTTTTGTTCTTTACTGATGGAAATTTAATCTTTTACAAAAGACTTTCTAGGACTCCAGCTTGCAACTTCATTGCCTCAGTCTATATACAAAAGGGGAAGGCGGACCTCCTGTTTTGAACCTCCCCACTTCGATACCAAATTATACTTTTAGAAATCCAATTCTCCCGTTTCAGCTCTACTCACAAGTAATTACTTTAAAGTCAAATTGTCCACAGGAAAAAGTCAACGCTCTCCAACAACGGCTGTGCGGCTTCGCTCCGTGGAAGAAGCAGACGATTCGAAGCACCGCGCCACTCACCCCACGTCGCTCCAGAGCCCCAAAAACGGGTTTCCCCGCGAGTAGGGGAGGCGCAGATGGTGCCCGCCGAATCCCACGTTCACAGGCTTCTCCCGCCTATGAATTTTACGGGTCTCCGCCTTCGCCGTGGTGGCCAGACGCAATTTCCCACGGGGCAAATTCCTCCCAGTCAGAGGAATTCCGCCATTGCCGATGGCGCCAACCTGGAAGTCCCCCCCCCCATCCTCCTTCTGAGGTGGGGAGGTGCAGATAGATAGATAATACTTTATTCGGCTATAAGCCCACAAGGTAAAACAAATCAATAGATAAAAATCAATAGATAAAATCAATAGCATTTTACAATCTAAAATATCAACTAAAATATTTCAACGCATAATCTCTAAATGTACCGTGTTATGGCCTTGAAGATAAAGATGGTGCATAGAGTTTACTGAATTTTTAATAGTCATGCAGCATTCCCTGAAGTCTTTTATATGACAGAACTGAGATCAGGAATCTAGCAACCTGTAAAGTTCTATAAGAGTCAATGTCCTGGAGTAGATAAGCTAGATGTAATTCAGGTGGTTTAGCAGCAATTTCCAGGATGATTGAACTCAGGATCCTTGATCGGGAACATTGTATAAGGGGCAATTAAACAAGATATGATAAAGGGATTCTATCGATTTGTTGTCACATGCGCACAAAACAGAGATTTTACCGTTAGAAAATCTATTGCTCAGCACATTTGAGGGGAACACATTAAATCTGGCTCTAACAAATGCGAATCTATGCGACGCAGCCGATAAAGTAGACAGATATCGAGGTATCTGGGACATAGATGTAATGCCCTGATATATCGGGGAACATGTACCTCCACCTGTGGTAAGATTTTGTTGTAAATCTACATCCTCCAATCTTTGTTTGATGACCTTTTTAGCTGTAATTAGATCTAAATTAAGTATATCGGAGGAGAGATTCCATAAGACAACAGTTTGGAATGGATTTTTGTTGCCCATGGGCTGGTGAATTCATCTCTCCAAAGGCACTGAATAAGATGGTAGTTTGGCAATTTATGCCAAAGGGACAGCCAATAATTAAAGGCATGTCTCCACATCAGAATCTCAAGGGAGGGGTCTTAAGTTCTAAGCGAATGGCAGAGTTGCTTACACAGGAGGGTAGTTTCAAAAGGCGTCTTAGAAAAGATTTTGCAATGTCACCAGAGGCAAGAGGTTTACAAAGACGCCCCATAAAGGGACCGCATAGGCCATAGTTGCAACCACTTTTGCACTATAAACTTTTAAGGCGGATGGAACATGCATAGCCCCTCAGTAAAGAAGAAGCGTAGTATAGCGTAGATAAGGGCTTTCACCTTGTTTTGTAAATATGTGATATGCGCTTTCCATCCCATATTATACTGGAAGTAAATTCCTAGATATTGAAATTTGTAAACTTGTTCAATTGGCTTCCCCTCAAGTTCCCATCTATACAGTTTACGACTCCTGGAAAAAATTAGGACTTTAGATTTGGAATGGTTAATAGTAAGTAAATTTGTTTGGCAATATGATGCAAAAATCTTAAGGGCCCTCCTCAAACCGATTCGAGAATAAGAGAGGATCACCGCATCGTCAGCGTACAATAATAAGGGGCAGCGATAGTCTGCAAGCCTGGGTGCATGAATGGAGGTTTGGGCCTCAGCTAGGGCGTCCTCATGTCACTAATATAGAGGTTAAAAGATAGGGGGCAAGGATACACCCTTGTCGTACCCCCTTGTTTATTGGAACTGAGTTTGTTAGATCGCCCTCAGGTGTTAACCTCACCCTAGCAGCCGTCCCTTCATGTAATTTAATCAATAGCCACAACAGCCTTTTTCTATGCCCCACTTTGCCAGTTTTTCCCATAACAGCTCTCTAGAGATACTGTCAAAAGCCGCCTTCAGGTCTATAAAAGCGGCACATAGAAGACCATGAGTAGGGGAAGAATATTTCCGCGCCAAATGATATAGAATTATAGCATGGTCAATAGAAGCGCGATTTGGTCTAAACCCGACCTGTTCATGGCCTATCAGATTGGAATCTTCGGCCCATTGGGTTAGTCTGGTTAGCAAGAAGCGAGTGTAGATTTTTCCGATGATTGATAATAAACTGATATTACGATAGTTTCCTGGGTCCTCTGGTGGTCCTTTTTTATATATAGGAATTATGATGGACTCCTTCCATGATGTAGGTATCTGGCCCGTGGCATTGATTGCATCAAAGATTTTTGCAAGAATTTTAGCCCACCATATTGGATGTTGTTTAATAGCTTCCGCCGGGATCAGATCGGGCCCTGGGGCTTTATCAGTTTTCAGTTTGGCAATTAAATCTACTATTTCCTCCGGGTCAGTATCTGGCCATATGGGCAAGTGACTTGAGAGAGTATCAGATTGGATGTTAGAGATGTCTGTCTGGGAGAAATATTTTCTTAGAAATTGTTCCCATGTCGGGGCTGGGATAACCGTCAATGGGTATTTCCTCGATCTTTTGTTGATTAAATTCCAAAAACCGCGAGAGCTGCGAAGCTTAGAGGCAGCAATCAGCGCTTGCCAACGTCTTAGCTGCCACTCGTGCTTGGCTGACTTCTGAGCCTGTTTGTAAGCAATTTTGGCCTGCAAGTACTCTGGGGGGAGAGTTTCAGCTCCAGAGGCTTTATATCTGTTGTAGATACAACAGAGAGAGAGTCTAGCTTGCTTACATTTGGCATCAAACCAAGGTGCACCGAACCTGGGTTGATCTCGGTTAGCGAGGTGAGCCGGCATCGTAAAGAAACTAGTTAAATCTGCAGAGAAGTGGAAGAACCACTCCAGTATCCTATTTGGTTCAGACAGCTCCGCCAATGAAACAATAAGGGATTCGGAGCTATTCCTCTGAAAGAATTCTGCATATTTTGGGCCTGTTTCATGGACCATTTAATGCCTCTTACTTGAGCTGTGGCATTTAAACCTACATGAATTGGGTGTGTTCCGCTAACCGGGTGCCAGTCAAGCGTTAGCTTGGCCGCTAGAGGTAGGTGATCACTGGATTGTACATTATCTACTTTGAGATAAAAGAAATTTGAAAATAGGTCTTCTGAGACTAGAAGATAATCTAGGACACTATTTGATGTTGTGCCCAAATGAGTGAATTCACCTGGCACGTCCGGAGGGCAGTTGCCATTTAGAATGTTCAAATTCATACGAATGGCCAATTGATAAAGAAGGACTCCCGCCTCATTCACTCTGTTGTCCTTAGATCTTCTTGATGTGAAAGAGATTAAATCAGATTTTGGGTAGGGGGGAGATACCCACCACTTGGCCTTAATTATCCCATTCCAGTTGGCAGCTGTACGTGCATTGAAGTCACCACCCATTATCGATGGAATATTAGGGTACTTAACATAGCATGCCAATAAATGATCTTCCAGAGAATCCCATCTATAATGAAGGTCTGATATCAGACCACCTGGAGGAAGATAAACATTGGTGATTAATAATGAGAATTTTTCACTTGAAATCAGACCAGTAAAAGCAAAAGGAGGAAAGGTATGAACTAGCGAGAGTTTAGCTCTCATTTTAAGCGATATGGCGATTGCAAGACCGCCTCTGGACCGGCCACCTTTCTGGGAGGGGATAGCTGGAAGTGATATCAGTTCAAAGCCATTTATATCTATTTTATCTTCTTCCCATGTTTCTTGCAAAAGGATTATCTGGAAAGAGTTTATATAGGACAGAAATTCGGGATCTAATCTTTTCCTTTTCCAGCCAGCAATGTTCCAACTTAGGACTGCTAGCTGGGGACTTCTATGTTGTTCTTTTAACAGTCAAAATGGAGGGGGCAGACTCTCTGTTAAGGACAGAAGATGTAACAAAAAGTCAGTTATTTTACTTTGGGAAGATGGTAACTGTGAGGCGCCCTGCAAATTAAAGTTTTTAACAATTTGGTTCGACTGTTGGCACACCGTGGATGATCCACTGAAAGTAGGTCTCTGAACAGGAAGTCTCTTCATTTCGAAATTCTTGGTACAACTTGACAGAGAAATACCCAGGTAGGGGGGAAATTGAGTCCGTCGGGGTAAACCCTCTCGCAGATTTGTCATCCGACATTCGGATTATTTTATTGATGCGTCCCATCGGGTCTTCAATCATTTCTGACGGCGGGTCCCGAGGTGTAACATTCGCAGTTTCCTTTGAAGGAGGTAATTGAGGGGGCATCACGGAGGTGGAAATTACGGAAGACTCTCTCAGGGGCATCACTTGTGGACTACTTCTATATCTGGACGAAACTGGAGAAGATTCTAGCTCTGGCATAGATGAGTGAGTTAAAGAGGGATTTGAGTCAAGCAGGGAAATCAGAATTTCGTCCTTAGGTATGTTGGTTGATGAATATAGATGAAGGTTCAGTGAGGATGGCAGAGCCTGGTCGTCTCGTGATGTAGCGCACGCTGCAGAAGCAACTTGAAGATTTGAGTCTTGTCGGATGGTTTTTGAATTCAGAGTGGGGCTGAGCTGAAGAAGGTCAACCACTTCTGTCCGGTGGGCCCAAGTGGGATTATTTGAGACATCGTTAGTATCTTCCCCTCTATGTTGGACTTGCAAAAGCTGAGATTTAAGCGTGTCAAATCTTTGCATCATCACCGACTGTTCTTTCGGAGGAAGGGCTCTGAATGAATCAATAAGTTCCCTTTCGTCGAGGGCAGTCTGCAGATTATCATCCTCATATATAGCAGTTTGAGAGGGTATCGAGTTTGGTCGCGGATGGCACGCTGCAGAGTCATCGCGATTGGGCCTGACAGTATTTTGAAGTAAGGCAGAGTCTCTTGTCCTAATGTCCTCACCGCCAGGGCACCTATTTAGAAGGGGTTTGATCTTGCTGTCTGTAAAAACCCTCGTTGCTACAATGTCGGCCATGGACAAAAGCGTTTTCCTCCTAACAATAATAGATGGTATCTTTTCAGAGTGGAACGCAAGTATCACCTTCAAGAAGTTGGTCTGCCGTGGAAGGGACATTACAGCATATAGGTCAATCTGATATTTCTTAATTTTTAAAAGTTTGCTTAAGCAGTCTTTAGCTCCTTCTAGCGTTGACCATCTTCCTATTTCCGACCTGACAGAAAGGCAACTTTTCTTGGGTTGCAAAGTTAATATCTGATTGTTCAATTGGGAATTTAAGACATATTTAGTTTTAGTCTCCAGTATTTTATCTGAATGGGGGTGAGGCAATAAGTTTTTGACCTCACAAACTGAGGATTGTGTTGTTGATTCAAGTTTTCCGATTTTCAGCAGGATATTGGATAATTGTGAAGATACCTCGTCCAGCCTTTTAAAAATACAGTGAAGGGTCTTAATTACTAAGTGTAACTGCTCACAACTGGGGAACCCCCCATAACAGATGCCAAACCATCTTCCTGCGATGAGAGTTTTTCTTTCGTATTCTCCTTTACAGGCTTTACATTTGAAACATTTTGAGTCATCGGAATCGGAGTAGCTTCTAAATCAATTAGAGGTTGGAAGCGATTTTGGGTTTCCACTGCAAAGCATTGCTCGGCATGGTCACTCCCTCCTCCATTCCGGTGTGGCACCAACCTTGATAGTTTTGGTTTAGGGGATGATAGGGGCTCGTCAAAGTCTCTCAAGCGTTTTTCTGACCCATGCTTTCCTCAGGCCAGAGATTATACGATTCTTAAAATAACATAACACTTAACACGCAATTAAGATAATGGCGTTCTCAACTCCTTTAGCAGCTAAAGCCAGCCCGCTGATATGAGAGAAACAAAGAGCGGCTTGCAGCAGTCTGGAGCAGGGCCAAATCTCTCAAAGAGTTTCCAAGATATGCGGCTGCAGCAATTATAAAATACTTCAAAAACTGACTGAGTCAGTTGAGATAAAAGTATAAAAGATTAAAAAAGATTAAAAGAAGTCCGAAGAGCACCGGTAAGCGCGTCTTACCTCGGCGCCATGTTGGCTCCTCCTCCGGGGAGGTGCAGGTATTTGGGGCTTATTCTTGGCTTGTGTGTGAGAAGATAAAGGAGTGTAGTTTTCCCTGCAATCTGCGGAGTTGGGTTTGGGGGATCCAGATTGGAAGGGTTTGGAATAGGTAGGTTAGTTTTGGGAGGGTTTTATAAGTTTTATTGAGCGCAAAAACTATGTACAGTGGAGAGGTCCAAAATCCATGTCTGCCTCAATCACTAGCAGATTTCGGAAGTGCCTTCTTCCTGTTTGCCCTCCAGCATATAAACCCGGGAGAACCCCATTTCCGCCTCTTTTCCTTACGTGTAATTCCCTGGCGAAAACTATGCAATGGAAGAGGCACGTCCAACTCCCTGGAAGCGGTGTCGTGGCTCATCTCAGCCTGACGGAACCTTTGCATCCTCCCCCCCCCTTTCTCTCGTCGTCCGTTTCTCCTAAAGTCTTGCTTTCACCAGACTGACGAGGTGCAGCTGCTCAACAGAGGGGGAGGCTGTCTGTACATTCCTGTCTCCCCTCTCCCTTGGAGGCAGACCCCTGACACTTAGCTTTAAAAACAAATTAATTATAGAACCACCACCCCCAAGAAGAATATAAAGCTTGCCCAATATTTAAAGAGAGAATTAAAATCGGAGAGGTCTGAAGTAAAAAGAGACAAATTACAATCACCAACAACAATCACAAAATAAAACCCCACTTCCTGCATTGAAGGATGGCAGAATCTTCTTTGGAAGACGTATGGCTCAAGAGTACCTTGTGTGGCCACCAATTCTTCTACCAGGCAAAGGGCTTCCTCTTGTATCCTCTCAGACATTGTTTTCTTTCCCATCCCAAATTCCCGCAGGGTGGATAATGTGAACCTGCGCACCTCTCTCCATTTTGCCTCATTTCTGTTGACCATTCCTGAAAGGAAACAGGTGGAGAGCTCAATGTGCAGAAACCAGCAGGAAGTTTCAATATGAGAGCTGGTGCCTTCCTCCTTCAAGCTATATTCCCATTTGTAATTGCAAATGTGGTGGTTCCAGACAACTGGTTTATTCAGCATTCAGCCTGATTTGTTTGTGGTTCGCTTGCACTGAGATTATACAACATTAAAAGAACCACAGAATTGTAGGGATGGAAGGGACCACGAGGGTCTTCTAGTCCAATCCCCTGCAATGCAAGAACCTTTTGCCTGATGTGGGGATCAAACCCACGACCCTGAGGTTGAGTCTCATTCTCTACCAACTGAGCTATGAGCATGGAGCTGGACTTCCCCAAAAAAATTTCCCTCTGATAATCTATCCGGAATAGGGGGGCAGGAGCAACTTGCGCCAATGCTATATCAGCAGTTCTTCACACAGGTCACTTTTTCACACACTCAAGCACTGGTTTGCCAAAACCTCTTGTGCTATCAGTTGGTTTTTTTTTTGTTTGGCTTCATGGCTGTTGTTCTGTTACTCTTTTCACAATGCCAAGGTCTCCATTTGTGGCGATCACACAGGGTCCCCGGAAACCACCACTGTGCTCACTTCCCCGCTGCCACCAACCCATTACTCTCAGGTACACACTGAGTCCAGACAGTTGTTAAAATTAAACCAAATAAACAAGTTTATTTTATAAGCATTAACAAGTTTATGGTTTCTCAGATAATTTTCTTGTCAGTTTCTTAACCTTAGTTTCTTTACCGGCCTATACCTTCCTAATACCTTCTAACTGATTATCTTGACTGTTTGACTGACTCCACTTAACAGATTCTCTCACTCTCTCACATCAGACTATCACAACCCACAGACTTATCCTCCCTCTCTCTTCTCTAACTCCAGACTAACTTCTTAACAACTCTAACTCTAACTCCTTCCCTTGGGTTCCTATTGGTTAATCATTTTACACTTAGTTAACCCTTTCCTTATGAAGCCAGTATGATGTCACACACCTAGGAGGGCAAACGCCACACCATTCATTGAACCTAAAGCTACAAACATGTTCACAAAGATCCAAGCAGCTGATACTGAAGACACAAACATGGCGTAATGTCATCCATTTTCATCCAGCATGGCTGCTCTACTTGTGTACCTGAAATATGGCATAACTGCTGAGCATAATAGACAGGGAAGTGTGGCAGGGCCTAGGTTAACACAGGTAATCCAAAAATAAGCACAGAAATGCAATACACCCCTTACCTCGATAGTTGTTCGCTCTGTCTATGAAGGGCATTGCAGGACGCCCACCAAATTCTTCAGCATGATTCACAAAAGCATCTTTCATTGTTTCATATCCACAAATCACAACGATGGGCTTTGGCCCGATCCAGACAGTAAAGATGGGGCCATATTTATCAATGAGCTGAAAGTAGAATCAAAGACAAGCAAGGTTCATTGGGCAATGCTTCCTTTGGACAGATGCCTCAGGGCAGGGGTGGAGAAACTGTGTCCCCTGGGCCAAACTTGGGCACAACATCTGGATCTTTCTTTCTTTTTTTAGGAAAAAGGTGAGTAAGAGGAGAGAAGACAGCAGTGTGTAACAGTGTCATGGTGGGAAGGAAGCGGAGAGAGAGGTTTTGCTCCCTCTCCCATCACACAAGATCTCTTCCCTGACCAGTCACCCAGTGATGCTAGTCACCCAGTGATGCTCTATGGTGGGAAATTCAAGAGAAACACAAGGAAAAACAGTCATACCTTGGTTTTCAGACAGCTTAATTCTCAAACGTTTTGGCTCCCGAATACCACAAACCCAGAAGTGACTGTTTCGGTTTGCGAACTATTTTTGGAAGCTGAATGTCCGATGGGGCTTCTGCAGCTTCTGATTGGCTACAGGAGCTTCCTGCAGCCAATCAGAAGTTGTACTTTGATTTCCGAACTTTTGGAAGTCGAATGGACTTCTGGAAGGATTCCATTCGACATCCAAGGTATAACTGTACTTCTTAGACACAGCACAGAGTTTGGAATTCATGACTCCTAGATGTAATGATGGACAGTTTTAACAGCTGATAAGATAGAGACACAGCTGGGACACCAGTTAAAGTTGGTAGTAGGCACTCAGTTCCACCAAGGCAGATTTCCTGAAGTTATAATATGGCCATCAACTGTAGCTTTATCCTCCATCAAAATTAATGGCTGTTATTCATTCATTCATTATTTTTACTTTTTCTATAGTGCTCTTATTCTGAGGACTATATCATCATCATATTATTATTAATATTAATTTAAAAACACAGAAATACATAGCATAATAACAGGCAAAAAGAATACCCCCCTCCCCGAAGTTTAAACGGTATAGATTGCTTAATTAGCCAAAGGCCTGGGTGACAATGAATATTTTTGCCTGGTGCCTCAAGATATGTAATGAACGCACCAGGTGAGCTTCCTTGGATAGAGCATTGCACAAATGGTGAGCCACCACAGCAAAGGCCCATTCTCATGTTGTCACCCTATGGAGTTCTCACAGAGAAGGCACAAAAGAAGGGCCTCGGATGACAATCACAGGGTCCAAGTTGGTTCATATGGATCCCCATTCTCTCTAAAGCCTTCTAGCATGGGAAAAGACAAAGAGGATGGGAACTTTCCTATCATAAGCTCCATTCTGTTAACTGAAGGCTTCTCAAAGCATCAGACTCAAGCAGATATACACAGACCAGACAAGGAAGAAATTAAATTTGTGTCCTCCTCTCTCTGTCCTACTATTCTAGGCAAAATCCTATTGACATTTATGGACAGGGAAACTCACCTTTTTATAGAACTTGTAGAGAGGCAGGACATCTTTCTGCAGGAGATTTCCCAGCAAGAACCAGGGAGTGGGTCCTGGGGGTAGCTGGCTTTTCTTCTTGTACATTTTGAAGAAGGAGAAGAGTAAAGCGAAGAGCAAGTAGAGAAGGAGCAGAGCTCCTGCCTCAACCACCTCCATCTTTCACTGAGCTCTTCTTTAGGCCAGAAATCCAAGAAAATGCTTAAGAAAGTCAGGAAGGAAGGAATGCCGTCAGCTGGAGACCCAGCCAAACCTGTCTCTAACATTCCAACCCTGTTTTTATTCTTTTCCATGTGATTTTTAATTATTAGCAAGAGCTAGTTACTCATTAAAAGAACATCACTCTGACCTGAACTCCGAGTTAACCCCCTAACCCTTGGACATGTGAGATGTCGTGCATGGAGGCTGTGCACTGATGCACATTTATTGTGAAGTCAGCCAGGAAAACATTTTCTTTTCTGGTGTCAGTCAAAGTCAGCAATACTGAGCTGGACAGACCTTTAGTGCAGGATCGTGGGAAGCAGCTCCTCTTCAACGGAGGAGAGTAACCACACCTCCAGTGGAGAGGAGCTGTAGGGCTCGGAGGCGGCGAGGCGGTGCCAAGACACCTTGCCTGGGCAAAGCGGGGAGGAGAGGGGTCCTCCATTACCCACACCCTCCTTGCACAGTAAGCTTCCATGCCGAGAGGGGGGGCGCAGACTGGGCGTCAAGAAATTACTTTGCTGGGGAAAGTTTAAGAACCGCCCACTCACGGATTCTTCCAGTGAATGAGCCAGCCACGGGAGAGTGGTGCTCTGGACAGATAAAGTTTATTTTAGCAGCTAAAGCAAGGCTTTACTACCAAGTAGGCAGGTAATTGCCTGCTTGCTCTCGAGCTATCGCTTGGAACCCTTACAGTGTGCATGTCAGGTGAACATACCAGCGGAAGCAGATTTAAGGAAGTGCAATGGGTTTGGTGACACTGGGCACAGAGCTTCCGAGATGCCACAGCTTTTATTTATAATGGAGTTCAAGAGGCTGGAGTGCCAAATTTTTGGCCCCTGAAATTTGAGACCCCAAGATCTGCCACTGACACCAGGGAGGGAGAACGCTTTCCAAACCTTGCTGAATTACCACAGCATGTGGTCATAAACATGCCCAGGAGGTGGGATGGATATGTTATGTTTTATTATCACATTTTTGTATTGCATTAGATTGTTATAAGGTGTACATTCTTTGTTTCTTCAGCTTGTATACTGCCTTGAGTATTGTAAGCTAGAAAGACGGTACAGTGGGGTAATCCATTCTGGGGTAATCTTTCTGCTTCCTGGAACACCACAAGAAATTACTGGGTAATCTGACCCATTACTCTGACAATACCATGACCAGATGCAACATAAGGCAGCACCAGAATTCTTGTGCAGAAGAAGAATCCAGTTTGACACAAGTGAGAAAACCTTCATCTGCTGAATTTCCCTCTACTACCCTACTATGAAAAACACAAGAGAGTTCTCGCCTTCAATTCAGGACATTTTAATCATAACCTCTACATTTGCTTCTGACAAAACACAAAATAGATACAAGTTCAGAAAGGTGGAATTTCTGGTTTTGGAAGTATCTACAACCTTTGTCATCTACCTTTTTCAGAGGCTGTTTAGGCTTCTCCAGGGTTATCTGGAGGATAAGATGAGGAATCTGATTGCATTTCTGCAATTGGCACATCATCTAGTTTTGCCCTTAGAGAGGTGGGATTCAGGCTTCTAAAGGATCTGTGACTTTTGCAATCTGACCAACACTTCTGACAAATGGAAAGAAAAACCTACAATTCTTCTGGACCAACACTGCCCCTTCACCTACTGCCCCTTCACCTTCAAAAGCATGGCGCTGTGCTCACTTCACTAGTTTTGGCAGCAAAATCGCCACCTATTTGACTTGCTTTGCAGAGGTGACTCAGCCTACTGATCTTTATCATCATGAGTTCTTTGCAGTTTAATATTATGTCACAGTGACATCTCTGCAAGGGGCTTTGAACTGGCAAGGCAAGCTTCCCCCTCACACAGTGAGCACAATTTGGACAGTGAGTGCTTGGGACTTAGGCTCTTTTTGTGGTATTTGGGGGGGGGGCACTACATAGAATTAGTCAGGAAAATGTGGCCAGCAGCAACGCATTGCCATTTCCAGGGGCTTTTTTACTTAAAACATTTCAATGAACACAGCAAACACTGTGCTTTCTAGCTGCTTCAAGTGGCTGGAAATAGTTTTTAAGAAGAAATGGGGAAATTGACAGAAAGCCCACAGACTGCCGTTTTAAAATGAAGGGGTGGGGGTGGGGTGAATAAAAATCATCATCCTCAGAAACGTCTATAGACATGCAATCTGATTTGAATGCTTGTGTTCCAATCCGGGCATGATCATTAAAAAAAAAGAGAAAATGAAAATGAAATCCACTTTCATCCCTATTAGTAGTTGGGCGATATATTAATATAGCATCCAAAACCAGTTTAAAATCTATATTGTGCTGTTGGTTTCATAATTTTTGACCTGGTAATATATTGTGAATCATGATGTGTGTGCGCACGTGTGCCATGCAAAAACACAATGGGGGGAAAACCATGAAGCCAGCCAATGCCTCTACATAGCTCCATCCTTATTTCAGACATTGTGATATATCGGTATATTGCAATATTTACCTGGGGATATTTTGCGATGTTGAAAACCAGATATTGCCCAGCCCTACTTGTAGTTAAACTGAAATCAAGAAACCATGTATACTTGAGAGAACAAAAAGCCCCTCAATATACCGTATTACTCGTTCTATAGGGTGCACCGGCCCATAGGACGCACCTCGGTTTTTTTTGGGGGGGGGGGAATGAATAAAAAAAATTATCCCCCCCCCGCCGCGGCTCCCGCCCCAAGCCTTGTGCACACCTGCAAGAAGCACGGGGCACCCTCCGGAGGGCTCCGCGTGCTTCGGGCTGCAGGCTACCGCCCCAAGCCTGGCGCGCGAGGCTTGCAGACACTCGCCGAAAGCACGGGGAGCCCTCCGGAGGGCTCCCCGTGCTTCGGGCGACAGGCTGCCGCCCCAAGCCTCGCGCGCTCGGCGGGACCTCCTGCCGGGCGCGCAAGGCTTGCCGACACTCGCCCGAAGCACGGGGTGCCCTCCGGAGTGCTCCCCGTGCTCGGGCGTCAAGCTGCCGCCCCAAGCCTCGCGCACTCGGCGGGACCTCCTGCTGGGCGCGCAAGGCTTGCGGACACTCGCCGGGGCTGCAGGCTGCTGCCTGCAAGCCTTGTGAGCCCGCGGGAACTCCCACCGGGCTTGCAAGGCTTGCGGATAGCTTCCTGAAGCCTGGAGAGCGAGAGGGGTCGATGCGCACCGATGCCTCTCGCTCTCCAGGCTTCAGCGAAAGCCTGCATTCGCCCCATAGGACGCACACACATTTCCCCTTCATTTTTGGAGGTGAAAAAGTGCGTCCTATGGAGAGAAAAATACGGTAATCTGCAGAAGAGAGCAAATGTTTATAACAGTATATGGGGGGGGGAATTAAAAAACACATACACACACTGCAATAGTTGATGATGTGGAACATTTTATTAAGTGCTAATGAGCCCATGAACAGTTGACTGGACATTAGGGATTGAAAGGTCAAAGGCTCTTCTCGTTTGCCATGCTAAGAAAACTTTTAATACCTGATATCTAGGGCTATTACCCTTATGTGAAACTGAGAGGTGTTGAATGAGTGAAGGAAGACACCTCGCAGTACTCCTGTTCTACCTACTACAAATATTCTGGGAGCCACTGACCACATTCTTTCTGCTTATCTTTTGTCACAAGATCACATTGAACGTCTGATGGCTTTCATTAGAGGAGAGACATTTTTAGCTCTGAACTCCGTAAACAAAGAGGCTAAATCCATATCTTTTGCAGCTCCAACCAGCTGGAAGGTGAAGTTCTGGAGCAGAGTACTGAAGAACAGGAAGAGCTCCATTCGCGCCAAGGCTTCCCCAACGCATGCCCGCTTCCCTGACAAAGAAAAGAAGGCACAGCTAACCAGTAACCCAAAAATCTACACAGTGCACAGGAAACCTAGGACTCAGCTCCATTAGTCAAAAAAATAACGTTTTGAATGTGTTATAAACATGCAATACCAGATGGTGGTGGAGAGCAAAAATCCTTTTCTATGCAATTAAATCATATAACAATTTAATTTCTGACTTATTTATAGCTTTATATGTCCTGTGTGCAGATCCACCCCTAGTGAATTCATGCAATGTTGGTTTGGGGGACTGGAAATACTAATGCACCCCCAAAAATCTACTGCAGCTAGAGTATAGTATATTGAGTCACATTATGGGAAAAGGTGAGGAATACTAAAATCAAGACTAAATCAAGACTAAGACTAAGACTAAGACTAATAAAATTATGATTGGCCTGAAGTAGGCATGGGGAGACATGAGATTCAGTTCACATTTAAAGCTCAGTCTATCAAATGCACCCTTTCTGAAACCATATGAGAACGGAAACACAACCAATCTTCAAAATTTTCACTTGTACAAATTTTCTGATGCAGTACTCCAACCACAGAATGGGAGGAATTCAACTTCATGTTTTCCAAACATTCCAGTTTATTTACCCTTTTCTAGCTCCACACTGCATGCACAGTGACTCCTGACCCAGATGTACTTTGATTTTTTCAACCAATATCATATGTTTTTTGTGTCATCCCCTACTCACAGAAAATACCAGGGAGGGAAATATAATTACAAGACTGGCATGTCCAATCAGGGAATGATTTATAGGTCTCTCATTTTACTTCAAATCACAGTGCCTTTGTGAGAAGCTTCTTTGTGAGAAGCTACTAGAAGATGGACAGAGGGCACGGCCTGCTTTTAAAAAGTGGTGCATGCCATCCAGCTTACAACAGGGTCCCATGTAATCCTTCAGGAAAATTTCAAAACATGGGGTCTGTTGACGGATCAAAACAATGCCACTGTCAAGTGAAATGATGTTGTTTCACTTCCTTTCCAGAGATATTGTACAGAAAAATAAATGGCTGGTCCTATGTAGGGGCAGACATTTCTCTTCCATACACTGTCTTTTGAAAGAAAGTGGAAATGGCATTGTTTGCACATAAGTTACCACAGGCTCATATAGTTACCTGCCGAAAAGGCTATTAAGGCATCTTTCTTCTTGAACTGGCCTTTCTCATCCAAGAAATGTCCAGGATTGAACTGTTCTGGAGTCTCCCACTGGAGAGGGTCACGGTGCACAGTTGTGAACATTGGAGCAACAGCTGTGCCCTTCAGGGATAGAAGACGGCAGATTTACATTTTTGGTCTCAATTCATTATTATTTTTTTTAAATGATATTTATTAAAATTTCAAAAAAAATACAAAGCTTACACAAAAATAGAACAAAAACAAAAAGTAAGAATAAAAATACAAAAATTAAAAATAAAAATATGAAAAAGTAGAAGATACAGAAGAAAAATAAAAAAGACAAAACAAGTTCATTATTTTCAGATCCTTAACTGTCATTACCTTCTTTCTTAGACCTCCTCCTCCTCCCTTCCTTTGTATTCTAGTTATTAATTATCCCAGCAAATCCTTTCCCCATGTTTCAAAAAAAAGAAAAAAGAAAAAAGAATTCTCAACTAATTTAATCCTATCTTTCTATAATAAAATAAACCTTAAAGTTTAAAATTTAAGTCTTAACTTTACCAACTTCTTGTGTTCATAATGTTCTTTCATTATTCTTTATGCATCTTTACTAAAGCCAGGTAATTTTTTCCAACATTTTTCTATCATTCATCAACTTTGTAAAACACTCTATTATTAAAAAAGAAAAAGAAGCATATAAACAAGTCCAATCTTTATCCAACATCCCTTCCTCCTGGTTCCGGGATTTGTCAGTCCTTATTCCTCAATCTAACCCGGTGACCTTATGTCCAAGGCCCTCAGGTCACTTCCATGGCCCTTCCGCGACTCTTCTTCATACTTGTAGCTGTAGTCTCTTGCTCGTAGTAACTCCGACTTAGTAGTGTTTTTAGCCCTTCTCGTCAGATCAGACCCTTTTCCGTATTCATCGCTGCATTCCATGTAGTATTTAAAAGCATGTTTCAAGGGCCCTCCAAAATTGTGGGCCCCACAATCCCAAACATATCGCAGCCTATTACCGTACTTAAAAGTCCAGATATCCCGACGTAGGGGTCAATCCAGCCCCCATTTCCAAACCACCCCGAACGTTCCCTTCCCAAATCTGGTTTTTTCCCAGTTCCTTTGTCCAATCCAAAGGATCAAACTCCTGTTGGGTCTGTTCTGTCAAAACACACTCCTGATTTAATGCCACAAACCCCTGTTCTGTCAAAACACACTCCTGGTTTAAGTCCTGGATAGGCTCCACATATATTCCCACAGTCTGGTCAAAACATTCCACTGCCTGTTCAAGATTTCTGGTCGAAGTGGCCATCCGGTTCACCTTATCATGTAATTCTTCCAGTAGAGCATTTGTTTTGTTAAACAGGCACACCAGGACTTCTGAAAACATTGTCACACTTTCCCACGGTTATTTTGTAACAGCTGTCAAGTCCTTGGGGTTAGTTACAATTTCAAAAGCTCCCCCTAGGGGGGAAGACTTATATTTGTTTTTGCTACACAGTTCCCCCCCCCTTTTTTTCCCTCCAAAATACTTAAGATACTTTGTCCATATATATTCCTTTAAAATTGCGAAAGGGGACCGTAAAGTCACAGAGATTCTCTTCTTTTAGCTGTCTGTCACACACAATTATCTTAATAAATTCACGTCAGTCCTGACATCCCCGCTCCAGGATCGGGACGAGAATAACTTCCTTTTACTACTTCAAGTAGTCCAAAAAAAAAATATTCCCAATTTAGAATGTTGGAATCCACTCTTTTAAAAGCGATTTTCTAAGCTCCAGTGTAAATTGCCTTTGCTTTGCTCTATTTACAAAAGAACGGAAGGGTGACTTCCTGTTTAGCCCTTCCCGCTCCGTACCGAATTCAATAGATTTTTTTCCTTTTTTTTATAGTCCAATTCTGTCCTTTTCACAAATCTTCATTTACTGTCCCATTTGTTCAAATTCTAAGTACTCACGGGTGTTTGTTTTTAAATTCCGAATTGTCCAGGAAAAACGGCTGCCCTCTCCGGCACCAGCTACGCGGCTTCACTCCACAAAAGAAGCAGACGACTCACAGCACAGCGCCACTTCCCCGCTCTGTTCCGGAGCCCGTTGCCGGGTTCCTTTGCAGATTGGGGGGGCGCAAACAGTGCCCACCGAGTCCCAGGGTCACAGGCTTCACCCGCCTGTGGTTTGAGGGGTCCCCGCTGCGCCGAAGCAGTGTCAGACCCAATTTCTGTGGAGCAGATTCCCTCCGCATTAGAGGGAATCCGCCATTACCGTTGGCGCCACCTCCGGAAGTGCTCAATTCATGACTATCTAGGAAATAGCCATACTATGATAAAATGATAAAATGGGGATGCTAACTTAGAAGAATGGGATTCCACTAGGGATGAGCAGATTTATTCTGTTACACTCCTGTATTAGTCCATAAGTACACACTGCCTTACATTCCATTCCAATCAATATGACCAGTAGAATTCCTTTTTAAGAAATTATGAAACTGGAGCATAAATAGCTTGCTGCATCTATCAGCTCCTTTCGGGGGCAGATGGATCATTATAGTTCTGTTCTGTGACAGTTCCACCAGCTTTCAGTCATAATTCTGCTCCATCCCATCAGACAATTTCTGTTTTAAAACCTCACCAAACACTAGCATTTATATTCTACATCTTTTTGTATGCACTTTCCCCTAAAATACACATTTATGTACCCATTCTCAATCTAAAATATATTTTTGTGTGCTTTCTTCTGTGCTTCTGTGTGCATTTTCCCACTAAACCATTGATTTTAGTACACATTTTCCCCATAAAAGATACATTTTGTATGCATAGTTCTGTGAAATACTACTTCCGTTGGTTCATTTAAAAATGTGAATCGAACAAACAAAATTCTCCTCTATCACTAGTTCCTTCAGCTCATTTGCTTAGGCCAACAAAATCACTACTGATCTCCACTACTGATCTCATCCCTGCCTCCATGAGGCCAGTCCAGGGCCATTTATACAATCAGTTCCTAGAACTGCTCCATTTCTTCTCCACAATTATCATGGCAAAATGCTGGGCCATCATACCTTAGGGAAGGTGAACCCCCTGAATTTGGTATCACAAGACGTTGTACGGGGAATGGTCTCATTAATTGATTGTGGGTATCGTAGAATCTCATGGATAACTGCATTGGTGAAAGGCATCCTCACACGATCTTCCATGCTAGGGGCACGGGTGGCACTCGTCACCTCATCAATTTCCTGTTGGACTTTTGCTGTAATGAAAAAGACTCAAGAGATTTATTTCCTGGATTCAGATTCTGCTTCTCATCTGACAGAGTGAAAAACTCGGGCACTCTCCGACATCATGAAAACTCATGCCAACACAAATTCTCCTCTTGAGTGATTTCCACTCATTCCTCTGTGCCTTACCACCTTGTTGATCTCCTGCTGGACTTTTCCTGTAACAAATTTCATTTGGAAAATGTGCTTCCAGCATTCTGAGGTCCCTCCTCTTCTGGCTATGTTTCTACCCCTGGACATAAGTGCCATTTGAAGACACCAGGGAGCCCTCAAAACCCTTCCGCTTTAAACTTCTCTGGGGTATCTGAATACCTTGAATATGTGGCAGCTTAGCCATCACCATGAGGCCGGAGATCAAGGCAAAGCTTGTGGTTCCTGTCCCAGCCAAAAAAAGTCCAAACACTGTCATGACAAGGTTTTCAGTTCTGAAGGTGTCACTAGCAGACTTTTGTTCCTATGAGGCAGAGGGAAAGGGGGGGGGAGAGAAAATTTCACTATAAAGAAAGATGGCAAAATGGAGACACCTTAGCCTGTTTGAATGAGCATCATGGGTGAAATCCTGCACTCACCCCAAGAGGTGTTTAATCCAATCACATGTATTTAAAATAGAATTACTTTTGAAATATAAAGAAAAGTACTTGCATATCATTGCATTACATGTCAAGTTTGTGGTCAACCAAGACTCCTAGATCCTTTTCACATGTATTGCTCTCAAGCCAGGTGTCACCCATCTTGTATTTATGCCTCTCATTTTTTTTTGCCCAAGTGCAATACTTTCCATGTCTCCCTGTTAAAATTCATCTTGTTTGTTTTTGCCCAGTTCTCTAATCTGTCAAGGTCAAGTAGCTGTCCATGGTACTCATATAGGCTGTAAACTGAGTGAACCAATTTTATTTTTATCATAAGCACTTGCATTGTTTAGTACAACATTAAGCATAGACTTTAAAACTGGGCACAGGATACCTCAGCCTAATGAATAATGATAATAATTACGGTAATAATGTCTTGCAAGGAGTGGCCGAGAGAAGTTGCTAGGGGAGGAGGCAAAGACAGAGGGGCACTCTGGTTGGCCTGGTATCCCTTCCCCACATGGACTAGGACATAACTGGGCACCCATGCCTGTGCAAATAAAATTTTTGACCCACATACCTTCTCAGACTTGATAAGGAAACAATCAATATAGTCACGGATGTTCTGAGGATCCAGCGTCTGCTTGTGTACTTTCACATTCTCATGGAAGAAAGCACACAACTCATCACAATCAGAAAAAATCTTTTGGTGTCTTCCAGGGAAGTAGTCCAATATTTTAGGGACAGCAGAGTACAGCTGAAATGAAGATGACACATACAGCCTTAAATATTGCAAATCCATCTTTTTATACTATGCCACAAAGTTTCTGGCTGAAAAGTGATAAAGCAGTTGTTGTTTTTAATCACTTATTTTGGAAATCCAGCAGGAACTGTTGAGCTTCTGGTTCATTTTACCTCATGATGATGGGGATGATGGGGCTTCCCTTGAAGATGATTCAGAAATGTCAACTGGTCCAAAATCCAGGTTACTGGTTCGGGTTCTGTTTAAGTTTCACATAACCTCTGTTTTAAAAAAGCTGCACACATTGCCAATTTGTTTCTGGGCCCAATTCAATGTGTTAATATTAGTTTTTAAAGCCCTAAATGACTCAGGCTCCAACTACCTAAAAAAAATATTTTTTCCTTTCCTGCAGACTTCCTCAGGTGCTAAGAGTGGCAGAGGGGACCCTATGCCTCTATAGATGTACAAATGTGCCCTTGCAATGTTTACAGTTATACTGCATCCAGAGGGAAATGGTGGCCAGGCAAATGGGAGGGGGGGAGCAATGGCAAAAAAAGGGGTGGGGTCAGGAAAGGAAAGGGAGATCTGCTGCTATTGGTGAACAGCCCAGGTAAGTCTTCCAACTTTTCTGCTGCCTGCCCTGCTCAGTGGTCCAGGTTCTCCCCTGAAAACACTGGAACTTTGTGATTGTGTCAATTTCCATCTCAACCCTGTTGAAGACATTTTCAGAACATTATTTTCATCTGATAGTTAGTCAGGCACACATTTGTGAACCCTTCATGCCATCGTTCATACTCCAACAAGCTAGGTTTTGTTTTTCCTTTTCCTGATAGTGAGGAAAATGTTTGCAACTCAGAAGGAACAACCTACCAGTCCCAAGATAGTACGAAAAAGGCCAACTTCATTCTCTATAATGCGTTGGTGCTTTAGGAAGGTCTTGTCTGCGTAGTCAAAGCGAGTCCCAAAGATGACTGACGAGATCACATTGGAAACAGCGGATGTGATTCTAGTTGTCGGATCAAAGCCCTGTCCTGTAGGAGGAACCGAAGACAGTCAGCAAGGCCTGATGAAAGTGGAGCCCACCATCTTCAGACCCCAACACAAAATTAACTCTAAAAACTGTTTAAACAGCTTGAGCCTGGTAGATTGCATTTCCATCAGTCCCAAGAACCAAATGTTTAAGAAATTAAAAGTAGTAGTAAAGTGCACAGCTGTACCCCTGACACCAACCTGATGTGAGGCCTGAATCTGGGTCCACAAATTGGCTCTGACCCAATATTCAGGGCAACCTGGGCAACACTCAAATTGTATCCAGTCCTAAATCAATTCGGGGGGCTGTGCTATTTTTTATTTTTAAACTGCAATTAAACATAATTTTTGGGAGGTGAGAGGCAGAAAAAAGAGGCACTGGGTTTCCTTCTCTCCCCACCACCACCACCTACCCCATCCACAGTCCAAATAATCAACCCCCCCTTCATTTCTTTGCTGTAACATTCCACTTAATTAACTTATCTGATGCTTATTCTGCTAGCATTGCCTGCAGCAGAGTTTCAGGTGGCGCACAAGGCCATGTTGGCACTAAATAAAAATAAGCCCAACAACTTTCACTGAAACAATTTGCACACAGTATGATCTTCAGTGTGCACACCTAAGAAGTGTAGGTAGACTCTCTCGCATTACTGGATTAGTGAAAATATTACGGTGGAAGTACAACACATGAGTTGGGGTTCACATGAGCGTGGAGAGAGTTGAAAGGACAAATGGGAAAAGCTTGCCTCCCTGCTGCCACTGAGCCCGACAGCCACGTATTCTAACTATGTCAGAAGCTTACATATTATAAGTGCCCATTCCTATATTCAATTTAATAAATATCATCTCCTTGCCCTGGGATAGTGCTTTCTCAGTTTTATTTTTTAATGAGCTAGATTACCTTTTGTAGCCGCCAGTGCCTCCACCAGGCAAACAGCTTCCTCCTGCACCCTCTCAGACATTGATCTCTTCCCCATTCCAAAGTCTCTCAGTGTCATAACCGTGAATCTGCGCAGCTCTCTCCATTCTATGTCACTAGAGTTGACTATCCCTGGGGGGGAAAAGAGGTGAAGGTCATTTTGTCAGTTCTTGACCTAACAGGAACCAGCAGGAAGTTTCTACATGAAAAGGTAGTTCTGGTGCTTTCCACCTTAAAATTATATCCCCATTTGTAGTTACAATCCGGCAACTAATTGTTGCCCCCAAGAGCCCAGTCCTTTGTTGTGTAAGGGATTTTTGTTTCTTTGGCTGAATAAATATGTCCAGTGCTACATAACAAAGTAAATAATGGATGGTAAGAGGCATGGCATCACCCCCTTGCCTGCCTGTAGCCCACACTGTTGGCTGCAGTTGGGGTGGGAAGGTGAAATCATGTCACCCATGTTCAGAATGACATGCTATTGGCACAGGAGAGAGGTAACAACGAATACGGTTGCTATTTTCACTTTGCAGACTCAAGAAATGGGTGGTGTGTGTTTATTTTTTAAAGTGATTGCGTAGGGGAGAGCTTCCCTGGATCTTTGGGGGGAATTGATTTTCAAAAATGGTTCTTTGGAGAAGCAAGCCACAGCAAAAAAATAATGCCTTGCTAGATAGTGTTTGTCTTTCTTTCTTTTCTTTCTTTCCTAGACATGATGCTAATTATCATGCACATTTTGAGGGACTGAATTACAAATCAAAGTAGAGCTAAACTATACATAAAGAATAAGAAGAAATAGCCTACCATGGCCTTTGGTCACTCGATCTATGATGGGGCTGTTAATACGCCCACCAAACGCTTCAGCATGATCCACCAGAGCATCTTTTACCACATCAAATCCACAAAGCACGACCATAGGTTTGGGTCCCATCCAGACTGTGAACATAGGGCCATATTTCTCAATCAGCTGAAGGCACAAAGAAAGTGTTATTTAATTAGGCAATGAAACTTCTTTTGGAGTAATTATCTTAAGGAACGGTTGCTATATCTCTTAGGGCACCTGCAGCTTGTTTTGTGCGGGGTTTTGCAGGCATATGCTGCAACATGTTGCTGATGCAGTAAATGCACATTAGTGGCAGAATTCAGCTTTATTAGTTGTTCCCCAATACTTCCTGAGTGTTATTACATTATTGCCATCTGGAGGGATACTGTCAAGGTTCAGGGAATCCTATCCCTCCCCCAGTGGCAGCCAAAAAAGCAGATAACAAGAAGAGTCCTTACCACATAATTTATTCAGTATTCACACAGAGAGAGAAAGGAATGTAGTGCCTATTAAATAATGGCATTGCGTAGGAGACAAATTGAAATTGCAGAGTTTTGAGAAACTAAAAGATAAAGTGCGAGACTGGCTTCATTATTATCAAATAGGAGAGGCTTATAATTTAGATAAAAAAAATGGCTTCCAGGTGGAAAAATCAAAGTTGGAAACAGAACTGTTAGATCCTAAAACAAAGATACTTTCAAGAATGTATAACTTGCTGTTAAAATGGAACACTCAGGACGAAACAGTTAAATCTGCTATGATTAAATGGGCACAGGACATTGGACATAACATTATGTTTGCTGACTGGGAACAGTTGCGGACCACAGGTATAAAATTTACGGCATGTAATGCTTTAAGAGAGAATATTATGAAAATGATATACAGGTGGTACATGACCCCAGTCAAGCTTGCAAAAATCTATCATTTGCCCGATAATAGATGTTGGAAATGTAAAGAAACTGAAGGTACATTCTTTCACCTTTGGTGGACGTGCCCAAGGATTAAGGCTTTCTGGGAAATGATATATAATGAACTGAAAAAGGTATTTAAATATACCTTCTTGAAGAAACCAGAGGCCTTTCTTCTGGGCATTGTCGACCAATTGGTGCCAAAGAAGGACAGAACTTTTTTATGTATGCTACTACAGCAGCAAGAATACTCATTGCAAAGTATTGGAAGACACAAGATTTACCCACTTTGGAAGAATAGCAGATGAAGGTGATGGACTATATGGAATTGGCAGAAATGACTGGCAGAATCCGAGACCAGGGAGAAGAGTCGGTGGAAGAAGATTGGAAGAAATTTAAAGACTATTTGCAGAAATACTGTAAAATTAATGAATGTTAAAATGATGTTGGAATGGAAATAAGTGGTTTTGGTAATAAGGTTAATAAGAATATGCAAATATAGATTGTTATATGGATGAAAATATATAGTTATAATAGGTAAAGATACAGAGTAAAGATAAATGAAAGAGGGTAAGGATTTGCTGAAAGGATTTTGTAAACGGGAATACAAAAAGGGGAGGTGTGAGGAGGTCAAGGAAATAAGTAAATGAGCCTAAAGATATTGAAAAATGGATTTTAAATTTAAATTTTTTTCTTTTTTTTCTTCTTTTTTTACTCTTTTTCTTTTTTAGCCATCTGCTTTTTGTATTTTGTATTTTCCTTTTTCTCTTTTAGGTTCTCTTTTTTAGGTATTTTTCTTGTTATTTTTTTTTCTTTTTCTATTTTTGTGTAATCTTCGGTTTAATTTTTTTAACTCTTTAAACCTATGTGTATTGTAAACTCTTTTTTTTAACTCTTTAAACCTATGTTTATTGTAAAATCTTAATAACTATTTTATAAAAAAATAAAAAAAATAATGGCATTGCTCCAAGTCAATTCCAACCCCCTCTATCTTTCTTATCCTACGTCATCCCTGCGCCGGCTGATCTGGGCTTTCTGCCTCTGAGCATTCTGTTCTACTACTCTCAATGCATGCCTAGTTCTGGGAAAGGGTGGCTCAGGAATGCTTTCCAAAGACGCTGAGTCTGTCAGCTGTCTCTCCCCCAGTGTTTCTTCTTCCTGCTGTTCCTCTCCCAATATTCCCCATCATTTTCCCTCTGCAGTCTCTGAACTATGCCCTTCTGCAAATCACTCTTCTAAATCTATACTGTCCTCCTGATCTCGGGAAGGTTCGGGGGGTGGTCCCCACCATTCCTCCTCAGTCCAGACCCTGACAGGTACATTTATTTATTTCATAAAATTTACATCCATACATTGTATATACTGTAGTGCAACAAAAGCCACACACACTTGAACATTTGGGCTATAACAAGCTACATGATTTGAACAGGAAACTATGGGACGTGCACTGACTGGAACAAAACAGTGGATCCACCTCAGAACTCTTGGAAGTGCAAACAGTATTGGAAACAGGATTGCGTATAACTCCTCCAATGTCATCATGAGTACAAATAATCATGAATGCGCAATAAAAAGGACACCTGGATGGCTCCTGGGAGAATGGGCTGCTAGAACGCTGTTGTTCCTGAATGAGGCGAAACCACATTTAGAACTGCCTCCATAAAAGAAAGAGAATCTTGTGAAATAAATCTTATGTTCAGCCCCACTTTGCAAGACAGGCACGTGAAGAAAAGAAATTTAGCTGCCCCTTTAACAGGTATGACACTGCAATAGGTGTCCCATCACACATTTCAGTATGATCAACCACTGCTTCATATGTCTAAAGCATAACCATATAATTATGTCCAGGCCAATCAATGAACACGGGGCCATGCTTCTTGACATACTGCCTGGTTCTGCTTCAGCTTGTTATTTATCACATTTGGTTAAAGGTAAAGGTACCCCTGACCATTAGGTCCAGTAGCGGAAGACTCTGGGGTTGCGGTGCTCCTCTCTTACTATAGGCCGAGGGAGCCAGCATTTGTCCACAGACAGCTTCCGGGTCATGTGGCCAGCATCACTAAGCCGCTTCTGGCAAACCAGAGCAGTGCACGGAAAAGCCGTTTACCTTCCCGCTGAAGCGGTAACTATTTATCTACTTGCACTGGTGTGCTTTCAAACTGCTAGGTGGGCAGGAGCTGGGACTGAACAACAGGAGCTCACCCCGTCGCAGGGATTCAAACCGCCAACCTTCCAATCGGCAAGCCCTAGGCTCAGTGTTTTAGACCACAGCACCACTCGCATCCCTCACATTTGGTTACAACTACCGTAAGTGATCTTCTAACAATTATGTGGATTACAGTACAATACTGTTATGGATTACAGTACAATTATTTACTCCCATGTGACCTGCCAACCACAAACAGGGTTTTAAATTGTGTAAGAGTCTGCATGAGTAGTGGAGAGCTTTTCACATTTTATAGGTGTCATGCACTGGAAGGGACAGGGCTTGGCAATGTGCCTACACTACCCTTTGACTGGATGTGTTTACACATACAGCCAAATACAGCTAGCTTGCAACTTAATGGTTTCAAAATTCCATGTTGGAAACCACCCTGTGATCCTCAAATAATGAGCAGTATAGAAATTTAATAAATAAAAAAAATGAAATGAAGTAAAAATCTAATCTGCTGCTGCTGTGCTTTTTCTAAATGAATTTTGCTATTTCATTGCAAGAGGGATTCAAGCACATACCAAAATCTTGGGACTATGCAGTTAACATAATCCTAGTGCAACAAATCTACTTCTTTAAAAAATGGACTTTTGCTTGTTGGAAAGTAATCGGAAAATGTATTGAAAAGCATGGGGTGAATAAATGATTATAAGCAACCTGCAAGCTAACCAGAATGAATGAAGAATGAATGAATGCTCATTATCATAGAACCACCCTGCAAGCAAATCAGAACAAATGTGTGATTGATATATAGAGATATAGAGATATAGAGATAGATATAAATATATCATATTTTTCCATCTATAAGACGCCCCCATGTATAAGACACCCCTTATTTTTTGGGACTCCGATTTAAGGAAATGCGGGAAGATGGATACGTGTATAAGATGCCCCCAATTTTTTGACATTTTTTATGGTAACTTCTGTTTAAGCTTTGTGGAAGCAAATCAGAATGAATGCTGAATAAACCAATTGTCTGGAGGGATCTTAAGTTGATTCAGGGAAGCTCTAAAGAGCATGCAAAATAGACACATGCCAACAGTAAACAAAACCTAGTAAAATCAAGTAATAAACAGTACAAATAAAAATAAGGAAGCAGAAATCTGGGGCCCTTCAAAGCATGCCTTTATTATAAGGAAGAATGGAAAAGTATATAAGCAAGCTAGGGAACAATTAACCTTCTGTCCTTCTACACATTGCTTCATTCCAGACAATGGTTGTTTATGCCGTGCCACAGGGACAAAGGAACAGAGAGAAACCGCAACAAGAAACGGCCTTACCTTTGAATAGTTTTTGTTCAGAGGCATGACATCTTTCTGCAGCAGGTTCCCCAGGAAGAACCAGGGAGTGGGGCCTGGAGGTAGCTGGCTTTTCTCCTTGTACATTTTTAAGGAATAGAAAATGAAGATGAAGAGAACCCAGAGAAGGAACAGAGCTCCTGTTACAGCCACTTCCATCTTCCTCTGAGGCTCTTCTTTTGGTCAAATATATCCAGGAAACTACTAAAGAAAGACAAGGTGAAAACACAGCTGCTTATTAGAGCCCCAGCCAAACCCCAACTCCAACCTTCTCCAAATAATCTTAGTTCTTTTATTTCCAGTATGTGTTCCATTAGGAAAGGTGGGTTAATCATCCACATAAGCTCTAGACCTGGGCTGCAAATAGGTTAATTTCTATGCTTTTCAACATCAAGATTGGGTACAGACTTACATGTTACTGACAACAATGTACATTTTCTTTAACACAACCACGAAATAATATTTTAAAACCACAATATCCACATTCAAACACCGCCACCCTCCCATCACTGACAACCTCACCCTTTTATCCATCAATGGGCATCCTAATGCTGGTAAGGATGAGAGGCCAGACCCCTCGGTGAGTAGATTCCTAGTCAGATCTGAACTGGCATCTCCCGATTTCAACCAGCATCTAGAAGTAACTGCTCTACTTCGCAGCAAATAAATTCTGGAAATGCCACCAAGTTTTGACTGAAATCAAGTGAGCCACGCACCCATCCTGAAAGGAAATATATAACTCTCCACTGCCTTATCTACCTTTGTCAAATGTAGTGCAGCAAATCATACGAAGACTGAATAAATTGGGAGAGCTTTCATGGCCAATGAACAAGCCGACCTGAAAGTCACATTGAGCTTGCCAGTCTGGATGTACAGGAAGTGTGTTACAACACAGTTAGTGAAGCAATCACCCTTGTGAAAAGAAGCATTAATTTATACTGCATGGTACAAATAACCAATGTGCAATCAATATCTGATATTGAAAACACTGTTGATATTTGGTGCATTCATACTTCATTTTCAGTCACGTTCCCCTGCCCTCACCACCAGTAAACAAGTTTCTTACCCGATGCATTTTCCAGCTTGGGCATAAGATATGGATGAAGGAAACAGAATATTTTTGTAGTAAGTTAATATATTTGAGAAATACTTATTGTCATGCCTGCCTCTAGAACATTTTCATATCAATTAAAAATTAGGGCTAAGGTTTCTTTGTGGAAAAACTCCTGAGTAATCTTATTGAGCCTTAAAATATTTATGTTATCTCAACAAAACATGTAAATAAACTTAGCAAAACAGGGTGGTCCAAGGGTCACATGTAGCCCTCAAGGTCCTTTTTGGTGGCCCTTGGCAACATCTGATGCCCCCCCAGCACTCAAATTCCTTCCCAAAGTCAGGTAAGCAAGGCCCTGGGCTTTAGGAAGGAGGCATGAAGGTTGGCTCTGACAGAGTCCCAGAGTCCTCCTGTCTCCATCACAAAGCCTAGTTAGTGCTTTTCCAACTTTGAAAAGGAAGTGGGAGGGCTCTAGAATGCTGCCAGAGCCTCACGCCTAGTGCCATGCTTAGGCAGCATGAGGGCTGGTGGGGAGTTGTCAAATTTTGGGCTCACTCACCCCTTCTGTGCATCAAGGCAGTGAGTGGCCCACAGGTTCTATGTCAAAACACTCTTGCCACCCATTTGGAATAAAAAGTTGGACCACTCTGGCATAGAACATCATCATCTATGAAAAACAGACTGATGGATATGAATGAAAACTAGAAGCATAAAAGCAACAGACACAGAAACAATAAGCCCATTGACCACTCACATACATGGTCCATTTCCATAACCAAGTGTGAAAGACTACGTAAGTGTCAGATTAAGCTATACATGTGAAGATATTCATTTATATTGGGTGAAGAACCCATGGTCCTCCAGATGCAGCTGGACTTCAACTCCCATCATCCTATATCATTGTCCCTGCTGGCTGGGGGTTAAGGGTGGAATCCAATAACACTTGGAGGGTCACCAGTTCCATGCCCCTGGTTCATGCAATGGCATGCGTAATGCTTTGGAGGGGTTGTGTGTGAGAGAGAGTTAGTGGACAGGGGAAGAACATTGCTCTTGCTGTGAAATTTAAATGAAGTTGAAATTTAATCCAAGCCAGAGGAAGCAGGGGAAAGTTAAACTTTCCTCTCCTTCAAGGGTTCTTCCCCTCAAAAGTATTTACTGGCATCTATAGCATTAAGTAACAGGTAGAAATGTGCTCTGTCAGTTCTTCCATGCCTGTGGTGAGAAAACCTTTCAGGTAATTCAAACTTCCTTAGGCACATCTTTTCCTGCAATGTTTTGGAGAATGGAGGTAGGGGAGAGAAGAAGCATATTCTTGAGCAAGAAACCCAAAAGATGCTTCCTGCCTTATGTAACAAAGTGGCAGAGAGGGGAAGTGGGAAAGAACAACCCCTGACCCCAAGCAAGTAAACCTGCTCACCTGGGCATCTTCTATATAATTATCTCTTACATTCTTGGTAGCTAAGCACAAGTCCCTGTGGCAACCCAATTGTGCAAGAATAATCAGTCAAGAGAATAGACATATTCCTTTTGAGGGTGGGCAATAGCATTAAAAGTAAATTTTAAATCAAAGGCAGGAAGTAGAGACAGAACGTATCTTATTCTCATAAAATGAATTGGAACAGTTGTGTGGCATGACAACATGACCCAGAGACAAAAGCACAATTCTAAAAAGTTTAGGGATGACAAGAAAATACTTCAAGATAGGCAGTCCTTACAGACCCTCCAAGTTTCCCTATTTTCCAGGAACAATCCTTAGGACGTCCCTATTTTCATCAGAGAAATGTTGGAGAGTATGGAGTTATGCGACCCCCGAATGAAGGAGATGTAATTTTACAATCTTTAGAAGACATCTGAAAGTAGCCCTGTATAGATTTATTATTTTTTTTATATGTTGGAAGTCAGTCAGCAACCCAGTCAGATAGATGGGGTATAAATATGATGATGGTGGTGGTGGTGGTGGTGGTGATGGTCCTAACAATATTTATAGTTTTCCAAGGTGCATCAAAATCTTTAACATTTTATATGTCTGTCTTTTATTAGAATGCACAAGATATGAAATATAAAATTTATGCATTTTAAGACTTTAAAGTGTGTGCAGAGTCAAATACAGAGCAACTGTAACACATCTCTTTACCAACGTATTCCTGTCTCAGGGATACTTTTATCAATCAACATTGACAGTGGTCTAGCAATCATCACAATGGCCTTTAGCAGTCAATGATACACCCAGAAGAGGAATTTGTGTTGAGACATGGTGGTATGGTTTCAAATGTAGCATTCATATTTAGGTCCAACTTGGATATATTCCTTAAACATCTTCAAATGTGCCACTAAAGCTTTGGCTCTACCTACCTTCTCAGATCTGAAAAGGAAGCAGTCAATATAGTCATGGGGGTTTGGGGCATCCATTGTCTATGTGGGAAACTCCACTGTCTCATGGATGAAGGCGCACAGTTTTTCACAATCAGCTATATTTTTTTGTCTTACAGGCAGGTAGTCCATTATTCTGGGAATGATGTACATCTGAAATTGAGATGATATGCACAGTCTTAGATATTTTGAATATTTTTAGTGCACCCCAAAAAAGTTCTTGCTGAATACCCCAAACAGTCATAGAGCAGCTTTTAAAATGACTTACAGTATATAGAAAATTGAGCAGGAACTTTGGAGCATCTGCTTCATGACACCTCACTTCTTAAGGGATGCTTATTATAAAGCCCTTTATAACTTGTTGTAACTGTTGATCTAGGCTTGGTTCCTCAGGTTAGCAACTCGTCCCACTGAGATGTATGACTGTGCCGCAGTCTGTTCCAATATTCATTTGCACTCTCACCCAGCATTTTCCATTCCACTATTATTGGTGTCTTTTGCACAAGTCTTCTTTTCCTTTTCATTGTCTGGTGATGAAAAATACATGTAATTTTAATGTATATTGCTGCACCTGATAAGCATGCATATCTTAGCCATCAACGGATATTTACAAATCAATTTCCTTCTCTGGGTGCACCCATTCAAAGATAATTACTTTTCAAGTGATTCCTCCAACATCCCTAGATGCTACCCACCCCATCTTATTTGTCTCCTTCCTCCAGAAGCTGGAATACCAGATGTGCTTGACCAGGGGTGCCAACTTGAATGAAATATTGCAGGGGCCCAGGAAAGCCCCGCCCCACATCATTGATCACATGACACAGTGTGTGCACACGATTTGCATGGCAATGCCCATCAACTTGGCAGGGGTCTGACCCCTGCAAATATTTTATTGTGGGGGCCAAAGCCCCCACAGCCCCTAGGAGTTGGCTTCTCCTATGTGTTGAATGGTTTATTTAAATACAGTGGTACCTTGGGTTACATACGCTTCAGGTTACAGACTCCGCTAACCCAGAAATAGTACCTCGGGTTAAGAACTTTGCTTCAGGATGAGAACAGAAATCGTGCTGCGGCGGCGCGGCGGCAGCAGGAGGCCCCATTAGCTAAAGTGGTGCTTCAGGTTAAGAACAGTTTCAGGTTAAGAACGGACCTCCAGAACGAATTAAGTACTTAACCCGAGGTACCACTGTATTAAGGTTCATTATTGTTTCACAAAATATGTATCTCTTTAAAGGCCAGAGTAAATATCATGACCTAGTTTTACAGCTGTGAAGCAGTATAGCAGGTGCTGTTAATTTGTGTTAATCAAGCTGTGTCAGCAATTGGGTATAGTATATAAAGAGCAGCGTGTACCTCTCTCAGTACCCTGATGAATGGGTCATACTTATAGAGTTAATGTAAGACGAGTTTTTATTTTTGTAATTAAAGCCAAGCAAAAGATATTTTTGTATTTCTTCATGGTTTCCTGAACGTGTGGTCTCTCCAGCATTCTTTCTGCAGTGCAATTAATTTGCTAAATATGCAACACTACATTGACTGCTTGACTACAAATCCTGCTTGTGGCCTATTTTCATCCTCATCTGTTTGATACAGAACCTGGACCCATTGCAAGAGATGAATGGCAATGGAGAGAGTTTATAGGCTGACAACTGTATGCTGGAAATCATCCTACCAGTAATTCCAGCTGTAATCATTGAATTTAGAATTGTATCTTAAAAGGAAATGGGAAACTGCT